ACAAAGTTATCAACACGAATTATTGAAATGTATTTACAAATATCGAACGAAATGGTTAACTTTTCAATTTATGATATATGTGACTATTTAAGTCTCAGGAAATCATTAAAATATGAATCATCCATAGTTAATACTTACGAGCTGTTTAATTGATGTAGATTATAACATTATATATAATGTACTATCTGTTACATCATGGACTAAACGATATTAACTATTCATTAGTCAAAACAGTATTTTTTTTCATATATTTAAATTCTAGACTACTTTAAACTCGATTGCGCATGATTATTATTAGTTTTTGTTTTATTAGGAAATCCAAGAAGGACTACAACTCTCTCTAATTTTAATTATGAGACACGTCTCACTCAATGAATTTGTACAGTAACTAGGTAAAAATAAATTAGTATACGTCATTGTGTCAAATAAAGGACGTAATTTAAATTTAAGATGGACTAGAGCGTTTAATATTGACAATTAGATTATTATTAATTATTACAATAACTACCGTTTATGGTTTTAAAATAACTCTAACATTATTATAGTACTTTAGCAACATAGAGTACACTGTACAATCAACAATATACAACCGCAGTTTTTGATAAAGATAAAGTAAAAGTCAAAACCCTGATTTTCACCATTTTACATTCTAAATAGATCTGTCAATTATGTGCTGCAAGTTGTTTTAGACTCCTACTAGATAACAATTTGGTACTGTGGGTCGCTTCTCGTTAATGGAGATGTATTGCGGTGTCGTGGTAGAATTGAAGGCTAAACGCGGCATACCGATCAGATTCTCGACAAAAACGAACTTCGGTATTGTTTTAAAGGGTATTTTTTTTTCTCGGCAAAAAAAAATAAGTAAAGCTAAATAATACCGGGAAATAAGTACGGGCGAAAAAGAATGGATATAAGGAGACCCACAGATGCTAGTGTTTATCTGTCGGTGACAAGTAAACGATTCAACCACAGCAAAGAATATTGTCGGTTTATTTATCACGAACGGCGGATGAGACTCAAGTTATGACACTTTATTCATTAATGGTTTTGCCGTTTCCGAAGCCGAAGTCGGCTTACGACTTTGAATAATGTTGACGGTAAAGGGCGAGTACATGTATATAATATACAGTAGGTAGTCCAGAGACCGCCGAACTGCGCTTACCCTCTACGACCCGCAAGACTTAAACACTTATATATCATTTCCCACCCTTTCAGCGAGTCAGTCGAAGAAAACTTTAGCGTTTGATCGACGCGTCTAACCGAAAACTTTAAACCCAATTGCTTCTCGTCGTATACAAGCTATTTTTTCATCGCCCCGCCTCCGTGTGTCATTCAGGTTATTATATATTCACGGATAAACCCATTACCGTTTAATATTGAATAAACTGTTGTTGTATATCATATTGTAGCATATAGATCAGCGTTCAAAACAAATTTAATATTTTACACACAAAACTGTAGATGCATAAACAATGTATGATTGGACCCGAAAACATTTTTTTAGGGCGCTAAGTTTATGCAAAATAATTACATGGGTGTACTCGAAGGTAAATACTTCGTTACAGCTTTGCAATGTAATATAATATTATAATTATGACTTTTTCTGTTGTATAATTAATTTACCGCCAATGGTTAACCCATGTTATAATTCTATCTGTAAAATATTGACAGTACCATACCTAATAAATAGTTTAGGACCCATACACAGCAGTATCTATGTATAAAATATATGCTTATACGATGATGGGGGGATAAGCAAAACACAGCTCTGAGAAAGAATGTACTACAGTTAAGAGCGTGTCTTTATAATATCAAATTCTACAGTATATTAATCGGTTCTAAGTATCCGCGAGGAGGTTATATTTAATATTCGTAGTAGCTGTAAGGGTTTTGCGAAAATTATATAATCTGTACAATATATTAATATAGAATAGTAAATATGCACGTATAAAATAAATGCAAAAACCATTCCGCTTATAACCGTTCAAACATGTAATATAATAATGTTTATTAGCCAGTGTAATATCGAAACGAAGCGCTTAAAATATTTCAAATTTTCCATCCGATCCCCAATAAGCTTCTTGCTTGGGTTTTTGTAGTTATTGTACATATTGTACATTATCATCTCGTCTCTTTGTTTTCGAGAGTTGTTGGTTATTTTTTATTTTATCCGATCTCAAAAGTGTCAGAAAAATAATTATTGTGGTCATTATTTGTGTGTATACATTTTGTATCCATCATCCATAGTGTATACATAAATATAAACGGTAATAGGGAGATTATGCAATGTGAATGCTGTTGTTGACATTTGTTGTCATAAATACTCAGTTAATTCGTCGAATGCATTTTTTTAGTGCGAAATGGACATGTGACACTTGCTATATCTCTGTTGTTGCTAATCATATTCATGAACTATAGTTGCAACAATAATTATAAAATTACAATCTTAACTCGTTTGTTAAATTTACCTTTACTCAAGACACTAAAATTATATTCTGTACACATACAATTATCTTTAGTTGTGGTTTCAAAAGTGTATCTAATTCAGTTAATTTTAATTTGAACAGCGCTAATGTTAAAACAGGAATTATGTGAACGTCAAAAAATTATCTCATATACTTTTGTTCGAGTCTATAATATGATAATCAAATCTGAGATCTCACAACACATGAATTTAGGTGTAACAGAGTAATATAATTTTAGATATTTTATCCGTGTACTCAATTACGTAAATGATACGTACTTTTTATTCTTTTTTTAACTGAACAAAATAACAGAGCGAAACAAACATAGTAAATCTAGTTCCCAGATGTATTCTCGAGTGGTATCTGGTAGTGACGTCTCATTTGATTCCTCCTGGTGAAATCGTTAAAAAACAAAACGCCAATCAAGAAGACGGTAGAACGAAACGCAGAAAAAAAATTTCCCTGTTGTTTTTTATACACCCACACTTCTTATATTTTTCTGTTTGCGGAAAAGTCTTAAAACGAGAGCAACGAGACGTCGCGTCGGTGAAATATAAATAATAAACTATAGACTGGTGTGCATCAAAAGGTCAAATGGCCGGTGGACATGTTTATTGAAACCTAATGTTGTGGACTTAATCCGATCGGTATAGGAAAAAAATTATCGGTCGCGAAACTAGGTTTTATTATAAGCCACCGTATCATATTGTGGTTGACATTCGCAATAAGCAGAGTCATAAATCAAACGCACGTAGGAGCGTTACAGTGTTCCAAAATTGGTATAGGTACCGCCGTAGGTTTTTATATTATACGAGAAAAGAAAAAATAATAAGAAATATTAGCGATAACAATTATAGTTCTTACCTAATATAGCAGGTATAGTGGCAAAAGATTGTAAGCTCTTTCAGTAAAATAAATCAAGTAGTGAGAAGTTTTAACACTATTGCATTTTATTTTTTTCATTTCACTGTGCTTTTTGTTTATTTGTACAGAATATCAGTTATTGTGCTGCCAAACAATTTGTAAAGACGTCTCTACAGAAACATTATAGAATAGGTTACTTAACTTTAATTTGACTTTATTCAGTGATATAATAAATATTTTGAGTTTTTATAATAGGACTATTTTTGCTTAATTGGTCTACGGCAAATTGCAATGTTATAAGAATCCATACTATTTAGTATTTCATTGAGCATATAAAGACATTTTTTTTATTCATCGTGTCTCATGTCACATGATGTTTAAGAGATATAATAATATGATTCCTTTCGTTGTTGCCGAAACGAGGTGTCCTTTAAATGGGGTTACTCGTTTATAACGCCTTTGCTTTCACAAGTCCGTTAATATATATATAATAATCCCGGCCGGATGATTCATTAGAATATAAATTTCATGTTAAAATATTCATTTTAATTAAAGGACAACAAAAAATAATAATATTATGCCTACTTCCGAGTTAGCATTTTTATGTTTAATGCGCTTTGATGTTGAAGGGAGGAGTGGCAGGCAAAAGAGATTTGTGACGTTCGCGTGCGCTCGTGTGTGTTTAACAGGATTTTTTTAACGGTGACTACACGAAATCAAAAACACCAGCGATTGTTACAAAGAATATATACTCAGTCGCGCTACACAATAATATAGCATACCTTTAAACATTTATCAGACGTGAAATAGCGTGCGTCGGCGTCTTAATTTGGCTTTTTTTTTTTTTAATGAAGGCTTATCATAAAATACAAAATAAAACACAACGTGAATATCCTTTGACTTTTGATAATACCTTTGCTGGTTGGTACTTATACGAAAGAAAAGGAAATAGACAGCTATGTCTTTTCTTTTTTTTATTCCATTTCAAAACTACTATACAAAAACGCGTAAAACGCTGCCGGCAAAATTATTTTTTATTATATCATTTATGTTAATAAAGTTTATACGGTTTTCTTTTTTTACTCTTCGTTGTCACAGGTCCAATCAGTCAATAAAGTCAATAATAATAATGCCATTTACTACGTCATTGCGCGTACTTCAAAACTCTCGGCTTACAGTCAAGCTAATTCATCTGACGATATTTTCTTCTTCTTTTTTTTGGAGAGAAAAAATAATCGGCTTATAAAATATTGTTGAAAATAATATTATAATTTATACCGAACAAATTATCATAATTATATTTCAGGACTTATTGAATTTTTCGTGCACAACTATTTAGGCTCCAACGCAAATTAATACTTTGTTATTAAATGTCAAATCGCTTTCTTACATTTTTTTATACATCAAATATTATGACGTAATATATATATATATATATATATATATATTGTATACATTTGTTTTTTTAATATATATTATACACCACCGTTTTGTAGGCATTTGTAACATGCACTTTTTGATTTAGTTACTTATTTTGATTTTTTTTGTCATGTTTTTATTTTTTTTTAATTTAAACTTGTAAGTTTTTCTTTTTGACTTTTGTACGGTACTGTGTTTTGCGGAGACAGACTTAAACGAATTTTTGTGTCTGTTTCACGTTTTGTTTTTCAGACGTTAACCTAGTGGCCGAACCGAAAGCACATCAAACCGGTAGGAAAAGGCAAAACTTGTCAAAAACCGGAAACGACTGGTAAGTAATTTGTTTTTTGTACCGCATTTTACCACCATCCACATCGCAATTGGTGTGTTGATTTTCAGTTTCATCAGTCATCTCGCTCACTGTGAGATACAACTCGTGCCTCCCACACCCCACCTCTCCTCGTCCGCAGACGTATTATTGACAACATTATAGTGTTGTGAGTTTGCCTAACCCAATCATGTCGGTCTTATAAATTTCCTCTATTTCCTTTTTCTACCGTCAAAGAAAGCGATCCGCCCAGTTCCAATAACAAAAGTTAGCCAATTTTTCTACCATATTTTATTAGTTATATCTCTACGGTCCTCGACGGAGTTACTCTAGACGTATAATAGCTTATCGACCTACCTTTATACATGCCCCGTCATGCTTCTTCTACCCTCCAAACCCCCCACCGGACAACAACGCAATAAACTTGGCGAAATATTATATACAGGATATCCTATATCAAATCGTGGGATTCTCGTCCTCCGGGACACCGGCGAATCCGTGATCCACATTATAAATCCGGAACCAATCCTCGAGATTTACCTTATAGCCAATATAATAGCAACAATAATAATAATAATAATTATTATTTATGTTATTGTAATAACAATAACAATAATTAGTGTTATTAAAATAATTACAAACAAATTTAATATACTATATAATATTAAATGTAATCAATAATAGTTTTATTAATTCAGCGTTGGCTTTTTTATACCTACATTAAAAGTTCTTTTTATTTATATACTCGTCCACAGTTATTTTAAAATTTATTATAATTTTCTCAATAATTCTAGTAGAAACTAGAACGTTAAAATCAATGATTATGTTACGATTCTTGGAAGTAGTTTAGTGTTTACAAAGCTGAATTCATGTTCACTTTGATCCCAATGAATGTTAATAATTATTCGACAACATGCTACACATATGATTACTCAGGTACCTATTCACGTATAGTAAATGATTCGAAGAAAGTTTTAACTATATATAACTTATATGTAACCATACTTTCATTCCAATCAGACATGTTCAATGCAGATTTCAAACCAAATTTCTGATAAAATCGGTGTGGTCATATTTCAGTTTTTTACGATACGTTTTTAAATTAGCATTAGAGGAGGAAAAAAAACCGTCTTTCTACCGTCGGGTGTGTATTATAATTTCGCGGTCAGATAACTCTCGACGAGAACCCCTTTTTCTCTTATTTGGTGGCGCGGGTTGATGACATTCCGTATTCAATTTCAGATAAAAATCCGCAGGAAAAAAGGGGCGGTGGGGTTTCGTTACACAGGGTAATTACTAAATACGACCATTGTGTGTGCCGGGTTTTTAACAAATCTGAATTATTCCATAGGTAAATAATGTAGCAAAGATAAAACCGACCTCCAAAATGAAACAAAAAAAAACTAGACGTTTTTTTGGCGGCCAACTGTGATTTCCCACGAGACCACGTGCCCGGGGATTTTTAATTCATTCGTCGTTCTTTTTTGTTTTGTTATAAAAAATTAAAAAAATTTGCCCGTAGTAGATTATATAGTAGTATTTACATTCAGAATACAAGAGAAATATTTCTTTTATTAGTACTAATAATACACTCTTATTATTGATTCAAAAACAATGGTCAACTCTATAGCTATACATAATTAAGCGGTTTTTTAGGAATACTTTGATAATTGTTGAAATTTCAATGTGCTAAGTTAATAAAACCACAGTGAACTTGGGCCTTTATTATTAGTATCTGCGCTGCCTTTGAACTTTGTATATATTGTAACAAAAAATAGTTAATACACACTCCAAAATTGCTTAAAACCAAATTAATATGTTAAACAAATCAAAATATTTTTATTTATTCTAGAGTTCCGCCTACAGATTTCAGGTTACCTAATATGTCGTTATTAACCAAAATCGTTATCGCTTTCTTATTATTCATCATTAATATTATATTGTTTGACAAGTTTAAAACCATTCGATTAGTTATACCAACTATATCAATATTAACTTCCCAAAATTGTATCTAATTAAGGGATCGTTCGGCTGTAATACTTTTTAAACCTATCCTAATTTTTAAAAATGTATCATTATTAGGACACGTTATTTATTTGTTTTTTTTTTTAATGACGATTATAACAAAGCTCGAAGCGTTATAATGGGATTTTATTTTTAACGTATACATTTTTACCTTTGATTTTATTTTATCAGTTTTAACGTATATAATATATAAATTCGCTTCTCCTCGGGGCGTTATAAAAAAATAGCATGAGAAACTCAAGAAAACTGATCAGAAAAAAATTGTCAATTATAATATAATAGGCTAAAGTGTTTTTATTTTTTTGTTGTATAAAAACGAAAAAAATTATCTTTTAATATGGTAAACGATACTCGTTAGTTTCTATTACGTCCCTTACCTCCTTGGAACGCAATGTTTACATGCCGCTAGGTTGGTGAGCTGGCGTTCATTAAAGCCGAACAATATTATTTTACTGCCTTATCTGCTTTAAGCAGGTCTAATATTTTGTTGACTTACCAACCACCACCGTAGGTACCACCGGGTGCTTGTAACAAGTATCCGTGTGACCAAATGTCTTACCGAGGGTCGACAGAGGTACACAGGTGGTTAAACTTAGTACCTACCTATTAGAACACACATTTTCCTCCCCTTTCGGCGTCTTTCACTATCTACTTGCTTTTCGCTACATTATAATCTCCGAGTGTTAGGGAGTACCCTTTTTGCCGGCTTGCCTCGGTATACGGATAATTAATGTAAATATCTGCTCCCTTTCTGCATTCCCTTATTATTGTATAAATAAGTCGCTTCTTAATAAAACATACGTCGCTTTGTTTGATCATGTCTTGCAAAGTACGTTCATCAACCTTGTATACCATTTCACGACAGTCATTCATAAACATGTGTGTGTGTGTGTATGTCAAGAAAAATGATCAGAGACTTTAATACCATAAAGATTATCTGAATTTGTTCAATTATATCAATTAAATTGCATGCTTCAATATGTAAAAATAAAAATAATAATAAGATAATAATTTGAGTAAAACTATATGGACCATTCACGGACTTCTAAATGCTGTTTTATGAAACACAAAGTGTTTAATAATTTTTAAAATACTTACACTACTTAAGCGTTTCCCATACAGGAAAAACGTATTAATGTTTACAAAAATTTGTCAACAAATCTGTCGATATATTATTTAAAATATTTTTAAATCATTATTTTCTACAATATTGTTAAACAAAATGTTGTGTAGGGAAAAATTTTTATTTATTCTATAACAATACCGTTATTTTGTTGAAATTAAATCATTGCGTAATGCAGTGGTTGCCTTATAATTATTATGTAGTAAAATACTATTGCTCAACGTATTATGTAATATTATATGCTACGATAACTACTATAATTCGTTCTTCAATAATAATTGGTTTTCCAAAATCTCCTATAAGTAATGGAAAGTACTCAAGGACAACAATAATTAATAACAAAATTAAATATTTTCTACAAATTCCATTGGTTTATTTTATTTCTGGTTCTTTGATTAACTTTATAGTAATATTGTATTAGAATGCTTGTGTTTTTCTAAAATATTTTTAATGAAGAGTATAATATTCTGTGACAGTGTATTTTATTAATATTATTTGTTTTTTTATTTTACAGGGAATACTATTACAACAGGTATGTATTACAAAAACTGTACAGTTTAACTTAATAGCATAATCGTTAAAAACAAAATCGATTACACTCTGATGCGAGAGCAACCCGGGAAGAAAAAATTGGAGTTAAACGAAAGCGAGACCCTGATTTTTTTTAAGCTAAGAATAATTTAAATATAGCGTCGTCGTAATTGTCGGTCCCGTACCTGCTCGTTTAAAATGTTCACGAATCACAAGATAACTTTTTATCTTACTACTAAATTTAATAAAATATCTCATTCCGTAAAACTTATATTTTCTTGAACCAGAGTTAAACCGATTTTTAACAAAATATGTTTTTCAGTTTGAAATCGTAATTTAATAGTTAACTCTCTCGTGCTGCTGTTAGAACATCATTTTTTTAATTAATGATTTTCTCAAATCGGTGACATTTTGCTGAAAGTGTTAAATTAAAAAATGTTGAAATCGCCATATACATTATAAGTGGCTACAAGTATAAACTGTAGTAAGGTATTTTAATAAATTCAAACTATTGGTTTTGTAAAATGCAAACTATACAACATATATGTTTTTCAGCTAAGCGAATTATATATTAGGTACACAATATAAAGATTAAAGACATCATGTAAAAATATTTTTTACAATTTACTTTTATGATTTTAGGTTAGGTCATAATTTTGAGTTTTTATTTTTCATGTAAGATTTATAAGACTGGATTCGTTTTATGCTGTATCATTAAAAAAAATATAGGTATAAAATATAAGTATAATGCATTTTTATAACTGATCAAATATTTTAATGATGTCGTCATCACTCTTATTATAATTTATCATTTGAATTTTTTTCCCCGAGCAGGTGTAGGAGGTCCAATGGCTTGTCTAAAAACATGTGTTCATGATGGATTGTCCGTATAACAGCGTGGAAAGCTTCCTTATACTTGCCCAATGTATAGACGTAATCCTCGATTTCGGAAATCTCATCTTGAGCTATTGTTATGAGTTTTTCTATTTTTTTATTTGTGTCTATTTTGAATGATTTTATTACGTTGTGGAACTGTAATTCATTGACTCTCATTGGATCAGAACACAACCGTAACAGCCACGGAATCCATTTCCCTGGCGCGAGGTGCAAATATTTTTTTTCTGGAAATTTAATTATCAGTGAAATTTCAGCGTGAAACTTTTCCAAGTATTTTTGCACTCTATCCGGAAACAAATTTAAGCAGATTAATTCGTAAAAACAGCTGACTATTGCTTCGCCCAGATGACCGATTTTTTGTTCGTAGTTGCCGGTTCTCGTGTTCACGTCGTCGACTTTATCGTCGCCAGGATAGAATATCTTGTCTATCACGTGTAAGTATGTTGTGGCACACATAAACACGGGATGCAATGTGGCGGCCAATACTTGCTGCTGGTAAGATCGTACGTAATCTGGTTCGTAAGTCGATTTCACGAGCTCGTATATGTCAGACATTTTCGCATAATTCCCATTGTCTTGTTTCCAGTTTGTAGTCACGTCCCATAAGAGGTATAACTTATCACGGTCGGCGTTATTGTTTGTAAAGAAATCCGGCGGCACGTTCGCTACTTCTATCGTTGTATAATCGTCAGTCATTAATCGACAAAACAACATATTCACCGGATGAAAGTCCAAATATGTGTTTCTTCTCAACGTATCCCTAAAATGTGTATCCAATTTACATTTGTTGTATTTTATTTTACTGAAAATAAAATTTGTCTTGACTTTAAGATCGCCTTCAACTAATCCAGACAATAATTCATTCGTTTTTTCCAACGCCAGACTGGTTTCGATTTTATTTAAATGACCGTTAGACTTGCTGTCAATAAATCGCTCTAACCCTTGCATTATTTTTGTTCCGGAATTCATAAAACCTTCTAGAATGTGTGTAACGCCGTGGACATTATTTAAATACAAATTTACCATTAACAAGTCTTTCGGATAAATGTATTTTTCCAAATATCTTAGCTCGTCGAGCATAGCCATTATTATTGTATCGTGCGATTGGACGACAAGGCAAAACTCTAGAAATTTTTCGTTTCTCATTTTTTCATCTTCCTGTTTTGTCTCAAACGCATTCGAAAAATAATTAGCATTTAGGTTAAAAAAACTTAACACATACTTTGAGTAATAACAATGTAACTTTGTAATATGCTTAATCGGTTCGGATTGTACACAAAAAACGGCCAACGACAACAAAACACAAATTGTATTTAGTACAAACATAGCAAAAACACTGTAAGACTGTTACGATAAAAAAATTATACTAAAATTTATATTTTTTTGTTCTCGTTTAAATTACACACAAACAAGCATCTGGTTTTAAAAAAACATCCGCTTACTTTATTGTACATAACACAATGGTGTTTTATATGTTATTTACAATATGTTTTTTATTTGTACATAATAAATAAATATACCGAGTGATTCTTCTAACGCCTTTTTTTTGTTTATGCTATAATACAATATTAGAACATTTTTATCTCTAAGTATTTTTTAGAGATTTATCAACTTTTGAAACTCAAATAGTAACGTATATATTTTAATAACTTTTTAATTTAAGAATTATTTTCTGAAAATGTTGACAAGCCGATAACAAGTTTTTAATAAATAGTTTTAAAGTTTAAAAATCTATGACGGGTGGAAGGACGCGCATTATTCTACCTCCCGTCCTTAAATTTAAATTTAAATAACTTAAAAAATAGTTTTTCAAAATTGGTTATCGACCGGTCAGTAAAATATTCGCAATTTAAATATTTATATTAACACTTTCTAAGTTGATAAAACTCTAGAAAATATTAAAAAATATAAAAATATTTAAAAAAGAAAAATTCCCAACTGCAATTATTTTAAGAGTAAACTAGTGTTGGGTATTAAAAGAATTACCCGGTACAGTGTTAAAATCATAAGAAACATGTATTCCTTAAAATGTAGGACATAATATGTTTTACTATTTTTTTTTTAATTTCAATAGACTTAAAATATAAGTTATTGTCAGTTGCAAAAAAGTTATATAAATAAATACAAATTGTATTTTACTTTATACAGCTAGTTTACTAAAAGAAACAAAAACTGAAAATAAAATAAAAACTGCTCTTTAGTGCTATAGCCTATCTAGCTGTATAATTAAAGTCGCGTCAAAGAGAGGTAATACAAATCTTTATAACCCAAGTAAAATATTATTTATTTTCGCATAAAACGAAAGCAATTTTATATCATCGTAGTTAACATTGATAGTAAATTGTTTTTTTTTTTTTGCAAAACTATTTTTCTTCGTTAACATTACAATTTATATTATATATATCTTCTTACTTTAGGTTCCGGTTACATATTGTTTACATACTATTATTGCATCCGCTACCAAATCTTCTGTTTTTCTATGTTTGATTGGTGCGTCAGGTCTTTTCGAAGGTCGAGCGGTAGGTAATATGTATATTCGGAAATTTCATAAAATATCAAATCCGAAATAAAAATACAAAGAAAGTAGAAAAATCATCAATAAGCGGTAAAGTCTATGTCGTGTGACATTTGGGTGTCGGCTTCGGTAGTGAGCTGGTTTAATAATGCAAACGTTCCTGGTGGGTAAGAGCGCACGTGAAGTACAGCAACTGTCAGTAAGAGTCGTCCAAGAAACGCGTTTGAATATTTATAAGTTTCGCTTTCGTTCGAATTTCGATGATGGATGATGGTGAACGCATAAATGTTTATGTTTGACGGTCTCGAGGTGAACACTGTAAAACGATTTAACTGCGTACATCAACTTTATCCATTTCCCCTCGCCTAACCAGTTGCTTTTAATTGATTTCGTCGTCGCTTTGCTGTCACCTCGGTAGTGTTTAAACGGCGAACGGCCGATGGGTAAGAGACCAATACGGTCGTTAAGTACCACACGTGGAAGTTGGCAAATAATACCTACGACGATGTGGATGCGGTGCGAAAACGGGAAAACATTGAATTTTCATTGGGGGAAGAAACGGGGTCCGCGGTTAGGAGCACCGGAGGCAAAGGACGAGTTACACCATCGCTTTTGAGGGCGAAAAACTGCGAGGAAATAAGGAAAATATATAATAATAAAAAAAAAATCTATTATTCAAAACAGACAACTCGAAAAACGCTTTTGCACCGACCGCATCCGACGCTGACGAGACATTATTTAAAATTAATTGAATTCAAAACGTTCGCCTTTTGTACATAGCCACCTTAATGGATATCGTCAGTCGATATGCACCCGCCAGCGTGGGCGAAGGGTGTCGATTTTACGAGTGTTTCTCGAAGATATACAAGGCCACAAAAGTAATGCTAAACGAATGCTAAAATTCAGATGCTAATGTCGGGGTTAAACGGCAGGAGATGCGACGGCGTAAAAAATAAAATTTAGATAATCTACGTTTAAACAAGCACGCGCCGTTTTCGCAATGGTCTTTTTCCTCGGCATTTTAATATTAAATTAAACAATAGAAAACCCATAAAGAAATGTTGAAAAGAGTACAAATGTTTGAAAATTCGATTATTTGTCTTCGCAAATTGGCTACTCATAAAGGCGGATGTACAAAAAGTTCTATTAGCTGACAATGAGTGTATAACCCATATTAATTATTTATATCAGTATACAACTGGTGTTGATTATCCCGTAATATGATACTTTTGTTTAACCCTAAGTCTAACTATAAAAATTTTAAAAATAATTTTACCTAAACTTACTGACCCGACCTAACTATTTAATTTTTGGCCATTTGATCCAATGTACTTTTAATTAATCATCATCGTTATGTAGCTCAACCGGCTTTCAATGCTCAACGCTGTCATGAGATGGTTTTCTCTGATTAAACCGTATATTTTGTTTACAACTATTCGAATAAACCCTCTCGTTATAAAAAAAACCTATTTTAACTTTTCAACACATTTTTGACTAACACATTTTTTATCTCGATTAGTTTATATGAACTTTTACGAGTTACGTCTTCTCATAAAATATGGTTTTGTCAATATTTCCGAGAACAATAATTAATGCTAATTAAAGTCATCGCAAAACTGCTTGAAAATAACAACTACTGAAACATGTCATAACACATCGGTTTCAAAAAGTTCCCAACAATATGGATGACTGTATAGCGAAGGGAAAGTTGAAATTGTATTGCTTATCGATACATTTTTGGGTTCAATAGGTCAACAATGTATTTTGCAAAGCATGCGGAATGGATTCGTCCGACATTTTTCATAAATAGTTAATATAATATGACTTGATTATTTTTGAGAAGTATAGTATTCAGTGAGTTAAAAAAATACATTAACTTAAAATGTTTGATTTACGCGCCAAGCAGATTCGTGTAACTAAATGTACGGTTACCATTTATCACATGTGTGATATGATAGTCGCAATTGGAGGGAGGACTTTAGCGCACCCCCATAATCGTTTACTTTTTATTCATTGAGTTTAATAATCTTTTTAGTATTTGGCGACAAAAAAAACCCGATTCCGAATCTGTCCGTGTGCTGAAACTGAAGTGGGATTTTTTTTATTAATTCAACCACCGCTTTCGGGGCAAACACGGTAAATATGACTACGATCGGAATATTATTGGTTGATCGAAACGCGCTGGGGGGGGGTTTTTTGGGGGGGGGGAGGGCGTAAAGCGAAATGGGCTCCTAGACACAACGTGTGTACATTTAGGCCGGCGAGAGTCGTGCGGACGATAAAACTTTATGCGCGCTTTGGACTCGATATGACAATAGTACGGCGCGGCGGTGACTGCATGTCATGGCTGGAGGGAGTGGGCGAAATCCGGTGCCGTCGCCGCTATTATGTTGCATTAGTGACGGACTGACGAGCCAGATAAACGACGGTGTGGAGTTCGTTAGGCCTCGTGCGGCGGTTACGTGGACCGTGTTCGAAATCGGTTTTGCCGCGTTCAAAACTTGCATTTGCCACACACACATACGCGCCTCGGCACGGGCACCGGGGAAGGGTTGCTTTTGTAATTGTTAGCTACCGCAGAAGACGGATAATTATTATTATCCAGAAGAAGAACACGGGTTCGAAGTAAATATAAAAGACACGAAAGTCTAGCGCTAATTGCCCGACCGTGCGGCCGTTAAGCCTCGGCGTTACCGTGATTAGCGCAGGGACGGCCAAGACGATAACGCTTATCGGATAAAACTATACGACGCTTATTCGTTTTGTCAGGAAAATAAAGCATAATAGGATTGTCCGACACCTCGAGACGGAAATTATTAATCAAGGATCCCCCGGGGACGGCCACACTAGAGTGCGCCGCCGATCTCTACATATTATATAATATTGTGCTTTCTCAAAGAATTAGTGCAATGAGCGTTTATAGCCGGACGAGCATTATAATTGCAAAGACAACTCGATGGAGTACCGTAGCCTATGCCGGCGGTGTATTCAACAGTAAAATATTGTACGAATAAAACTTGTTATAATCATAATTAAGAGTTAAGCACAGGCATTAAAACGATAAGCATATGTAGGCAGAAACGAACAGTATTAGAAATACAAGACTTTAAAACTAGCGTTTGAAATACTTTTCAGTAATTAGTAGATTTTAAGATATAAAATGGTATGTTATTAAATTGCGTTCTAGTTCCAGGTTTTCATTTAATTGTTGTATTATCATTACAACTGAAATCATATTTATTTAGACAATATTATTTGAAATTTAGCAAAAACGATATTTTATTAAGTTAAAAGTGACGATGCCAACACGATATTATTACAATAAAAAGCACACGAGAGTTTAACAGAAACCATATTGTCGACGTCCATTGAAGGCATTTTACTTGTCATATTAAATTCATTGACGGGTAGCACAAAGTTAGGGGTCATATTGTTATTGTTAATATTAAATGACGTGGGGTGTACGGTCCATGAAATGTAAATGCGACAACGAAACGTAGGATTAAGTTGCCCTTAGTGGTCTTATTTTGAAATGCACTTAAAGCATCAGACAGTTGTTGACTTGATGGTATAAAAAAACGATGGAGAATTTAATTTTGAAAAAAAAAAAAAAAATACAAAATTGCTCAGCGTTAAGAATCGAGTAATCTTTCAAACGTATAATATAAAATTAAATCAATAGCTTCTGGATAGGTGGATAGCCATATCGACCGTATCGAGACGGCGGCGGAGGGGGGAGGGGCGAGACGTTTTTAATGGCCCGAAGAATTATGATCCGGAAAAAACAGGGCAGAGAGACGTGATTCAAGTGCAATTTCTGAAACCAGATGAATTACAGCCCATTGTGTGTGCAGGAGCGTAATCGATTTGGTCCTTTATTTTTCCTTTTCAAAATTAAAAACCCGGTTACTTCGATTCATTACACCGATCGGCGTACTTATTATTATTCATTTATTATACACCATAGTTATTACGCATCATCCACGGCCAACAACAACGGCAACGGCGGTAACGGATCGAAATCTTCAAAACGCCAGAAGATCAATCATCAGTTTACTGCTGCCAACGCCGTAGCCAAGGGCCGAAACGTGAACAGCGGTTGCGGGATTCAACAGCAGAATACCGCGCACTCGCCCGCCATTGTCCCTGACCAACTGAAACTCTACAGTAAGTTTGACATTGTCGTTGGACAGTGATGCACATTATTTTCTGACGTCGGTGTCGAACGGTATAGTCATGCATAGGTCCAACCCGCGGTGATCGAAATACTATAGTCATGGCCGGTTTACAGGTAACCCAGACATTTTAATTTGTGGAAATTGCCGTGAAATGTTCACTGAACTCCAGGGAATGTTGGATCACAAGAAAGAATACTGTAAGCTTCGGTTCGCGTGCAAATGCATTAACTCTACCAGGTCTAACGTCAACAACAACAACAACAACAACAACAATAACAGTGAGTTCACCACTAGATTATATCACCTTTTTTTTTGTTTTTTGCTACCGAGTTATATTAGAGTTGACAGCTAATGTAATCTCAACTAATATTTGTTATTTAAGCAAAAATGTGTGTTTTATAAGGTTTATATTTACATATCCAAAACCAACTTAACTGGGTAGGGTTTTATTTAAATAAAAAACATGCATTATTGCCAAATCCGAGTTAGACACACCTACCCAAATCGCAAAATATGTATTCATAAACGGTTCATTTAAACGTTTAAAGTCCCTCTCCGTTTCCAATCGCAATATTGGCGTTATGATTTAACAGAAATGTAAATTATATATGCATAGAGCGCAAGTGTTTTCGTAAAAATCGTGCAACCATCTAATGGTTTTGTGTTTTTTATGAAAAAAAAACATTGCTTTAAAAACAAGAGAAAATTTCACAGTATAATATACTTTTATTTAATTTTCAAATAAAACCCAATTGAATTGAACCTCTTGCGACTGACAGTGGGAAATTTATGCTTTGTCTTTTCGGTCGATTTGTCGACGCCAGCTGTAATGGACCACAAATTGGGTAATTAAATTTGAAAATAATAATCTTTAATTTAATATCGTCTTTCTAATAACCAGCCTTCCCACTATCCAGAATTTTATCACGATTTCGGGTTTTCCATATGTCGACATGTCGTACTGAAGCTTCCTCACCTTTCGACCTGGTTGCTGCATACCTATCTATGGTCCGTTTCTGCACTGGCAAAGTATCTATTGCCAATTTATTGTAAAAGACTACTCCAATATTGTTCTTGCGACAACGTCTGAGAATTCCTAATGTTTTTCCACACACTATCAGCTGTCTGCAGACTGTAATAATAATAATTTGTCTTGATCCAACAGAGTGGCCGGCAAATTTGAACGAGGGCTTCGTGTCTCTGGTGTGTGTCCAATGCAAAGAATCCTTTGACAACGCATGGGATCTAATGGTACACGCTCAGGCCACACATATGATGAACGTCTACCAGTTGGCCACTAGAGACCGAGTGACGTTGTCACCGGTTGGTACAGAGTCGGAAAACGGATCGATGGTAAACATTTTTAGTTTGAAATAATTGTATAATAATAATATTCGTTCAACTTGATTGGTTTTTAAAACATGTCGGCATTTAGGTAAACGCTATACCACCCATGTTAGAACTATTATAGGTGAAAAAAGTCAGGCCACGTCGTTGCTTTCCTACGTTCGTTTCTGTTGTTGGCTACTACGCAGAACCAAATCAAATATAAGCGATTTGACCACATCGCAAAAAAAAAACATAAATAAGTAAAAAATTTCAAACCCACCACTACCGATATTAACAGTAATTATAATACAATATGTATATAGACGATCTTTGTTCGAGTAGTAAACGAACCGATGCTTTGGCGGAGGGGCAACGGTTTAGGTAGAAAGGGACGACCAGTTAATTTAACAAATGCGTTTCTGATGCGAGTGAAACATACAAAAGGTATACGTCAATTAAATACAAACCCCGCGGGGCACGTCCGACATGTGGGATTTTTTCCTGTTGGAATTTTGCCAACGTTTGTACAGTAATTAATGCCGCCAGGGAATAGTATTTCATAGGGTTATTTTGTTGATAAAACATAAAAAGTTAATTGTACAGAATCAAAAAAAAAAAACAATAGGATCACCCAATATTTTTAATTGAAAATTATTATCAACAAACAACCCGTGTTTTTAATCAACTACAACAAACCAAATAGAGATATTTAATCATTTTCACGTGCATAAGCATTTCTTGTACGTTTTAATACTAAAATTGGATACTAATTTGATTAAAACATATAATTTTCACATTTTAGTATTCATAAAAAATCTGTACTTTATTAGTATCTACTTAGTATTATAAATGCACTAAGAATGCAATTAATAATTCTTAGCACTGTTAGCACGTCAATCTGTTTTTTTAAATCGCCTCCAAAGTAGTGAGCGACTAACAAAACAAAAATCATAATCGTGCTGTTTCCCGGTTTCTAAACGTATTTTATAATGTAACTATAATTATTCTAAATCTACGACTTCCCTAGTAGCGAATAAACAGAACGAATGAAATTATACCTAATTATTATTGATATTGTGTGCGCGACAACTTAGTAATCGAATGTACAGACACAACGTAGATATAAGTTGTCTAAAGTTATGTTTATTAAAAACCTAAAGCTACAAATTCTATAGTAATTTTGAATTCAGAAAAAAAAATAGAATAAAAAAACACCGATTTTAGAAAATTATTCTTCCAGGCGATTGATTTAACGCGGTTTTGAGCTGGATTGACAGGTCTTGTTTGCTTCTTTTTTTTTTTTTTTTGTCCATCGCATTGTTATTCGCCGGCTAAAGTTGCCGTCATGCTATTCTTGGCCCTTGTGTTTCTGACCAAACCTCCTTGACGGCAATAATTAAACCGAAATGGAATCGGATATACACACATAGATAAATGTATCTTCGCTACCGCCGAAGAGGGCAAACGAGGGCGCGACCACACCCCGGAACAGCGACTGATAACTGCCGGAAGTGATCAATCGTGGGCGTGGTGCGTGTCCGGACTAACCGGACTTTCGTGTCTAGAACTTTGTCTGACATTAAGTTATTAAAGCTGTATAGAAAAAAAAAAAGAAAAACTCGCAAACAACAACCTTGACATGTCAAAAATCAACGTAATACTTTGTTACGTGAACTTGTATTATAATTTGTTTATTTGGTCTATAAGTTTATGTAAGCGTCATGGTCGTGTACCTCCGGTGTCTGAAACAAATTGCATTAGGTATATTATTAGTTGATGATATGCAGTTTATTGTTGCGGCTATGTGGGTAACAATTATTGATGTATCCGCGACATCATCGGTACTCCCAGCGGTGTACAACAATGTGCGAGGAATTTTCGAATAAATCCCTACCCACATATAAGCTGTATACACATATAATATAGTATTGTGCAATATGTATAACATAGATTAGGACTTTATTCTAATTGATTCCGGGATCCAAGACTCTCGTATGCTTTAGTTTTTATATCTATGCCGACGATAGGTGTATATAGCACTTTCCAACACTTGTTCCAACCTATGACACTACAGTAATTAAATAAATTTCCATACGTCAAATGTTAAATTACAAACATTTGCAGTGTTCGGTTGGCGCTCAAGTGAATATCGACGAAGATGGCAATGGATCGGCAGACGAATCGCTCAGCGGCCGGCAGGAATACGAATCAGCCGACAACAACACGACTCAGGAATATTCTTCGCCTTCGATACATTTTTGTGAACCCGACAAAGTGTTACCTGAAACCCAAAGCCCATCAGCAGTCAATTCCTGTCAAACTTGTCTCGTCCAACAACCGCTACAAGCGCTCATGGGTGTGCGCTAGTAAAACGTTCAAATATATTATCAACCGTGCATGTGGAATTTATACTAAAATTTAGCCACAAGATACACTGTAAACCCACAGTTAAAACGCTAGTCCTCTTTGTTTCCAGATTATTTTTACAATACAACACCACTGAACCATTCACTGCTATACCTATGTTTATGGTTCAACGAATACTCTATACAGATAAATATAAACAATATTTGTGTTGATTTTGATTTTCAAATTTTTCGACTCGATTCTTTTAACAAATCTTCCGAGAACTTCTAACTTATATTGAAAAATAATTTAAATTTAAAAAAAATATATATTATTAAACTATATTCGATACATACATTTATTTGCATACAATATGCCTACTAATATAATATATAGTTTTAATTATAACTTTTGCAATGCACCATAATTTTATGTTATATATAAAATATATTATTCACATTTAACAAATTGCACCCAGGCGAGACGCACTATAGGTTTAATAAAAAATGTTAATAAATATTATGGTTTTTTGGTAGGTATTCACAGTTCACTCGATTATCATTAACAATTTTGTAATAAGTTAGTTATTTTTTTAACTGTTAAGCAATACATATCATTACGATTAAATACAAACAAATAATTACGAGGCTATTATATTGTGTACGAAGTGTCCATAATCAATCATCACTTTTCTCCAATGTATTCAAATTATTAATCTTAAACATTAAACATTATAATCAAAATATTTTTATTAAATCAACATTGCATTCAATAGACTAACCCGTGTTGTAATAATTTGATCGTTTAAACAATATATACTCTTAACCCATAGAGATCTCGTGGACCATAAAATGTATTAATATGCCTGCGTACACATTATTTACTTATATATTTAAGTGAATTTACAAATATGCCATCTAGAGAAAATATTAAAGCTTGTAAATGTTACTAAAACTAGTTTATGTTTGAATAAAAAGCTATTTAATTACATAATATTACATTGTATGATCAACCTATATACCTGCATTTTCCCTATCCACTTATAACAAATTACAGTGGTCAACAAAAATTCACTTTTTGTGTGTAATATACTTCAAATGTATACTGTCACTTGGTCCGGCCTGGCAAATCGCGCGGTCGTGGTGCCCGGCACACGATGGTCCAAAACGTAATTTTAGCTGGACAAAATTATTTTTTATATTTTTTTCAAATTAAGTAGTTAAAATACATGTAAATTATAATCATGTAATTTTAAAGTTTATTTTAATTAATAACATAATAATTGTAATATTGATGTATTTTAAAATAATATTTAGAAAAAAGAGATAAATCACTCGTTTCGTCAATAAAACCTGGCCATAAACTAAACTCATTATTTAGCCAGTCACAATTGGTTTCCAAAAATCTTAAAATTAAATATTAGTTTTAAAAAAATGTTTCATAGAAATAGCTATCATACCTATCATGTTTACGACAACATTTTTCCCATTTCCTTGCAAGAACAATAAATGTAAAACAATTTATATTAGCCAAACAATTTTCTTCAAATTTAGAGTTCCAATTCATGCCATTATACCGGGTTTTAATTACAGCCACTAAATAAATTATTGCATCCATGAATATTTTGAAAAATAATATTAATCGTGTATATGTATTTTTACTGCGTCTTATTTTGCATCAAGTGCAAGTTCGATAATGATAATCATATTAAGGTTTGCTTTACTAATCTCTAGTTTTTAAATTACCACATTTTATAGCTTCGTTGCGGTCATTTAAGTTTAAAAATAATGTTACGACTGCTGGAGTGTTATTTTGAAATACAATACAGTCGACAAATTTTTCTTATCGCGTACAAAGTTCAACTGTCGCGTTGTTTCAATCAACAAAAATATTAATTTTAAAAAAAGGCGCAAACATCCGCAGACGATTTTTTTTTATCTTAAAGCTGAGAAGTTTTACTATAAGATGTGTGTAGTCGCTAAGAGTAACTATGAGTAACTACAGAGATAAAGTCCATTTATTTCAAAAAACCAATACAGTTTTATTAACTGTTTTAACATACAATAAATTTTAAAAAGTAGTAAAATAAAAATCAAATATATCTTACTAGTACCTAGTACTTTTTCTATACTAAATAATGAAAAAAAAATCAAGTTACTGCGATTATTCAATCATAAGATATAATCAGTTGTATTTATATACATTTATGCAAAAATCAATCGAAAATACGGTTGTTTTGTACGCCTTTTTTTTATATAACCTTGTAATTCATGCAAATAATCTGTCTAGGGAAAGATACCGCCATGTCCCACCAAAAACTTAGCAGAAACCTACGGGTGGGTAATCAGCCTATTCTGCCAAGCAGGCGTCCTCCTTCTTCGGGCTTACTCCTGAACATTTACGCCATACGAATAAAAAATGTTGATGTGCAAACAGGAAGACCAAGGGATTGAAATAAAAATCTGAACAAATTAGAGATATATTAGAATAAAAAAATTATCTACGACAAAAAGTATATATTTAGAATAAAAATAGTTATTAGGATCGATTTTTCGTCAACAAGTAAAAAACACCCACTGCCAAATTATTGGCACACACTTCCTGGATGGAAACCGATTAGATCACATTAAACTATTTTGAACAATTTTCGTTGAAAGGATAGGAAATCACTTGACCAAACCTACAATTTTAAATCAATACACACTAAACAAATGTACAGTATACATTTTTTTAAATTACACATTCAGAATAAAAATGTATTTTCCTTAACTCAAAATAAACAACCAAAGTATCATATGATTACCTAAATAAAACAAGGGTTCATTATTAGCTATATTATTGATTGCTTTTGTTAGATAATTTTGTTCGTTATTATGATGGTAGGCATTAAAATATTGTATTTTGTCGTTAGTTTATATTAATTATTAAAATATAAATGTTATAATAAATAATTATTAATAAACAATAGCACAATTACATAGTGGAGTACAATTACAATATTAATTATATCAGAACAAATTATTCTACGATTAAAATTATAATTAAGAACTTTATACCAGGAAAGTGTTTTTCACAGTAAGTGTTATAAATTATATAAGCAAAAAAAATATCTGAATTATAATACAAAATACAATTATCACAAATATACAATGTAAATTGGGCCATAACATTAAGACTTTTATTTCACGTGTACTGTTTTATATTTCTGGTGGTCATTCATCTAAAAAAACAAGATGATATATTTAATAAAAAAAAAATAAAAAAATACATATTAATAAATTACATATTACAAATTTATAAATACATATTTATAAATTTAAAAATGATAATATTACTTACATGTTTAATATCTTTCATTTGAAAGTGATCGAGAGCGTGATCTTCTGCTCCTATAAGGAGAACGACTTGTTGAACGTGAACGCGAATCCATTCGATTTAAACGACGTGGAGGTGGTGATCGTCTTCTATAATTAATTATATTTTTTTATTAAATTTATGTAGTTATTTTTTTCAACTTTTTGAAATAAGTTTTCCTTCAAAAAGTTGGGTTTGCCTAATTTAAACTGAATTGAATAACAAAAACACAAAGCAGCATGCGCCACAAAACATTCAAAATACCAATCATGATTTTTTTAAACCATTTATAGAAAAAAAATTATGATTTTTAAAATTAATTGTTGGGTGTCGTTTTTCTGGGACCTAAAAAGTTTGAAGTTTATCACCATTTTAATAGAAAATATTAAGAAGATAATTACTGTTAAGTACTTTAAGCTAAGTAAGAATTACTTAACTTTAATGGTGATCTAAGAAATTGAATCATTATGATATAATTTTTATTTATTACTTATCCTAATTTTTTCGTTTAAATAGGAATGAAATACGTTTTTACCAATCATTTATAAATCCTAAATAATTGATATCCAAAAAAATATTAATTAAAATCGATGTTTTTAATAGAGCACTATGATAGGTACAATTTAGTTTAAATTTGGCATATCCAAGTTTTTAATGTTAATAAAAGAATTCAGTACAATGTACAAAGGACCTAATTTTATAATTGATGTTATATTTGAACAGTGTTATGCAAAAAATTAATATTACACTTTAGTTTTATCTTACCGTCATACATGCATAAGATAAAAGTAACTTCAGTTAATTGATATATACAAAATCCGCCCCTCACACAACTCTTAATTTCTTTAGAGGGACGTTAGAAATTATTATACTTGGGAAATGGCTTGTTTACATAAACTTTCAAAGAACTTTTTGGGCGCTTAAATATCTTCATACAGATGAAGAATGTGTAGGGTTTTTTTTTCATAAAATGTATGATGATTTTGAGGGATAATTGTTTTCTGCATAACACGGTATTCAATAATGAGCAGCGACGTAGTTGTAAGTTGTATACTCTCTATGTGTACTCACCTCCCTTTTTTATCATTGTGTACTCAGAAAAGTGGGACGTGGGTACTCACAGCTTATAACCTACAACTACACCACTGATAATAAGTATAATGATGTTTACTTCTCGTTGAATTCGAAGTTTCCCCATTAAACTGTATCAAATAAATATACCATAAAAGCCCTATTACTTAAAATAATTTTCAATTACATAAAACTAATCTCAAATAACGATGAGTGATGCAAAAGCGATGCGATGGGATGTTTGAAGATTGTTGCAGTAGAGCTAGGAAGATGATATTCATATTCTAATTCATCATTTTTAAACTTCAATTGAGGAAATACAATAAAACCAAAGCTTTATCGATTCATGAAACGATTATGCCTAGGAGGAGTTTAACAAGGTGACACCCCCAGTTGTTTGCTTCTTGCTCAAGTTGATAGCACTGTGCTGAAAGGTGGTTGTAGTGGCAGTAGTGGTAGTGGTGATGGTGAAGAATCTATAATAAATAACCTGCCAAAAGTTTTTAAATTTATTAATTCTGCAAAATGTTTTGGGCAAACATAAAAATATTCCTAAAGCAATAATTATAACTATTTAATAAATTGAATTGCCACTACATTTTAAATTACTTTAAAAAGTACCTATTAAAATAATTTATCACAATTTTAATTATATGAAATATAAATGTATTGTTTAAAATTATAAAATACCTGTATTCAGGGGATCTATCCTTAGGACGTCGTTTCCCAGTAGACATTTGAACTACTATTCTCGAACCGCCACATTTCCTAAAAAAAAATTAAATGCACATTAAAATAAATAATAATAATAAAAATATTTCCAATTCTTTTTTTTAAACTGAACGTTTTTGACAATGTCTTAACAATTAGTATTTTTATTTATTTAGTATTTAGCAGTTTCAAAATAAAACATCAAGATTGTTAGCTATAAAAAAAATGTGACTGTGTAATACCACCCCTCTAAATATAAAAAAATTAAACAAAACAAAAATTCTCATTTTAATACATAACAATTACATTTTAAAATATAGTTGATCTTTCAATTCAGAAAAATATATCACCATTCAATAACTTCTGTCAGGGATAACTGGTAAAAATAAATGAATCATCATAAAAGAAAGATCTAATTTTTAAAAACTTAGTTAACATTAAATACAATTGTAGGAAAAATTAATTACTACTAAGAAAAATAGTACATTTGTATTCTTAATACTACAAAGATGATAATAAATGTAAAGATAATAATAATAGCATTTGAAAAAGGGAATTTTAACCATGTGGTTGAAACCGATTTTCAAACAAAAATATGCCACTATCTAAATTATGATATACAAGAAAAAAATGTACAATTAAAGGAACACAAAACACAAATAAAAAATTGTTTAATTTTAAATTATGTTCAATTCTAAGAAAAAAATTTCACGTTCCTACTCACATTATTCAATGAGTTATGAGAAACTGAAAAAAGCAGCCAAGGTCAATGAAATCATGAGTCTAAATGTCTTAATATCTCTTAATAAATTTTTTTTTTTCATTGGATGTTAACCAAATCGTTTTTAAATAGTTGACTAGAGATAAAAATATATTATTTTAGAAGATTCATAATAGATTGCGAATCTGCTTGAGGACAGTAATTGAAATAAAAATAAATTGGAACGTAACAAGAAAACATATTTTGTTGTAAAACAATTATTTTAATTTTCAAAATATAATTGTGTCGGTTTACGACAAAACAGTTGTATTAAGAACAAACATGGAATACGATAAACCTATAACATTATTCCATAAATTTGCCTCAAATCTCAGTTGTATATAAATTTCACCAGCATGTGAATCTGACAGGGATAACTGAAATAGTTCATCATAAAAATGAGGTGAATTTTAAATTAACACTATTTAAGTTTTAAAAGTATCACTGTCAAATACAATTCTAAAAAGCATAACTGAGAATATTTCATAAATTAAAAAAAACAATTAATTTTTTAAAATTTAATCCTGCCTCGTTTATCAGATTTAAATTTATTTCACCATAATGTTGGTCTGACAGGGATAACTGAAATAATTCATCATAAATACGAGGTGACGACGACCCTTACTAATACTAGGACATTTCACTCTACAAAAAACATCATGTTTCAGTAATAAGTAACAAAATATTGTTTTTCCACAAAAACAACAATTAGCAAGGCAAAAAGTATCACATTTCAGAAATTCCTTCAACAACACATTTCAGAATAGTTTTTGTTTGTACACTAAGAAATGTTGTTTTCACGGGAAGTTTTAAAGCGTGTTAGTTTTTGAAACGTAGCTAAAACTTATTATTTTTCGTACCAAGAATAAGCTTATGTGTTGTATTTTGTGAGGATAATGCAATGCGCATAGTTTTCGTAGTAGATATCACATACTTATGTGTACACATAAAACAATTATAGATTAAATATTATTTCAGGCTTACAAAGTATCACCATGAATATAATTCTGATAGGGATAACTGAAATTGTTCATCATAATTATAGGCTGACATATGTTATTAATTTCTCATGACATTTATTAATTTTAGGTTAAATATTACTTCAGGTTTATAAGGAATCACCATTTAATACATAAATCTGACAGGGATAACTGAAAATAGTTCATCATTAATAAATAACTTTAATTAATCATAAGAATGCATACCGAATACCTAATAAGTATGTTTCACATCTCAGATCTTAATAAAAATCACCACCATTTTGGTCTGACAGGGATAACTGAAATTACTTCATCATAAAAATGAAACATACATTTAAATACCTAAGCCACATTTAATAGTTATAATTGAATTGTCTAATCTATATCAATACTTTATATGAAAAACTGCACATTTAAATTGCTAACGAAAAAGAACAACTTTGATCGACAGAGTATTAAAGTGTAGTTTATCGTTCAGCAACCTTTAATGTGGTAGTTTTTGAAGAGGGTGTCGCAATATGATAGATTGAAGACTATTGGGTCTATTTTATTATTATGTATTATTGTTTATCAAAACTATTTTTTACGCTATTATTAATTAAATAAACCATACACAACAAAAATAACACAATTTTAACAACGGCGCCAAATACAAGCTATTATTAAAAACTGAACATATCTGTTCTCTCGATTATTTTTACACTTTAGATATATACAGTCCAACTATATTATATCTGCACCAAAACACTGCTAAAGATAATTGTAATATTATATTATAATTATAATGTTGTAAGTAGTAATAATTAAAAATGATATCTTACGTTCCATCCAAGCCACGAACAGCATCTTCTGCATCGCGGGGATCCTCATATTCTACAAATGCAAAGCCAGGTGGATTTCTAGCAATCCATACATTTTTTAATGGTCCATACTTGGTGAAAATATCTTCTAATTCATATTTACTAGTGTTACTCTTCAAATTTCCAATATATACTTTGCAAGCTGGGTCCCACTCACGATGTTTGGAAGCCATGATATTAACTGCTTAGAAAATATAAAAAAAAACACAATAAACAGCTGAAAAATGTAGCTCTATAGAACGTGGATGTTGACAGGTAGCAGTCGCATTAATAATATGAAATAATAATTTAACTACGCAATAATTATTCTTAAACGTAGCTTACCATAAATTAGTTGTACACGAGGTAACCAAAGTAATAAAACCACGCAGCTACCATTAAACAATATAATACATAAAATACCTAATGAAAACTACTAAGTCAGTTTATATAGCTCATAATATATTGAGGTTTTAACGGCATGGTGTTTAATAACAAAAAATGACTTACCGCTAATACGTGGTAAAGAATATAAGTTTTTTCAAAATATTAAAGTTCCATTCATTAACAAGTTCTTAGCGGCTACATACAACGTGCGTTTTGGCTATTGCCGAATTTCGTAATATATAGTTATGAATTAATTGAGATTTTATAACTTATTTATCAACACAGACGAAACGTATATTTATTATATCATGGATCAGTAATACAACACAATTTACTTAGTACTCACTACTCACGTGGCTCATCAGTCATCACTCCTAGCAAAATGATGGAATTCTCACAAGTCACACAGTCAAATCCCAATTCACTGCAAGCAGTATACATTAGGCTATTTAGTCGTGGGCTGTAGCACGAATCACGATTCAATTAATCTAACCTGGAGGGGGGATATTTGTATTATAAATTAGCGACATCTTTTTTTCCATGACAAAAATAAGAAGGTGTGTTAGCAAATTGTGTTATCAATGTTCATAAAATGATGGCCGGTTTTCTTTTGTAAATATATACGGACGTCCTAGAAAATCAATAGCCATTTTACGGTTATCACAAGTTGCTGACATACCTATAACCTGCTCCAAAAGAGAATATACAGAATACCAACGTAAAACTAAAACGCATTATTCCCAGTAACGCATCGATTAGAATTTAAAATAATTGCGCCTTAGGGAAAATTAACAAAGCTCGTAGAAGTATATTAAATAATTTGGTAAGTAAGGATATATTAATTACATTTAGAAACCCTCAATAATAAAAACTGAGTTCCGCAAGTGGTCAAAGTAAATACTATAATAAACACTTAACAATTTAACTTGAGTTAAATAAGTGTTATTCAACTCAGATATTGCATAGATTATACTATTTTAATATGCATGATTAAGAACAAGATGAAAATGTAGACCTTACAATTATTATGTTATTCAGTGTAACAAAAAATGACTATAACTTTAGAAAAAAAAACCTTAAAAGTAAACTGTTTAGGTTTTATTCTTAATACGAGGCTAGCTCAAAATAAATCAAAAACATTTTTTGTTCAAATTTTCTAATTAATAAAATAATTTCAAATTGTAGGGGTTATTTATTATGAGCTGCATAAAAAGTATTAAATAATAAGTTAATCTTAGAAAGTTTGGAATTAATTTTGTCTAATATTTATTTTTTCATATTTACTAAAAATAGTAGAGGCATCGTGGCTGAGAGGGTTACCGCGGCAGTGTTTCTACGCACAAGCCATGGTTCAAATCTCGGTCGCTGCCCGTTTCTCTAGCTGGGCGGGAAAAATGCCCACCCGACTGGTGCGGAAGGCAACAGGAAACCACTGCACCATAAACTCTTTTCTTTTCATTTTATTAATTTTAAAAATATAAATTATTCTTTTAGATTCTCTGTATTTTACATTAAGAGTTCTTCAAAAAAAGAACGACTATTATTAGTCTTTAATAATTGTAATGAATAGTTACATTTAACAATTTATTTATTTTATCTGTATGATTATCATTTTAAATGTTTTATTTGCTTTAAATATATTTTACATAAAATGATTAAACAAACTAAGATAGACCATAAATACCTTGGTGCTTAAAAAACAAGTCAAATATATTTATAGTTATAGTAATTTGGATGATAAAAGCATCACATATAACTAAGAAATGTTATATAAAATAATAGTGTTATTAAAAACGAAATTGGATTATAAGAAGTTTAAAATAAATCAATAATACTTAAAAACTATGAGTACCAAGATACATAACAGGATATCACATAATAATAATTTAAAAAATTAATTATTTTGTTATAATATTGATTATTTTCTCATCGTTTTAAGAAAAGATTTCAATAGCCATATTAAGTATAAAAAACTTTAAAAAATGATACCTAATAATAATTAGTTCATTGGTAGTACAAAAATATTAAAACTAATGGAAGTTTAGTTTATCACATATTATCTTACATTTTAACAACACTTAGATTTCACTACTTCAGCTGTTGGACAAGCTGCACTACCACTTATTGGCCTTGACAACTTAACTAAATTACTATGACAAATTTTTGTGTCTGAAGGTCTCTCGATAGAAGCCCACAGCTCAACAGCAAAAGCAAATGCAGTCTCTATATTCATATCAGACTTAGAACTAGTCTCAACATATGGTGCGTTTAAAAAATCTGAACACCATTTCTTAGATTCGTCTTCAGAAATAGCTCGTTGCTTTACATCGACCTACAAGACACATTATAATTAATTATCAATAGTATTTTATAAATACAACTATTATTAAATAATTAAAGTATATGTACTTTAGTGGCAACAACAAGAAATGGAAAATTAACATCAGTCGTTCGAGAAAATTTTAAGAATTCTTTTTTCCAAAATTCTACACTCTTGAAGCTCTGTAGATCGTCAACAGCAAACGTTAAAAGACAAATATCAGTACCTCTATAGAACGGTGTTCGCAGAGTACGAAATCTCTCTTGTCCGGCTGTATCCCATATCTATAGTATTATTACAATATAATTAATGTATACAAAGTTATTAAACGCTAGACAAAATATATACTTGTAAAGTGTACACAACGCCATTGATTTCAAGTTCTTTTTGAAGAAATTCTACGCCAAGTGTATGTAGTGTTTGCTCGCTAAAACTGTTACTAACAAACCTATTCATAAGACAAGACTTTCCTACATTGCTATCGCCTAAAATCACGACTTTTAATATTGGGTTCTGATTGACTAAGTTTTGCTTGCCTCTCATAACGAATACACTAAGCGCTGATTGTTATCGAGTAATATAGCCTTCTAAAAATTGAACACATTTTATTTAAATTTCTATTGTTTAAATTATCAAATAAATACATCGAATTATCGAAACGAATGTAACATACTACAATTACATAGATACAAAATTGAGTAACGCGTTTTAAATGCTCATTGCTATCATGACAAAAATAAATAGGTATGTCAACAATTTTGTGTTATCAATTTTCACAATATGGAGCCGGTTTTCTCTCGTAAGAAAAACACGGCAGTCTGAGAAAACCTGTAGCCTATTCGTGGTTATCACAAATTTCCATTATACCTACCAATTTTCATGACTGCTATATTACCATTTAAGTTGTTACAATCAAATCGGTTTGATATCAGATCAGACTATATGAAAAGTTGTCATTGAAAACTATATTCATAAAATACATAGACCTATAGTAACCGTGATAAACATAAAATTGTCCCAACTCCCAAGTATATTACACAGTTTAAATATACAAGGTTAATGCATATCCCCACTTTATTATATTATCGATTCACAAAATGGCAGCGTACAACATGTTTTTTAAACAATATTTATACATAATATACCACGAATGAAAGCGTGTTGGAAAAGGAAGAAACTTTAAAAAGACAATAAAGGCGAGTATATTCTTCAGTCAGGATTTGATGCAGTGGTTGAATATACTAAGAACAATAAAGCTAGTGGAATAGGTAGACGAAATATAGTCTTATTTAGTATAGAGTTAATCAAAAATGGAGGGCAAGCTACGAAGACTAAGTTATATAATAATATAAGGTATATCAGCGAGGAGTAATAATAAATGACTTCAAACACGGATTAGTCGTAACGTTACCAAAAAAGAAAGGAACAATGAAATGCGAAGAACACAGAACAATTAATCTCACATCTCACGCTCCTAAGATATTATGTAGAGTAATAAAAGACACTAATAGAGAGCAAAATAGACTCAAATCTAAGGAATGACCAATTTGATTTTAGAAAAAATATAGGTACTAGAGAAGCAATTCTATCATTGAGAATCTTAATAGAAAAACAAAATATACGAGCAAGTAAAGATAAAAGCTTAGATCGACAAAAGCTATTAAGCTTTTAATCTATAAAACTAACTTTACTTTAATAAATGTAATAACTTTTACTTCTTACTCGGTAAATTTGTGTGTTCTAGTAAAAAAATCATACGTGTAAAAATACTTAAAGTAATTTTTCAAAATCTGATTTGATTTTAACATCCATAATAGCTATTTTAATGGTTATTTTAAACTCCTTTTATTTAAGTTGTTTTAAATGTAAATGTAAATTAACTAATAGGAATTAGGTTAAGCCTAACAACTTTCATGCTGATATAACAAATGTTTATATGATATTTAAAAAATAAAAGTCAACCCTTTCGGAACAACCTAAATTGGCTTAAAAATCACATATGAAGTAATGGTTACAAATTGTTTACAAATAATTAAGATAACATATCAAAAAAGTTTATGGTTTTTACAAAGGTAGTTTTTTACTTGATAACATTACAAAACATAGCAAAATAACTTAACTTATTATTATCAGATTTTTCTCTTAAATTATTAACAAAAGAAACAAAACAACTTTTAAGAGTACAATGAACAAATATTAAGAATAGTCATCATCATCGTCACTACTTTCCTCAGTCTTAGGTTTAATTGCTGCTCTTTGGGCTGCTGCTTGTAATTCTTGCCATTGTTGCTGTTCTTGCGCCATCTGTTCTTCTCTTGCCTAAAAATGTTTAAATAAACATTAAAATACAAGCTCGTATACAAAAAAATTCTAACCAGTGTATGGATCAAATCAACTTGTCAGTTTTCGTTAATGAACAATGCCAAAAATAAAAAATCCGTTCTCGGTTTGTGTCAATTTATTTTGAAACACGTTTACATTTCGTTTTCACAAAAAAATTAATGCTTTTTTTTCACAGACAATTTTTTAAATGGGATGAGATTGATTTTGTTTATTTTAAACTTCATGGCAACCCACAGATAAGATTAAAAAAAACACAATATCTAAGGTAGCAGATTTTGTTAGAAATTTATAATATTCACAATATAGCTGCTGCTTAAATTAAAAAAAAAAATTTCTAAAAAAGAGGCAGTAATTTTTCAGTTAATCATTAATACTATTGATTCAATATAATTGCTGTTATACCCATTTATTGTGTTAGGCCTAAACGTTTTTCTATACAGTACATTTTGTTACAGTCATTTACAAAAATTAAACGCGTTATTCTCAAACACCGATTCTAATGTCACATAAAAATATACAATACTTTAGCAAATAGTTCTTGTTGCTGTCGATATAATTCTTCTTCTGGTATACCTAAATTTTCCAGTCTTGTACTCTGTCGTCTTCTTTTAGATTTGCAATCTTTAACAACTTCTTCAGCTTGTTGTCGATAATCACCGAAGCCCAAATGGTCTAATGCTGCAAACAATAATACAACAATAGAAATTTCAGTAACAATATTTATTTAAACTTATTCACCAGTTAATAAGTGTTCGGCATTAATTGTTTTCTTTTGTTGGGCCATACACACTTGATTAGCTTCTGATGATACTAAATGAATAAATTCAGTACAACAGTTCATTATCATTTCACGTACATCATTAGCCACACGAATGTTTGGTAAAGCATCTTTTATCATTTTATTAACTGATGCACGAGGAAGTGTCAATTCTTCATCTTCATTAGATAGTCCTGAACTCTTGCTTCGACTGACAGCGCTACAATTTGGCATTGTCATTGATTTACTACTACTCGGAACTGGATCAATTTTGCTACAGCTTGGTACAGGATTTGATGTACTGCTACTACACATAGGTACATAATCTTCGTTATCACTCATGTTAGCTGATTGATTTAACGAAAGACAAGTTCCATAATCTTAAAAAATAAGTATAAGTTAATATTATACAAAAAGCATCAAACAAAGAATTATAATCAAAATAGTTATAGTTAAATTTATACAATAATTACGAACTATACATTTTTATTTTCAGAACTTGTAATATATATATATATATATATACTTGGTGTCCCACAAAGATAAGACAAATGAGATAACTTTTGTTTCCAGTGAATATTTTTAAGATTTTTTTTTTAAATTAATTTATACTCATTTGCTCATTTCATCAATTACACACTGAAGTTCTTGATGAAATCCATGAAGAAATGTGTCTAAAAGCGATCGCGAACTTCGCCGACGGAATTAATTAGTGTAGACTAAATGGAGGAGGACATATTGCAGATGTAGTGTTTCATTATTAAATCGGAACACATACTGAATATAAAAATATAAAATATGATCTTTTTCGTAAAAAATTGAATGAGTTATATCATTTGTAAATGGCGTCCTTTATGGATCACCCTTTATTATAGAAAATATAATATATACATACAATAGAATGAATCAAATTTTTGTCATCAGTTTTTATTTAGGTAGTATAAAGCTTTTAAAACATAATTTTTAACAAAAACAATACTATGTTTTAGCAATAAAAATGTACAAGTAAAAGTAATGATGCCTTATGCAAGGTGCACACATTTTGATTATTCCGAATTTGTTTAAAAGAGACTTCATGCAGTCTGCACATAAAAATACCTTTATTTTTACAATAATTCTTCAGTAGTTAAAAAAAACTAGCAATTAATCTATATTTTAATAATGAAATTTTAAACAAAATGTCTGTATAGTTTTTGTTCATTTATACAATAAATAAGTATATTGTTTAATTCCTTTATAATTTTTCGATTAACATCATATTATATAGAAATGTTTAGTTATAATATTTATCAACTTGTATCATAAATAATAAATGTATATTTATATCTTTTCACACAACTCACCTGTCAAAGCAACAAGATTTTGTTAACCTGTAGTAATTTTTATTGGAATCTGTACTCGTTACCTAAAATAATCATATTAAAAATAAGAATCGACAGTATATTTTATACGGACTGGTAACTAACTTCTAAATAAGACTAGTGCCTACTTACATGCAGTTTGTTGTTGGAAAATTTTGTCAATGTGTATTGTAAACTGTAGTCTGAAGACGCAAATTTATTGTGATTTTTGATAATAAAACAAAATTTAAAACACTGATAATGCGGCACGTCACACATATCGCTATCTGTCAATGTCATACGTTGAAAAATTCAACAATTTTTAATAAATTCTACTTAGAATTTTACATGAAAATATTTTGTCGAAAGAGTGTTTTGGGCATTTTTTTTTGGAAAAAAACAATCGTTACAATTTTATAGAGAACCCACGTTCGATCAATTGCTGTACTTAAATAGAAGAATTTTCAACTAGATTCTCGACTGGGAGCGGCGGCGCGCTCCTGTAATCCAGCTGCTTTGGAGGTCGGGTTGTGTGGATGGTTTGAGGTGGGGGCAACTGTGGCGAGTCGGTCCGCGTTGAACGGACGTCCGCGCTAAGCTTGTCGTCAATATGGACTCCGCAGGGTAGCCTGTGGAGCCCAGGTTAGCTAAGGAGAGGCGCACCGGGCCAGGGGGGAAACCCAGCAGCCAAAAGTCTCCGCGGTGAGCAGTAGTGGGATAGCGCCTGCGAGTGGAACACTCGTTTGCAGCCTCGCCAATACAATCAGACCACAATCCAAAACTTTTTGCATTTTTTTACAACATTTTTTTACGTTTCTCTCATAACCATTTGTTTTTTAATTTTACTATGAGTTTACACTTTACTTTTTAACCCTTTCAGTTATAGTGTTCCACGTATAGAATATTGTTTTTTTTTACTTGAATACTTTTTTAAAATTGTATTATGCTAAATTAAATTATGACGGTAAAGGTTATTATATTGTTTGTAATTGTGCGCAAAGTCTATAGAGCAGTTGTAGCTTTTTAATATTATTGTTTTTTTATTATCGAATACATTTTTTTCCTTATATTTGAAACAAAGCAGATGTTGTATCTCAGCTATTTAACGCGTAATAAAACTATATTTTTAGTAGGCTGTTAAAATGTAGTAGATTTACATACATAATATTATTATACAATACTACTTGTAACAGTGATATTATTATTTACTATACACTTTTTCTATTCTGTCAGATCAGTCATCTGAGGTTAAAAAAAAATCCAGGGTCTATACATTTATTAAGCATTTCTATAAATCTTATTTTGTTTTTAAAATTTGATAAAAAGTTTTTTTGTAACGTAAATGATACCTATATGGTTGTCAAATAATACATCGGTACACTTTTTGTTTAAATTTCTGCGTTGTCGTAACTCGTTAGGAAATTATAAATATGAATAAATACAATTATTGTAAAAAAAAAACAGAAAATTTGTTTTGGTGTAAAACTACTAAATTAAAATATAGCACCTGGTTACGATGAAATCAGCACATAAATACTGAAAAAGCTATTTCGAATGGCTTTAATCCACCTTAAAAATATGTATTTACATATTATATTTTTAACGATAAAAATATAATTCTTGTACAGATAATTCGAATCAATATTATTTATATATCTATTTACATCTAAGTATGTACCTATATTATATAAATTATAATAGATATATAAATTATACTAATTCGAATAATCGGTATTAGAATTACATTTTTAACGTTAAAAGTGACTATATAAATATAAACGTCTAAAATGTCGACTGTTTGTTTCTGCTCTCACATTTCATTGAAATGTGTCATCGGTTTATAAATTATATTTATTAATAATTATTTAATAAGGCGTATGCATAAGTACAAAATAGGTAATGCCATATTACACTCTAGTTACTAAAAATAGTAATAGAGATTAGAGATATAAATCAAATATCAATATTTAAATTAGGCAGGTACTTAGTCGTTAAGATTTAGATTTATTCTAGTAAGGTGAAATTCTATGAAAACACTGTGCATTAGTCATCGAGTTTTACCATCCCATCTAAAATATAAACAATAACTATTGTCTGTTGTGTAACTTTGTTTTTATTTTTCTCAAGGATTTTGTAGTGGTTTAGTGGTTTATATTTATAAACTAAAAAATAGTATAATTTCGTTAATGATTTTTTCGTCGACCATTAAACAAATCTCAAGGGTGTCGATTTTAAAATTAAGTTTCAACTTTGAGGTCTTTTAAACCCTTAAGCAGTGTCTAGTACACACAAGATGCCTTACATCATATAATGAAACGCTCATTAATCAAACTATTTTAAAGGACCTAGCACTCATTAGAAAAATTGTAAACTAATTCTAATGAACATTTTATAATTAGTCCGATCATTAGCATAGTTGTAGGCTGTAGCTTATATGGCAGCCCAATACAATAAGTTTTTATAGTTACATCATATTACCTGTGGTGTGGACAATTAGATAACGCCACAATGTTGATATATAGACATTACTTTTTTTATGCAACTCCTTTAAGGCAAAAGTATAGGTCGCACGTATCATCAAGGAAAATTGATAAATGTAGAGTTGTGATTGGACTTGTTTATTTTGTTGGACAATGAATAGCGAATAAGTGATTTCTCGATTTTACAAACCTTTTAACTTACATTTGCTAAAGCGTATATTTTCATATTGAGTCAATTCTACCAAAAAACAAAATTCTATTAATCTGTTTGTTGGTGATGGTTTTAAATTATAATAAACATAAAAATATTTTCTCAACAACAACGCAAATAAAATATCAATTTCTAATTATGATTTTATTTTAGGCCTTTAGTTTTGACAGTTAGTGAACCTAAATGCCAAACGGTCCAATGTGAATAGATTACTGTAAATATTTTTAATTTCAATATATTTTGAATATATATACTTATTCACTAAAACAATTGTGTTGAGTCATGATTTTTGAAAATTAAAATGATTTGAATTAAACATTGATATTTTTGAGAGTCGAGTCATTCGGTGCTTAAGGTTTGTTCTATCCAATCAGTGTAACAAGACACTGCGGTGTAAACGCCTGGGTACTTCGGCCGAGCACATCCTAAGCCCCAACTGACAATACCGCAAAGGTAAAAACGGTTGTCGGGCGCCAAACACGATAGTGGTCCACCGGAATCCCCCTAAACAGAGTTTAATACACACAATATTAATTATTTAATGTTTATTTCGTAGCATGATTTCAGTTGTACCCAGATCCATTTTTAAGAGTAACTTTGACGAATACAAGGATATGTATAATTGTAAGGACAATACAGAAAACAATTTAATAAACAATATATATAAGTATTTGATTCTTATAATTCAACCATCATAATACTTATACCTATTAATTACTAAATTATTTTTTTCCTAAGCTTCGGCAACTATAGCTATTATCTGCCTGGTTGGTTGATTTGTCATTTATTGGTTTTAGATTTCGGTTGGACTGGTAAAGGTATGGTACACGCAAGGTGGTGACATGGCAATTGGCATGGGTCGTCGCTAAAAATCCCGGGTGGTCATCCATACAGGATCAAGCAGCAACGGACACAGCAAGATTTTGTATTTAATATCAATACCCACCTTTGGAGCATATTATAATCCCCTTGTTTTCACTTTTCATGTCTCGTGGTATGCGTATAGGTTAGGTCCAATTCATGTTTTATTCATATTAGGACCGCAGTAGTATCGTATTTGTATGTTAAATGTTTAAAATTTTAAATGAAGTGAGAGTTAATAATTACTGTCAGTCACACTTTCAAAATACAACTAGGGTACCACTGATTGATAATATTCGTATCAGATTTATTTACTTGACAGGAGTCAGCCTCTTGTAACGTCGATCCTCCACCACAGATCACACATTTGTTAACGTAACTGCCGTAACCTGCTTCTTTATATTTTTGTAAGCACGTGTCCACTGGCAATAATGGCACTTGCACTTTTTGTAAAATGTGAGCGAATGCTCCACTTTCGGATACGCGACCCCAACCGGTCACCATTGCTAAATCTTCAAAATAAATTGAATTAAAAAAATAAACGCAAATAGGCTAAAATATGGTCTAGGAATCTAAGCTGCACTTAAGTCTTAGAGGCTTGGAGCTGGGCCCCGGGGCTGCTCAAGTCATTTTGATTGTACAGTTATTTATCGTCTTTAGAACACTTTGGAGAGTCTAGCCTAATATATTTTTGGAGCCAATACACAGAAATATTTTAGGCGACTCTTACCTGAGTCGAATTGCATGCCGGCGTTCGGTATACATATCGGAGACACCACTTCGCCGTCGAACTTGAGGGGTGGCGTAACCTTTAGCAACGCTATGTCGTTTGAAAATTTCTTTCTGTTGTACCCGTCGAAATATATGTCTGCTACGTTGACCCTCTGCTCGGAATCTTGTATAAATCAAATTTACAGATTTTGTTTTAACTTTTTTATAAGGTTATATAATTAATGATATAATACATTATACTTAAATTTTAAACTATCTAAATTTCCCCCCTAATATTATTTTTACACGAGATTAATATACTTTCGTCGGAGTAAAGGTTGCGCTTGCCGGCCACAACGGAAAGCAAGTTTTCGGACAAGCCGTGTGCGCAATGTGCTGCCGTCACTACCCAGTATTCGTTGATTATTGCTCCGCCGCATATGTGTCTGGCGGTCCATCCGGTAACCAGTTGTAACGATATTTGCCACGGGAATTCACCTACGACCAGTTCAAAAATAATAATACTTGCGAAAAAAACACGAAACCGTGATCGTGTTATTGTTCTAACCAGGATCCGAATTTGTACCGCCGACTACTCGGTTACTGTTGTAAACAGAATGTTTGCCTTTACCATGAACACCGCATGGGTAGGAGTAGTTGAGAGGACTGAAAAGCATTAGGTATATTACACGTGTATTATTTTATTAGGTAGTACGTTTGAATATAGATCGTTATATTCAATAGTAAGTGTATAGTTTAAATATAGTACATATAAGTGACGAAGCCAAGATTTCTTAACAGACCCCCCCTCTTCCTAATAAATAATACACTGTCGACCATGGCTAGAAGTTACTATTTTTTAAGTTTAGCAAAATTTAAAAAAAATCTAACAGTTATGTTCTAATTTGTTTAACGTCAAAAAAATTAACTTGGTTAATAAAAATATAATTATTTTTAACATCATTTTATAATATACTTGTTAGTTGTTATAGTCTGAGTAGGTACATGATTATGGGTTTTCACTTTTCATACACGCCACGCACAATCAATTTAAAAAACTAGAAAAAAAAAAATTAACAGGCAAACCCTGTAATGTTTTTTTAAAGATAATTTTCACTTATTAGATTATAATAGAAGTAATTAATTTTTCAGCATTACTTTTTTATTTTGAAATAATTGGCAGGTTCGAAATTTTTCGAAAAAGTTCTTTTAACTGATAATATACAGTCTCCTTTTCTTTTAAAATATTAAGATTTAATAAAATTGTATTATAAAAGAGATTTGTGATTGTGATTCAAGTACAAACAGCTAGGTATCGGGAACGAACACGTTCCCGTATTTTCCAGAAAAATACAGTTTATATCTAATTTCTGTCTTAAGAAAAACCTAATTATTTAAAAAATTAAACTCTCAAAATATTCAGTATTGTTTTGAAAAAAACATGACTCACGGGAGGAAGTTTACAGCCTTCTTAGCCCTTCCCCCTTTACTACGCCACTGACATTATAGTATCTATTCTCAATGGCGGTAGTAAGTTAGAAAAATTGTCATCCACGTTTTTATGAATTCACCTGTGAGCGTTTTGAGAAAAATTGGGATTTACATTTGCGGTATACGCCGGTGAACCCGTTGAGCTGACCACATCAAACTTCGAATAAAACCCCCCATTAAACTGATCCATATCATTCATGTTGTTGACTACATAGTAATTGGCTTTGGACTCCTCTCTCGCTTTTGGTTTTTGCGGTGTCAGGCAGTCTCCTGTAGAACAAAATACCAAAAATTGCATACATACTCACATCGAGGACAGATCGCTTGTAATTACTTACCGGCAATGCATTTTGCCGTAACCAGGTGTAACACCACCAAGTAGAACAGACACAGAACAATCATGATCAAATACTGAACGAGCAAATGTAGATTTTTTTAATATTGTGTTAAACGTGTGCCCTAAGGCACAACAGTTGTCCGTTTGTAATTATCATGATGTTATTTTAGGTGTCACCGTCTTCTAAACTACATTAAGTCTAATGGAGTGAAATAACTCGGAAAACACAATAGACAATATTTGAAAATATTCTAAACAATTTATTAGGTTTTCAACAACTTACAAATATACATAGATCACATCAAGTAATTTATAAATAATAATAAAAAATAAAAATAGTTTTAATAAATAAATAAATAATACTGAAATTTTACTCGAAGTTTAGGTATGTAATATCAGTATCGAACAACATCCGCATCGTTTGGTTGGTCCATCAGCAATTGTTTACTTGTTATTGCTTCATCTAAAATATCGAAAATAATATGTCTTTATTATACCTATGCTTCACTAATGACTAGTAATTTATATCTTAGTTATTATCCGTATTATTACCAATAATGGGTAATGCGTTAGATGCTTCGAGTTTTTTTTTTCTCTTGGCAGGGCTAACCGCACACTGGGCTGACCCTTTGCATCGTACCATCTCAGCCAGGGAGTGTCGAAGCCATTCTTTTTCACCAGGATTTAAAGTGTGGGCTCGATTCCTTTGTTGAAAAGGATCTATTTTCAAGTTGTAAAATGATACTAATCCAGTCACAAACTCGCAGTAGAGGTAATTATGTGTTGCGTTTATCGTACGAAGACATGAATATGTATTATTGTTGGCATTCATACAAAAACAGAAAGGACCCGCTAAGGAAAAAAAAAATAACAATCGTTTGGTAAAGAATTCAAATTTTTTAATCATAATTATTATAGCCTAATTTTATATTTGTTTAAGCATAGTGTAATTTGTATAATGAATAATTTATTTGCTAAAAAAAAATGTATTTTAGTTAAAATACATTATTATATACTCTATAGACTGTAGTCATCATTTTTTACTTATTCTTCAATATTTACCTGTCCACAATGGTGCTGTTTTCCAATGATCATTGTCGTGATGAAAACAGTTCATTTTTTCTAGCATGCATTCTTTATCCAATTTAGAATTCTTTTTTCGAAATTTACGACCTTTCTTTTTTTTTTGCCTGTCAGCTTTTAATAATTTTCTCAACTCTCTGTTTAGAATTGGATCACTATCACTAAGCCTAAAATACAAATACAAAATTTGAATTTGAATTATTTCATATAGTTTGTAATTTTCTTACACAAAAGGAACACAATAACAAGTGTCAGTGGTAGCAGTGACATTTTTGGATTTCAACTTCTGCCCATGATGATGTCTTAATTTATGTTGCTCGACACCATCTACCAGTATACTACCTGGATCCATTTGACTATAATTTTGTAAAGGTGGTACAATCCTGCGTTAAAAGAAAATGTTTAAAATTGTAAAAGTTTTAATTTATGTTCTATACAGTAAGGGTATACACTGTGTGTACCCAACTTCTATTATTTTATGTATGTGAGTCGTACACTGGCAAATAGAGTACACAATTTTTATTATGAATACCAAAATACATAGAAAAGTGGAATGGGTACATATAGTGTATGGCCTATGACTACACTACTAGTTATCTACACATGTTTTACCTAGAATTCCAATGCGTTTGTGAATAATCCTTAAGCAAATTTATACCAGATTTGTCGGCATCGTCGTCAAAATGTCTATCATCGTCTTCGATCACCTCTTCTTCTTCGTCATCTTTATTGTCAGGGTAGTCTTCAAATACTGGTCGCTTGGTCTCCAAGTGTTTTTGTATTTCTTTGAGTTTGTTCAGTTTAGATTGCAAACTCAATATCTGTTTTTGAATATGATTTTGACTTATTTTCCATACTTTTGGATCATTGTACACAATATTGGTACACTTAACATTACCATCGGGTAATATCATACAACTGGCTTGAGATGAATCATTGACTGCAGATTGTAAATCCCCAATCTTTTTATGAATCACATTTATGAATGATGACATGTTGCTACCAAGGGCTGTTATATCTCGTCGTACACGATCTTTGTGTCCTTGCATTTTAGAATTTCTGAAAATAATACGACAAAAATTAATAAAATTCTTCTATAATTACACAGAAATATTGGAACTTACTTATTTTTTGGATTCTTATCCATTTCAAGTTTTGTGTATAAATTTCCGTCCTCCGAGAAACATGTACATTTTTTCAATTCGTTTAAAAGAAGTTTGTTTTTTTTTATATTACATTTATGCTTTCGCCATCTAATAAATAGATTACAATAGTTAATGAAAATTTATTTTTTAAAATATTATTTCTGAATTACACCAACCTAAACCCTTCACGAACACAATGCCATTTTTGTCCTGGTTTACAAGGCGACTGATAGTCTGGTCTTTGGCAGAGTACAAATAATCTGCTGGCTTTATTTCCAGGAATTATACCCACTTCATCATCACTTAGGTCTTTAAACATAAATAATGACAGTTATTATTTTATTTCATATTTGTTTAAACCATTTGCATACCATTTTTGGATATGGCGGTGTTATTTTTTTTATGTTTACTAAATTCTCGACGACCACTACTTTCAATCAAAAAAGTATCAGGCCAGTTTGCAACAAATTTTTTGTTTCCTTTTTTGTGCTTGTGAAAAAGTTTAAACGCAGAACGGCCATCCATATGGGGCGGAGGTTCAACACCAGCAATGTCCAAAAATGTAGGTGCCAGGTCTATATTCAGAACTATTTCATTCACTCTAATATCCAAAAAATTAATAAATTACATTTTATACCATGTAATAAAATAATGATTCTACTACATACTTTGTTCCCGGTTCAATCCCGGGTCCTCTGACTAACATCGGTACTCGAATATCAAACTCAAATGGAAATGATTTGCCTTTGACTAATCCAAATTGTCCTAAATGATATCCGTGATCCGATGTATATATAATATATGTGTTTTCCAATTCACCTAATTGTTTCAGTTCTTCATATACCTAATCAATAATTCATAAGTATTATTATTAAAGAAATTCATTCAACATTAAAAAAATGTTCTCATTCAAAACAATATATTGTACTCACTCTAGATACAGAATCGTCCACGCTTTGCAGAGTTTGCAAGCGTTTTGTCATTAATAAATTTGTAAATTGTTTATGAATAGGTAGCATTTGTCCAGTGACTTGTAATATCCATTGTTTATCAGGATTGGGTGCAAAGTCATAAGAAGGTGTGCTATAAAAGAATAAAAATAGTTAACCTCATAACCTCACCAACATTAATTATTAATAGTAAAATAATAACAAATTTAAATAAATAAAATTAAAAATTATTAAATTAATTAAAAAGGTAAATTTTGTTTGTTAGTTATTTAATTTATTATGTAATTTAGCCCCCGATTTTAAATGATAGCAGGTTAAAATGTATGCACTAATAAATATATATTTTTTTTTTTGTTAATACACATAACTGGATTTACAATTTAAAACGGGTTTTCTGTTTAAATTATTATTATTAGAAAATGAGTTTAGTGGATTTAAACTGACAGCAGATTAGTGATACTACCTAGCAACGAGTGTAATGCACGGTTGTAGTACACATGTAACCGGTTTTATTCATACTAATTGTACACAGCTGACTAAATACCACACACGATCATGAATTATACATGTTTATATATATTGAAGACTTACTGATGAGATGTTACATTGAAGAACATGTTGGAGTATTGAGGTGCTGAGTCCTCAGGTCCATGTGGTGATGGAAAGCTCATTACAAGCATGAACGGACGATGTGGATGGTGTTGTTTGGCATGACGTAAAAAGTTTATAGAATCATTGGTAACTAAATCCGGATAGTAATCCTAAAAACAAAAATTATTATTATTATTAGCGTGAATTAAATGATGCAATAGCAAGATCAAATTATATACCTTATGGTAGTCATCGCCATGTTTGATTTTTTTGCCATTCAAGTTTACTGAATAGTTGTAATATTTTGAGTTCATAATAAGACCTCCCCATTGACGCCAACCGGGTGGCACGTAACTTCCGTTGTACTTATTCAAGTATTTTCCAAAATACCCTATAAACGTAAAACAGTTGATTCACAAGTTAAACTTAAACAAGACTTTCTAGGCTTTGCGTGGAAGCTAGTACATATTAAAAGAATCAAAGACACTTTTAGTGTCTGTTTTTTTTTAGTTTATAATATATCATAACTAATGTAACTTTTGTAAGTGAATTTATAGAGTGAGTGGCATCTTAAAACATGAACTTGTAATGTCATTGTCAATTATTGTTAAAATGTAAAAAAACATAATCATATCGATATCCAGCTCATAAATGCAACAATTCATAATGAAAAAAAGAATAGAAAAAGTTTATCAAGTTAAAACTACTTTCTATAATTTTTATATATTTATAATTATATACAAATATATAAAATTGTTTTATGCAAAAACAAAGCATAACATAAATGTACAAAAATCAAAATAAATTCATCAAATATAATATACCTACCAAAAAAAAAAAAAATTAATTTTGATTTTTCAGACAAAAATCATATTTAAAACACTATTTTCGTCAATTTATAACAAATAATAGTGCTAATATTATACAACTTTCACTTCTCTAGAATATGTACACATACATATATATATATATATATATATGTACACATACATATATATATATATTTATATTAAAAAATTCATAAAGTTAATCTATTTTAAACCAGGTTCCCTCCTTATACATATATTGTCACTTTATCCTTCCAAAAAAATGCAGTGTACTATATTTTTTAGCTTTGATGCAGAACTGAGAATTTTTTTTTTACTACGATGTGTTTAATTTTATTTTTTATCTGGACCTCTCAAAATCGTAGGACCGATTTATTTATGTAGCAAGTCAAGCTAAACATTAAAAATCAAAATCAAAAAGCTGTCAAAATATAATGCTAATCCTAAAAACAAAAATTATTATTATTATGTGGATTTTTTTTATTAGCCTTTATCTGTCAAAATATACTAAGTAGAGCAAATTGAAGGCAGAACAGACGGAAATAGTTTTCAAACCGGTATGATATCCTGCTTCGTTGGTCAAATAAGTGGCAAACGTCTTTGACTCGTGTACGTTCTGCCACACTGGCCCACTACAATTGTCATTGTTAGTGAAAACTTCGTGATTGTGCGTATACAATCCGGTGAGCAACGAACTTCTAGACGGACAGCACATTGGGGTAGTACTGTAAGCGTGACGGAATTCAGCACCCTCATCTCTTAATAACTTCTGTGTCTTTTCCATGTAGTTCAGAGAACCTGCAAAACAAAATTCATGTGTTACATGTAGACAAAAGCGTTATACCCTGTGCCGCACAAAATGCTTGGAATAGAAAACAACAGCCTGACCTGACCGGATTAAATATAAAATACTATATGATATATTTGTAAACTTAAGTTTTGTAAAATATTGACATGGCGACTAGTGCGGATGACCATTTTGTTCGCAATTTTTATATATTTTCAAAATGTGTTTGGAAAAACAATTTTTTAAAAGACATTTTTATTCTAACTGACATGGCTTTGTTAGGTAAAATACTGAAAATATCCTTAGAAAAATGGAGTAAAACATATTATTTATATCATTTTTTATTTTAATTCAGTTGGGGAATAAAATCAAACACAGATTAAACAGTGAATAATTTAACTTGTCGTATTTTTTCTTCCGTATTAATTATTTTTTGATGTGGGTAAACTGAATTTTATTAAGCCTTCTTCTTACCAAGAGGTTAGAACTAAACATCATAGTACAATTTAAATCTCTATACTAGTCACACGTGTCGGCATATAGGATCTATTGTTATTTATTACATAATAATATGTTAGAAACTTTGCATACTTTCAATGACGGTATAATAAATGAATAAATGAATATACGCATGCTAATGAGAATACAGCAAAATGATTATATCGATTGACTGCTACACAAGAATAAGTTAAAAAACTAGATGAAATTTGCGATTTATAGAGTTGCTACTCGAAGGAATTGGTCCAGTATTAAAAAAGTTACAGTGTATACAGATAAAAAAAAACACACATCAGAGTAAAACCAATACCTTCTCGCTTTGCATCGAAGCTAAAATATATTAACTGTGAGACGCATATTAGTCGTATGCATTTTATTGTGATTTTATAATAACAGTTCACTTTGCCACTTGGAATATATAATATGCTAAGCCACAACTACAAAACCAAACTCTAAAATAATATAGCCTCGAATATATTTCTATGTTACAGGTCGAATTATTTAGTAAAGCCGAATGAGTAATAATCATTTAATAAATATAAAACTAATACGTCTAGCTAATATGTTTGTTTACATGAAAAAAGAAGCTCTGACAAAATCATTGAAAAGAGAAAAAATAATAGGGATCAGATATTATAGTAATATTCACATCAATTTGAGAAAGTCGGTTGGTTCACAGCAATTTTATTAATTAAAAACTTGTGTAAATTTCAAACCTAGTCCAGTATTTATAATTTTGAATTATTTATCCAATGTTACTTCATTAATAAAATACATGATATACATGTACGTTATAATTAACGAATCTGTTCAATTTTATTCATTTTTGTTGTAACAACATATAAAGGTATACTTGTTTTATATAATAATATAAAGTTGTTATTTTTTATAGCTCGAGCCACGTTTTCATATGAAGGGCACAGGGGAAAAACGGTAGTTGTCACATTATGAAAATTTTAGAGTATAGCAAAAACAAAGTTCGTGAATTCCTCTACCTCTTACATAAAAATAAAAATAAATCACATTAAATGCTACTCTAATAATAAATGTATTTATTTAAACAATTTATTGACATAAATAAAAAAAATATTGGCATAAATTGAAAAAAACTATTTGAAAAAAAAAATTTTCATAATGTGACTACTACCGTTTTTTCCCCTGTGCCCTCCACATGTAAATTAATTTGAGGGAGAAATATTATACACGTGGTAGTAACATTTATACATAATATTTATGATTGATAGGACTTCAATTTGCAATTTATTTTACTTAAAGCCTTATGTACATTGCTGTCTACGCATATTCGCCTAGTCATCGAATTATTCAAATAAAACTTTACATTACTAGTCCGAGCAGGTAAAAATTTTAAAAAAAGAAGCCAAATGAATTCATTTCTAGTAAAACAATTAGTATTATAATTACGGAGAAAAAACGATGGGACAAACAATGAAGTAGATGTTTACGATTTTAGTAATGAAGAGAAGCTCCGAAAACAATAGATGTAATTTACTAATTGTTTTCGAAAAACAATCGCCAAGTGGTAGTTGGCAAATAAAAAGCAATTCATTAGAGTAGTTTATTATTAAATGTTTAATAATATAAAGTGATAACAGCCAAAGCAATGGTTACGTCGACAACTCGTACATCTAAATATTTATTTTTAAAAACAAAAAAGCCTATCTAAGTATTTACTCACTGCAAGTTTAAATACATAGTATTTAAACACTCCGTAATTAGAGAAATCTTACGGAAAGAGATTTTATACAGATTGGCACAGGACCAAGTTTTTCAAAACTACTATACAAATGGAGTATTAATAAAACATTTTAGTTAAGTTTCTATTTAACCTAAAATGTTTTTATAAAAGTTTAAAAACATAAAACAAAGTAGATTGGTGCGTTTTATATACATCAGTTAAATGTGTGTCTTTTAGTAAAATTAATAACAAATATAAATTTTAATTGAAACCCATTTAAGTGCAACTGACTATGTTTTCAAGATGTCGAAAGTACTAGTAAAAATTTCGCGTTGTAAGCTAAACAATAAATAAAACCAATAAGTAATTGTGTACAACTATTTCTAATCGTATAGAATTAAAAAAACAGCACATTAGGGATAAAGCATATCTGCGTCGCGTCGGGGAGGCAAGAATTGTTATAATTCAAAGTCATAACATACTTTCAAATAAACTCTTTGATACTAATCTGTAGATAGTAGAAATATTAAATATCAATACAAATCATTGTAAAGGCTTGACATTGTTTTTTTAGTATGGGTGGATACGATTGAGGTTGATCGGGTTTTCATAGTAAATCGTTACCGTTGTTATCTATGTAATCAACTAATCAACAATAATGTACAGTAATCGATTTTTTTATTTAAATACCTGTAACTGTTGATTCATTCAAACAAAAAACTAGAAATTGATAGAGTACAAGTGTTTTTTCTTAAAATAGTTTAACTTCAGAATTTTGAGAACATTGTGTATTATAGACCTTCAGTCTAATTTTCTGGCCTTGAGTCACAAAACTATACGCCCAAAAAAGTGAAATAAAAAAAAAGTTTCTATCCTTTCTAGAAGAAAGAGTTTTTGATATTCATTTGGATTGTCAACATATATAGGTACTATATATAGCTATACAATGTAAGCAGCTCCTAAACTTGTAAATAAGTTTGAAACAAATTGGACTTTTTTCAAAAAGTTATAACGCATTGTAATTTTAAGTTGAAAATATGCAAATTATTGAGGTAATTCGCTAAAGTTTGAATGAGAAGGATCCCTATTTCAAACTTTTGGTCCATTAAAGTACTTTTCAGGTACGATTTCTGATTTAAGACTATTGTATGAAGAAATCGGCCCAGCAGCTTAGGATATATCGTTAGTCCAGACACAAAACAAAAAATAAATAAAAATACGTAATTGTAATATCAATCAGCCCTTCTCAGCTCTGTAACTTAAAATATTCGTGGTTTGTAGTGCAAAAAATAGCTAAGTAGATATACTGTACTGTGACTAAAACTTAAAGCAAAAATACTTAACATTTAGAGATGTAACTTTTTAACTTAAAAAAAAATAGTGTGCTTCACTTGTAGTTAAAAATTATGAAATACAATTGTTGTTGATAATTTTGTTTATAAGTCTAAACTTTTTTTTATCAAATATTTGAATTATAACCTTTTTTGGGAAAAATGCGACCACGCTGCCACGCCATTATTTTTTCGTAGCGCGTAACATCTTTTAATTTCACTATTTTGGTAGATTAGATTTTTCAGCTTAGTAGTCAGAGTTTATAGAACTCTTAAATATTCGGTCCTTTAAAATTCAAATGCACTTAATTAATCAAATTTTAATTTATGAATGTGTTAAAGCTTTTGTGGATTGAAATATTTGTAATCTTTAAATGGATACATGTCTTTGATTTATTGTTGAAGTTTCGAACTTATTGCAGAGTTCATCTTCATAAGTCATAACGATAGTCTACCGCGACTATACATACTATATAGAGTAACAAAGTAACGTATATGTACCTACATAGTACACACAACATACAGTATGTAATATATACATACTATATTGTGAAACAGTGATTCTGAAGATGGCTCTATAATGAGTCCGCAATTTCAGCAACAAATCAGATATATATTTTTTTTAAATATTTTATAGTGTTATCTTCTATGGTGTTATTAGTAGTGACTAAATGAGAAACGGTTACCTCGGAAAAACTTACGTATTTTTGACTAATAATTAATAGTTACATCTATATTTTAATTAAATATTCATATATAAAGTAAGCAAATTGTCAAAAAGAAATAATATATTGTGTAAGTAATTATTTTGAAATGTTTTTAAATTATATATTTAGAAAGACCTGTATTTTATGTTTTAGTTTTTAATCAAACCACTTAAACAACTTTTTTCTTGGTGAAAAACTTGCTGATTGTGTGCGAATTAAAGTGAAAAATAGCGCACTCGAGAATTTAATGTATATTATCCATCTAATCTATTAGGCATATTATCTATGGTAGATACTCACCGAGTTCAACGTCTTGATCATCGGTTAAGAACAGCACGATATTGGGTCGCCTCCGTTCGTTTTTGGCCTCGCCCTGATGGCTTTTCTGGTACTTGTGGGCTCGCCTTCGGGGTAACACCGCATTATTACGCTGCATGAACGCTTCAGCATCTAAAGTTTGAACAGCGCACCACGCCAACACCATCAGCCACCACAAGAGCAGTTGGTGTCCACCGTTGTCCATGATAGTGTCGGCACTATTGCTAGCTTTCGAACGCGCCAAAACCGTTCAACTGGCGATAGGTCGAACGCCTTGAGCATGGACCACCGGATGCATCACCTGCGTAAGGAACGTCGACAACCGAATAATTAATTATAATATCAAATTAACGGCGAAGACGAACCAATCACAAAACGGTTTAAAATTTAACGAAGAGTTTATTATAGGACTAGACGATTCCTATCTCTTTCTCACACTTCACTGGGTCAATCTGACTAGATATATTATAATATGGTTTATAACGAGCAGCGAGTAGAGTCGGCGGCGAGCGATGTCGGTGAAGTGAGAATGAACTTATCCTCGTGGTCGTCGAGACCAAGACGTCGCCAATCCACCGGCCCCGCAGTGTGGCCCAAGGGCCAATACGATATTACCGTACGTTTCCCGTTTACTCTTTGAGGTCATCGGCCTTCCGGTGTTACCTGTACACATCCTCGAACAACTATTTTTATTTATTGTTATACATACTATACAGGCTGAATATGTACTGTTATAGGGTTCTTCTCCAGAGAATCATCTAAATTATCATACAGACTACAATCGAGCCGACAATAATACATTGTGATGCATTTCTAAAGGTTGTGTTTTGTTCATCAACTTGACCGACAAGCGAGACTGAGACAGAACAGTTAGGGAGTACAGCCTTCTTTGGAAGTCGAGTGTAAAAAAAAAAAGAAAGAAAAGAATGAATTAGTAGCCATAGGTCCAGACTATGGGTATAACTAGAAAGAAACTTTAGTAGGAAAGGTTAAGTTCCTCTAGTATTGATTTCAGTCGCTCAATTTGTTTCTAATACACTTGAAGGCGTATGAGAGAGGAAAGTAATATGAAAACATATCGAGAACGGCGAGGGCGTCGAATAAAGTGGCCTATCCTACTTGTGTGGAATATAAACCGAAGACATTAAATCTTTTAATATTGAATTCTCTTAAAAATCATTATTTTAGTTATAAATTAATTTTTGTTTAACTTTGTGTTTTTTAATAGGTTAAAATATTATTTTTTAGTTAAAATACGTGTTAAATTAACATAACCTACATTTTAAACACGTGTTTTTACATAAATGTCAAATTAATAAGGTATATGGCTACAAAAAAGTATGCGATTACCATGAATTCTAGAAATTAGTAATTGATTGACCTGGACACGTAATAACAGATATTTGATAGCTATAAAAATTACTCACAACATAATAGAATTCTATAATTTTGTTTTTACTAGTAAATTTATGCTTGGGTGTATACGACCAATCCTACTAAAGTTTAAAGAATCGAAACATAATAGTAATAATATAAAAAAAAAATCCAATACAAAAAAAAATGCTTTGTTTTTTTTCTACATGAGTGATATAGCAAAATTCGTAAATAACAATACATTTCTGTTTTTATAATAATTTGAATATCGACAGTTGATTTTAACAATACTTCGATACAAAAATATATATTAATGATGTGATGTATAAACAATATATTATGCATAAGTGTTATTGTTCTGAGTTGCAATGAAATGAGCATATTTAATCGAAGCTAACATACAACGATGACACATCGTTCAGAAAAACTAATCGCATTGTAATATTTAGAGTCGGCATACTTTTCGGAAAAAGAAAAATGTGAAAAAATATATAGAAAAGAAATAAGATTAATAAACGCTGAATAACGTTGTAAGTAGACAAAAACAACTTAGTGACTCTAGAAGAAATACGTCAAGTTCGCAAAATATAGTTTATCATTCAACATTATCATAAATATGTTTGAATACTTCAAGTCCAAATGCAACTAAATTATAAAAACTTAAGGTAATACAAACCACCTTGCATATTTTATAACCAACACAATTAAAGTAAACATACGGTCGGAATCATATATATTTACTACACCGGCACACATACATACGCCTATATTAATACATAGCTTTTTGCTTAGAACATGAGTACCTGCCTGCTTGTCAAATATCAACAGATTTTAATCCTTTAGGACTCGGACAAGATGATGGTATGGGTGATTCTATACTTTTATCATGCATTAATTATGAAATAATTTTAACTTGGAAGTTAATTTGAACCGACCAACATTTTCTATTCTTTAATATACAATGACATAAAAGTCGTGTGAAGTCGTATGAACAAGGGCTTATTGAATTTCAATGTACATTTGTATTATTCCATTACGTACAAGTCTGATCACAAAAGTATTAACATAATGTGATTTTTTATGTAATATTTGTGCAGACAAAAAAATCGAGTTGTGTAATGTTAATATAATACATAACTACATATTAGAATTTAATACGTCTCATGATAATAATCCTACAGCTTGAACAGTAGTATAATGATATTTATCTGATTAATACGCGACAATATATTATTATCATTCATCATTTAAATTAACTGTTGTGAATACAGTATAGTCTACACTTCACAACGACTTTAACTCTGTATCTTCAATGCGGTGTTAAAAATATAATTTTTGAAAAGATATAATAATGTATTAAAAAGTTGAAATCGCACCAATCGCACGACTTGTTGGTGTGTTTATCGATTTCAAATCGCTTGTGTTTAATACAATGGCAGGTCAAAAATTAATAATTTATGCATTACATACTAGCACAAGTAAAACTAAAATAGATATACAATTCGTTTGGTATTTCTCGGTACAACATTGTATCGACATAACAAAAAAAAAAAAATTTCGTAAATCCCGGAATTAAAAAAAAATTATTTTAGTTAAAATTGTCAATTTTTCAAGTTACGTTGCAATATTCTTTTTTTTACAATAAAATTCACAATTTGTGTTTAAGTTAATGGTCCATCGACACGTTAGCGCTCTTAAAAACATACAACTTCTTAATCATCTATAATTATACAATAAGTATGAATCAATCTAATATGAAATAATAATTTTTTTTATCTTCTAAATCTAAAATAAAATAAAACTAAATAACTGATGGGTAATACATTTGTAACATTGACTAGTATAGGAAATGTCTAGGGACCGTCGCGTCGGAAAACAGCGTCTTACGGGAGTTTTACTGTAGTTTTTTTTAAACTCTACTACACATTATCTACCTAAAATTAAGATAAGGGTGTTGGTTGAACACCTTCGTCAATCGTTATGAATAATATAAAAACTACTGAATTTTTTTTTAGTAAAAAATTATCGCAGGTATTTGTTGATATTAAATCGTTATTCAAATACATAGTAGCTATTATAGATACCCTATGATGTTTTTTTATAACGAATTTTGAATGACGTTTTGTACTGAGAAAAAAACTACCTGAAATTTGTCGTGTACGGAATAAAAGATCATTATAAGTCAAAAGACACTTTAATATGGTAAACATTATTTTATACGAATTGAATGATCCGGATATGAAAATATCGGATGTATTGAATAGGTATGTAAATACAAATTTGACAAATAAAATTGGGGAAAGCAGCGTCGGGGTGTCTACCGTAAACCGACAAGCCTCTGGCAATATAATTTGTGTGACTTTTAGGATTTCTAGGTAGTTCGTTATATTGGAAAATAATTTCCAAGAAATTTCAAATCGGTCGCATGGTTACATTTTTTTCACCGTAATCTTCGGAAAAAGGATAAAAATGTATTCGCATTGTCGCTTTCACGTTTTTGTATCACAACATTAGTCGGAAATCGTGACATAAGCTCCACGCATATTCGTACCACCCCATAATATTATACAGTATGTCCTAGAACTATTGGTTCTTAGTTCAATTTGTCGATCACTTGTTAAACGACTTTTGAGTTGCAAGAAACGCCGTTTAATGATACTTTTGGTTGTCATTAACATTATATGAAAAATATTGTTGAAATTTGTTCAACTTAGCCCAACATGGACAATTAAATACTGCAACAACCCTTCTGCGACATACTGTATATTATTATATCGTGTGTACGTCAACACGGCCGCCGTCATGTATGGGTCAGTGGACATGCATGGATGGAAATTGTTGTCATGTATAACATCATGTGTTCGATAATCTTAAATTGTTCACCGTAAATATTTATTCTTTTACAAACTTATCGCGGAGCTGCTACTACAGTGTTCAGGATTTACCATATTATGAATTGCGACTTAAAGATAATTAAGTAATTACGCTGTCCAAGTCTAGAAACAAGGCCGGAGGGAAAATTAAACACACATACAACGGTGTTTCCCGACAGATTCCTCCGACCCCTCTTGATCTTTATAGAAATTATATACCTATACGAGACGCGAAAAAAACTGGTCAACCGACTTCCTTTTTTATAAGAATTTTTTTTTCTTTTTATGACGAGTACAGCGTACTAAAACAAACGGTCAGACAGTAACCGAAAGACTTACAATCAGTGCCGTGCTTAACATTATAAGTATCTTAAACCTTCAGTGCCCATTTTATAATATACAATTTTTTATAGATTAAATTATCAGAAATTTGGGAAAAATAAGTTAAAAAGTATATATCTAAAAAAAAATCGTTTATAACACTTCCTAATTTTAATGAATTTTTTCTAACAAAATAAAATTATGCAATAACAACATTGTTGTATTTCTGCTACAATGGGCACTGAAGCAATAAGACCATAATTGTTTGCCCCCCTCTATAATTACATTTTTTTTCCTTCTCCGTTATTATTAAAAAATTGTTATCTTTTAATTTAAGTCACTTTGCCTTATCTCTAAAGGTTATTAATTTGGCTTTCAAAAACATTATTCAAATATACTATACATTTTTATATTACGATAGAACTGTTACAAATCACAGATAAAATTGTGTATAATTTGTTTTTTTAAACTAGATGAACTAGGTTTTAAATTAAGCCATATGAAAAATTGTAGAGTAAACCGGCTTATAAAGGAAAGAATGTCCATAATTTGCCTGAAAAATGTATCTTTACTCAACATATTATTTTAAACGACCAGTCTTACAAATTCGCGATAATTTTTAAATCTCTAACATTCGATTATGTTTCTTTGGCTAGTTTTGAAAATAAGACGTCATCTAATCTAGCGTGTTTACCACATTCGCACTACCTTTTAGGCGGGAAATTTAGTAAAAAAATTAAACGTTTTTTTTCGTTACATACGACACGGAGACGAGGCGAATATGCGTGGGGATGTCGTGGCTTGAGGTCAAGAAGAGAAGTACCGGTTATAATCTAATGTAACAATGGGATACACTTAGAACAATATTGTCTAATAAAACTAGAAGAGGATGTGCGTGGGAGTGTCATCCGGCAAACATACAAAATTAAAAAATCATAGTACTCTTTAAATCCGTGGTGGTTTTATTTATCGTCGCGTGAAGTGTGGGATAACTATCATGTACACGATTTCGAAACCTTTCGAAATTGTCGTTGCCATTCAAATAAGGAAACTACACCGGAGATCGTGTAGGCTAACCGTGTATCCGTCCGTTTACGGGCACCAAGCAGTCTGCCCAATGTCCGGCACAATCCTTATACCTGTGCCCGTATTATAAATACAATAATAACCGCACCAAATGTAATCTAGTCCCTTTATTATTTCCTTTTTCTTTGGGGAGGAGGTTTATAAACCTTTTTTTCCTTCGAAGTATCATGCTGTGTTTGACATGTAATAAAAGGAAAAAATTCTGCCCCAAAATCCAAGAACAGATGGTTACCTAATGCTTCTGGCTTCTATATTAGACACCGGACGGCCCATAAACGAGCATATACATTTTGCAGACTTCGTGACCAGCCAACAGACACGGGAATCAAAATACTATAACGCGGAGTATCTATGACCTACGGTTTTGACATTTTTTTCAAGGACAGACAAATGAATGGTTTACATAAACATTAACTTCTATAGATTGTAATTTGGGTAAATATTTTTTTGTTACAGGTCGTGTCTGTATAAAAATACAATAACAGTTTAACGCCACAGTAATAAAATGTAAAGTAAGATATGATACACAGCTAAAATATATTATACCCTTATTTATTTGGCTTGGTAAAGAAAATTCATGCTATACTAATCCATTTTTCATTCTTGAAATTTGTCAATCCTAATATTTATCATAATAATATTTGTAAGTATGGTATCATGACGTAGTTACATAAAAAAAAAAGTCTTTAATTTTTAGATTTTTTTCCATATATAGGTACTAGAATAATTGAAAAATACATCATTAAGTTAAAGTCAAAATTTGGAGCATTTATGAACTTACGAATGCTTACAATGTTATAAATATTACGTCGTGTATACTTAAAATGCGTTTTTTAAAATCTTATTTTCAACTGCAGTAAATATACCGCTATACTGCTGTACAAAATATTTGACCAATCGTTTTTCTCTTGTATTTTTCGAGATTTAAAATTTACATTACATTACTTTTACACTGTTTTTAATTTTTTCAATCTAAAGTTGAATACATACTTAACAATCGTCGTGACCAAATCATTGACGAAGCAATGAAGTAATAAATACAAATTAATAATTTAATTTAATTATTTTTATTTGAAATATATATTTTTTATAACTTATGGTTATTTGTATGCGTATTAGTCATGAAAGTAAAATTATAATCAGTTCCATCTTTACCCCAAGAGCATGTGAGGCACAAGCCCAGGCCCAGGGCCTCCAGCCTGATGGGGGTTCTGAATAATACGTTTTTTTTGGTTTTCTTGTAAGTGGCCCCCTAACTTTTAGTTAGTCCCAAGGGCCCCTGCATAGCCTAAGACGGCCCTGATTAAAATAATAAGAAATTGGTTCCTCTTAGAATTTAGCCCAATACACAAAATAAAGGGAAAGGTAGAAATATTACTCAATCGTCTACAAACCCTTTGAAATGTTTAGACAAAAATAAGAAAACTTTTAATTTAGTTTGCATCATAATTCATAACGCTAACAAAAATATTTATATTTACTATGACATTTATTATACATATATCTACATTATGCCTAAATTAATATAATACAATATTACAGTAGAAAAATGATTAAATAACACTTGTCTAACGGCTAGTTCACATGAAGACCATTAACATGCGCTTAGAAAAAAGTACACAGGATGTATGTCAACTCACGTCTAATAGCAGTGCATTATAACAGTAAACGAGAGTTTAACGGTCTTTATGTGAACTACTAGCCCTACAAGTTATTACAATTTTAAGAAAAAGATAATATTCAAATAAAATGTACGATGTCTGAAAAAATAAGTACTTATACAAAAAAAATTTTTTTTTATACTTAAAAGTATCGGGTCCCAAAATTATGATTTTTTAATAAACTTCAAACCTAACCGAGAGTAGGCCCGAATGCCTAGTTTGGACGCCTACTTGGCAGAAAAGGCTGTGTTCACCCGTTGTTTTCTGCCAAGTTTTTGATAGGGGGATGGCTGGGTTTGAACTGGCGACGGTGCGCGTATTGGAACCGTCGCCTTAGTCCACTCAGCCACTCAGTCCCACAGGCATTACATGAATTTATCCTAGACATCCAAAATTCGTAATAACTATAACTACAAAATTACAAAACTATTAATTTTTAATTTATGCTTTGGATCGTTTGACAAATTTAAGTTACGGCTATCACTAACCGTGTAAAAAGATAATAATTTTTTTTGAAAATGAGTCCATTTAACTAAATTGTTCTTCTAAATTATTCCATTTTCAATAAATATAGTTTTTATAGTATCAACAAATTTAATTTACAAATGATTTTGTAATATTATATTGGTGATGTAAATAAGATATTTTAGGTATAGATTTTACTATAAACATTAAAAAAAAATGTATTCAGTTAAATGCTCAAAAAAATGTTATTGAGATACATTCACAATAATTATCCACTATACATAACACGTATTACTAATCAATTAAATTAATATTTATGTTTCACAGTCACACAGTGTAAAATTTACATAGTTATATCAAATAGCGCAATATTTGTCATAAGATGATGTGTATGTATTAATAAAAGTACTATTTACTATAGGTATACATAGGTAATATAACATATTATAGGTAATATGTATTTTATTTTAGAGTTATTACTAAGTATACATAAACAAAATTATCGTAAGATGGGCAAAAGTTATATTTACATTGAACGTAATAAAAACAATTATATGCATTATATTTACATAGAACTTTATTTCGAATACATGAACGTTGATAAATCTTTAAATTTGTAGTAGTGCTTTAATCTATTTTTTTAAGGCATTTATGGTACGTAAATTGTAATGAACAATTTTTATATTTTTTGTGCAATCAGACCAAAGAAAAAGCTGCTGTTTATTTTGAAGAAAAATGTTTTTATATTAGTTTGATGCTGTATACCCAATTCTTGTGTACAGTACACGTTGGAAAAGATGATTAATACTATAAATTCTTGCCAATACTCTTTTACAACAATAAGTAGTATAAATTGTTAGATAAAATTCAATTTTCTTTTACTTACCTTATCAATCCGTTACAAATAAAACGAATGTGGCTGAAAACGAAGTCGTTTGGGTCGTACCCAATGACAGTTATCGCCGTCATTTTACCAATAATTGTATTTAACGTTTAACGAGTAAAATATGTCTACGGAGGCGCAAAAATGTTTAGCAATAATCGGTACCGAACGTAAGATAGAAATTTGAAAAGCAAAATTTGTTTAAACTTTAAATTATTCGTTATCAATTTTTGATTGTGAACCGTTTGTACTGACTACTGGGCGCGGCGAACAAATCGCGTAATGATAACAATTAAAATCCACACAACACAAAGCGATGCTGCGGTTGCAGCTGCGCCAAAAAGCAACAGCTTACAGTAGTGGTAAAAAAACCGTATACAACTGTTGTATCTTACAGAATCATATATAGTGTATACATGTTTCTTCATTTCCTACTGGAAATCGTAATTTTTTAGGATATTAAAAATACTATCTGTAGGGCGCAATAAAAAAAAGAGAAATAACCTTTTCGAATTTACTATTGTTTAATTTGAACGGTAATAATCTTGTGAAGATATGACCATCTCACAAGCGGGCAGTACTGACGGTGCACATGCACTTGGCTCCGTAGGGCCCAATACGTTATTCTACATGCCCCTGGTTATTTTTATTGAATAATATTGAATATATTATATACTTTATAGTTTCCAAAAAAAAGACAGATATAATTGTTTATAAAATGATTGTGTATGATCATATTTCTTAATGCTTATACTTAGTCTAATCTAATAATAACAAAGTTATAATATTGTTTTAATTTTGATATATTTTATAAAATTAGTGTTTGTTAATGCTTCATTTTTAAAAGTTACTTATTATTTAGTAACTTTAATAAGTATAAAACTTTACACTTTTTTTTATTATCATTGTTTGGTTATGATAGTTATAAGGGATGCAATGATGTGCTATTAGCTTCTATTTTGTTTATAAGCATTAAACCGATATCATTATACTACAGAATACATTTTTTTTGAAAAGTTACAGTCATTTAAAAATGTTAAAATAGTCTTTATTTCTAAATTATGTATTGAGCGTTATACTTGGAATAATGAAAAAAACGCACCGTCTTGCCCCCCGGAATATTGTTCTCTTTTAATTTTAAAATGAGTGCTTTTACTCTCAAACCAAAATTAAGCGAGTTATTTTCAGTCTGCTTAAACATGTAAAGATGAAAAAACATTTTTTTTAAATCGCTTTCAAGGATGCTGTGATAATCCAAAAAATAAATTAACTATCAAAATAGAGTTCTAGTTGTCGAACTAATAATTATTACACATCACAGTTTAACCTTTAAATTAAGATTTTGTAAAAAATTGACTATAATTTACTCCTTAAAAATGGGCGGTGCGACGCCCTCTTAAGAAAACTCCAAAACATACTTAACTTTTTTAAATTACAAATAAGCATAAATCGTTTACCGTTATATAATTTTATATTTTTTACGCTGTCACATATATTCAACTTAACTATTGACAGCGAACATAAAGGCCCAGGCGATTAAGTTTCTTCTTTATTAATTTTATGATAGTAAAATTTCAAACACAATGGGAATCAAATATAAAAATGTCCAGAGGGCTTACAGTTTAGTGTTTACAATTTTTTATACGTTTGATACACGTGTTCCTTTACAGTACAAAACGGCGCCTACCTATATAGATTTTAACTCAACAGTTGAACGACGACGATGAGTTTAGTCTGAGCGTCGCCGTGTGTGTTCTCGCGGTGGCACATATTACAGCCTTTAGATAATAAGTAAGTAAGAACAACGAGGGGAACTGAGAACAGGTAACTATATACCTACACCGCGCATCGGAACGCAGTGTCGTAAGCTGTTCCCGCGGCTGCAGTGGCGGAACATAGTATTTTAAAACTGTCATCAAATATGCGTTATTCATTCATTGGCTGGGGAATGTCTTTTATGCGTTAAAAATTCCAATTTAGAAGTATTGTGTTGTTGCTCTACTGTACAAAAACAGCCGCCTGCAGACGCGTACCTACCTATATTATTACATATATTTACACACATATATATTCTGACAGGATGTTAAAGCATATATTCTTCATTGTGCTTGGGGCGCGGTATACACAAATACACGCCGCCGTGTTCAAATGACCATTGTGAACCGATCCGATCCGCGTGTGTATATAGCATTCCATTTGAATTGAATCGGAACGAAAATACTTACCTTTTTTCCCCTTTTGTCGCTGCCGAATCACTTGGTTGTCCTCGTCGGTCGTGCCACCAGAGGATTCGCAGCCTCAACAGCGGCGGCGTTCCTGTATAATATAAGAGGCATACCATACGTACATGGTATAGGTATTATATACCAGGTATATAGAACCGATATTGTCCGACTTACAACGACCCGTGTGAGTAATATACATTTAAACGCGATTTTTTTTTCTTTTCTTCTTTCATATATATATATATATATATATATATATATATTGAATTCTGGACTGTCCGAATTTTCTATTGAAAACGGTAGTGTATCGAACATCAATAACAACGTTACACCTGTTGGCGATAAAAGGGGTAGTTTTCCTGTTCAACGCTTTCGATTGTGTCTCGACTCTCGTGAATGGATAACGTCGCTGGCGACAGTTATATAATAAAAAGAATGTACTCAATATATAATTAAATACTATGGTGATATCCGAGTACAACAAATAATACTTACCACAAATAACTGACACTCAATAAAAGAGCATCAAAATAATCATGTTTTGCAGTGATCACGTGGGTACTGGAAAATATAGACATATCTACCTAACTGTAGGGTATAGATAAAACTAAGTTTTGAACCAAGTGACTAATATTCTCTATATTTGATTAATCCTTTTTTCAAAACCTTTTATTTAAAAAATTGTATTAAGAGTACGCCACACCGGCCATTTCTAAGGAGTAAAGTATAGGCAATTTTTCGAAAAATCTTAATTTAGAGTTTGATCTATAATGCATACTTGTTAATACAGTAATGAGGAAACTTTGTTGATTGTCATTTTTTTTTGTCAGACTATCACAGTCATTTCTGTAGGATAAATTACAATGTTTTCCCTTTAAAACTGTTTTACGCGAATTACATTTTCTCAGGCTTCATATATAGTTAAGCAATGAAATTCATACATATTATTTATGACAAAATTATCTGTGTTCCATCATCCGTATTTTTTCAATATACCTACCTAATATAACCAACGCTGTATCATTTTTTAAAAAGTCGAAAAAATCCTTTCTTAATTAATTAATTATTCATTAACTGGTTGAAATATTAAAAAAAGGGCGATGGTAGAACACAGAAATTTAGTTGTCTATATTATGTAAAAATTTGGTTTCTTAGTTTTGATTATAGCCTTTGTAAAATTAATCCGAGCAAGGCGGGTTTTTTGAAGAAAATAATGGGTGTGTGACGTTCTCTTAATGCAAAATATTAACAGTAATCAGATAAAAAAGCAATGGAATGAGTATAGTATGGTTTTAGTTCTAACTTAGTCATTTGAGTAGTCTGTGCAAATTAAAAAACATATAAATATTTAATCTATTAAATATAAGCATACACCTTAAATTGACAAATAACAACTTCAAATGTACCAAAACAAATTTTTTTATTTATTTATTAGATACAAAAATATTATTGTTAGTCAACAGTTTTAAGATAAGTATTAAACATTTCTACACTTGTTTTTGCAATATTAACACAAAATTCAGAATCACTTCCTTCAACAATCTTAATCAGAGGCACAAAATTTGGCTTAGTACAATCATATTGGGCTCGATTTAAATATTTTAGATACTCGTGTCGCTGCTTGATCCTAAATAAACGACTAGATAATATTTTAGGTTCAATTACAATACTATCATGACTAATACCCATACTATGATGCACATAATTAAATCGTTGTAATAAATGATGTTTTGACATTATATACACTTTTGGATAGACCAAGAGTAATTTTTTCCTTTCACTCCTATTAAAACCCATTTCTTCATCTAAGGAAAACATAATTAAATTTACTGCTCGTTTAGGCCATGTAATGAGTCTTGGTAGCTTAGTGGTAACACTGCGAACATTATCTCCGGAAAGATAAAATTTGTTTTGAAAAAATCCTAAGCTTGCATCAATGTCTACTGTACTGTAAGATAACCACATAGGATGTTTTCGAATAACTTCAGTAATCATCTCTCTAGAAAATTTTCTATACTCAAGATAATTTATTCGAGTTACTAAATCATCCATATGTTGAGTAAATATCATTGGGTTTTTGGTAAAAAATGTTCCCAGTTCTTCTGTTGGAACACCGCAATTGTATACAAATTGTATGTAAGGCTTCATGTCTCGTTCAAAATTTAATTTCAAAATTGTTTCCATTACATCTGGTTTACCGTCAAACTTATAAAGCTCAACGCCTAATTTAACTAGTTCTTGTAGCGTTGGTGACTCATTGACATATGATGCTAAATTAAATGTTGGACGCAAGGCTGGACTGATGGATGAAAAATCAGTGTTATTTGGTGCCAGCGGCACCTGATTATAATCTGGAGTCCATTGAATTTCATTTGGTTCAATTGTTTCTAAGGAATTTTTTGAAGTAACATAACATTTTATAAATTCTTTAAAGTTGTTAGATTTGGGATGTAGTAATTTCCGGATTAAAAACATGATTAATTCTATTGATTGAGCTGTATAGTAAAATAATACTGAAGACGATCAATCCATTATACTTCTACTGCACACGTTTTCTAATACCAGCAATTTTTTATCTAAAAGTAATAAAAAATTAATATAATAAATTATTTATCTCATTAAAATTTTCTTTTGATATGTATGGAGTCAAAAAAGATTTTCTGCACCTCCTGTCTATTATAAAAAATCTCAATTTTTAGCTAAAACAATTTAAGACGACTCATTATACAAATTTATGGTCACTTAAACTACCCTAAAAAATTACAACTTGTTAATTATGTGAAAAGTTATGCTTGTTAATAGCAAACTTTTTAAATCAATAAGAAAAATATGAGGTTTTAGACCAAGACACAGAAATATCAGTTTTATTTTTAGAATGCAAATATTTGATAGTTTTTTGGAAAATCGACTTATAATAGTTATTACATAATTTGTTAGCTTACCTATAAAAATATTACAAGACTTAGAACACTAGCCTCTTTAATTATTTTACTAACTTTTAAATAATATACAGATTGAAACTAAGTATTATACACTTAACATTGGCAATTATAATTTATAGAACTTCTTTAGAGTTTAGATATCTGTAAATTATAATTATTTGGTATCGTGAATCGAGATAGATAAGAATAAAGTGTTCTTATCTATCTCGATAGTATATTTTGCAGGCTGAGCTGAGCGGCGAGAGCTCACGGCTGTATTGTTGCATCGCGCATGCACTTTACATTGTGATAACAATCATCAATATTTAGATCAACTGAATTCAAGGGTAAACATTGGTTATGGTTACTGGTTGTGAGTGGTAACATAATTGCATTGGTGTATAATAGGTTGCGTTACAATATTATGAAGGAGAAATTTTATATTACGAATGCCGATTAATAATTATTATTGACTTATAAAATTAATATTAATATCGCTAGTCATTTGAGTTAATAACTGTTAATAGGTATATTATACTATTATTTACATGAAAGTTACAATAATTGAAGAACGTAATAATAAAACGAATGTTTTAATTTTGTTAAAATACGAAATGTACGGATAAAAATTTTGTTTGTTTTCACAAGTAATAAATACCATTTTATGGACAATGGACAAATGAAAAGATGACTATCCCTCTCGTCTCTCTTACGTTTAACATCCGTTTTTCCCACTGATCGGGACTTAGACGGTTTAGATTAGGCATTTTTGGGCTTATAGCTGGCTGCCGACCTAACGCTACCAAACAAGTTTGCCCCAGAGAGAGGTGCCGGTGGTCATTTCTTTCTCCAGACAGTTGCTTGCCCGGATGAACAAACCGCCAGTGGCCGAGATTCGATGAAAAGTAGAATATGATTTGTGTTAAAAATGATTGTACGTAATAATGAAAATAGATCATTTTAGCATGAGAAACTGACAGTTTCGAATGGATGCACAAAATCATTACATTGGTAGTGATCAGGTATTAGAGTCATGAAGTAAATTAATTTCATCACAAATATATTTATGCATTATGAGATCTATACATTTTGTACATATACAGTTGTTCATAAATTATTTATTTTATTATAATGCACACTTAAATAACAATAGTCTATTGTTTAAAAAATAATTAATTACAGTGATAATATTATACTGAATATTAATATTCAGAGAGCCTATAATATATAGGGTATAATAATATTAAATAAATATAACTTAAATAAACATGTTTATATTTAATCTATGATAATTATAATGAATATAATATAAGGAGTTAAAGGTCTAATAAGCCCCCCCAAAGCACTCCTCGGTCCACCAAAAAATGATAACTTTATTTAGTGATAACGCGTTGGGTATGAACCTCGATGAAGAGAAGATTTAATAATATTCTTCTTTTCTAGTCTTTACCGTGACTATGGGCATGGTCTCTACACAGAATCACAGATATATATAATAATCTAGATTGCTAAGTAGCGATAAGAATTGAAGCCGACGGTCCGCCACTCTGGTGGGATTTGTGTGTGTATAAAATAACATATATATCTGTGATTCTGCGTTATCAACTGAACTTATTATATTGTTATAAGAATATTTTCATGTAATAAGGTTCTAATTCCCACCAAGATGGCGGAAAGTGGCTGCTTCAATCTTCTCTATTGATATCATGTACAGTGAGCAATCTAATTTATTATAAATATCTGTGCACAGAATAGACTCTATATACATTAGGTTACATTAGGTAACGTTAGGTTAATATTTATAATCTGTGGTAGCCACTTGCTGATATCACATTTATTACATTATCATTGATACTGATAACGGGTAAAGTTTATTTTCATTTACTTTGTTTACAAAACACATTGGTAATATAGAACAAACATGATACGTCCCGTTACAATCACGATTTAATGTTTCTTACATCCTTACGACAAACATCGTACAATCCAAGAATAATTAAGTATTCTGTAAATTTAGAGAATATATTATAATTGTGTTTAAAAGCTATCAATAAATATGAATAGTAGCGATAGCGATGATTTGACCGAAGAATTTTTAACAGATGACACTCAGAATTTTCTTACTCAAGGTAATATTATATATAAAATTAACATTTTTATTTAAAATTTAAAGGAAAATACTAAGACAAATATTTGGCCTCAAAAAGAATGAGGAAACCAATGAATATGAGTGTAGAACTAATGATGACTTGTATGAACTATACAACCTACCGGACATAGTAGCAGTAATGAAGAGCAAAAGAATCGGATGGGCAGGACATGTCTGGCGCGCTGAAGGAAAAATATTAAATAAAATAACCTCATGGAAACCAAACAAAAAGAGACCCTCGGCCGACCGAGACAACGATGGAGTGACCATGTACATCAAGACCTAAGGTTGTTAGGAGTAGAGAATCCGGAAGAGATGGCAAAGGATAGAGAACGATGGAAGGAGGTGGAAGTTGTGGCAAAGGGCTTTAATGGCTTATACTAAGCCCAAAAAAAAAAAAAATTTTTAATTTAAAGCGATTAAAAATGTAATACCTGATATAGACTATAGTTATAATACCTAGATATTTGTTTATTAAAAGTTATTATCTGTTATTTCTTTTTAGATAGTTTTAGTTTTGCTGGATAAATATTCATTGATAGTAAAAATGCAAAAAAAAATCATTGAAAAATTCAAGGTACATTTGAGCTTTGCATAAAAAAAAAAAAAAAATTGATAAAAATTTCAAGTTGGAATTTACTAGAAACGGGGAATTATAGGGGTGCAATTTTCTATGTTATGGGTGATTGTATCCATAGAATGTGAGATGAAATGCGTGAAATTATATCTCTAAAGTAGGCTAGAACTGCTTTGAATGACACTGATAAGAAAGAGTCGGGAAGATTGGTAGAGCCACTAAGATGGAGAAAAAAAAAAAAACATTTATCATTTATCACGCTATGTTTCAAAAAATAAAATATTATCGTACCCTTAAAAATATAATAAGTATTTATATTTTTACAGGTCAAGATACTCAAGATGGTATTGAAATGGTAACTTTAGACAACACAGACGATTCATCCAACCAAGGAGAAGTATATGAACTAAAATTTGGCAAACCTCTCAGAGAACAGGATAGATTCCTACCTATAGCAAACATTGCGAAAATAATGAAAAAATCCATACCTGATGGGGGAAAGGTAATAGTACATTAATTGTAGTATTTTTTAAAAATTTTTATTATTAACACAAAATGTAAATATATTTATTATTAATTATAGATAGCCAAAGATGCCAGAGAATGTGTCCAAGAGTGTGTTTCTGAATTTATAAGTTTTATTACCAGTGAAGCTAGTGATAGATGCTATCAAGAAAAACGTAAAACTATAAACGGAGAAGATATTCTATATGCTATGTCTAATTTAGGATTTGATAATTACGTTGAACCATTAAAATTATACTTGCAAAAATATCGAGAGGTAATTTCATATTTTTTTCAATTACATTTTTCATTTTATTCTATTACAAAATCATTATTTAAGACAATTGAGATACCATGTTGTGTCCTGTTTGAAATTAAAGACATGATTGTCAATAATGTTAAATGATAAAGAACTGACTAAATAACAGAAATCCTTGGAAGTTACAAGTGTCCCCCTGTTGGTGAAATTTAAAAATAAAATATTTAATGATTTATTAATTTTAGCTGTCAACTACTACTTATTAGATATTTTGTGAGGAGGATATATAAAACTTGAACTTTTATTTAGTTTGATTACTAAAGTAAATTTAAAAAAAAAATTGTTAACTTTGAAGAAGGACTATGTAATAAGCCCGGAAATTTAGCAACAAATCAAAGACATTGGTACATCTGAAGAATATTAAGTTAATAACATTTAAATCCATGAAAGCTTTAACACATTCATTTAAAAAAAAAGTTATAAAAAATTAATCAAAGTTAATAATTTTAAACAATTACTTTTTAATATATTTATTTAAGTTGAAAATTACCAGACGCTGAGTTTTGGTCAACTGTCGTTACTGACTGGTCAGGCTATGATAAACAACTGGGGAATCAAAGAGGGTGGGGCATAAACTGGTATTTACTGTGTATTGAATATTTTAGCTGTCATAGTTATAAAATTGGAAAATTTATTCCCACATTTTTGAGTTTGATTCCAGCCAATTAGACTATAGTTGACCAAAAAGTTATAAAAAAATAGTACAAAAAATGTCCAAGGATGCAAAATAAAACTACAGTTTTAGATTTGTTTTTAATTTTTCTCGTATTTAAGGATAAATCTATCAAAATTGTTATTTCTAAATGTAACAAATAACACATATAAATGTATAAACATTTATCAATTTGCAATCAACAGCGTTTTTTTTTTTTTTTATTTCATTTACAATAAATGTTAGAAATATAGTCTAGAATTCTTTTACGTCTATTAAAATATAAGTGTAGTTATAAATTATTGAAATGTTTGATTAGATATTTATTTTATGAGTATAACTTAAATATAATATTACTTCACTAAGCTAATATGTACTTTTATTAGGCCACAAAAGGAGATAAATCAATTGGTATTGAAGAGCTATCAGACGATGTATTTTGTAAGTATTTGACTTACTAAAGTTATTTAAACCAAAAATGTTAAAGTTTACTATTGCATATATTTGTTTTCAGCCAATGATTCAAATTATACAAAAATATTTGGACAAAACAGTCAAAGTGATTCCGTTATTTACTATCCAGATTCAATACAACAGTTTCACATAGTATAATCAAAAATTAATTAATTTTTTTTTTATAATTTAATACAAAAGTAATTCATAATTATTGTAGTAAATTTTAGAAATTAGGAAAATAACAGTTTCACGTGTAAATAAGTGAATAGACTAAGAAGTGCAAAATTACCTTACAAAAAATACTTACTTATACTTAATAAAATCTATTGTATTTTAACTTTTAAATTAAACATCAGTTAATTTTAAAAATGTGTCCTACAATATTATTATGTTTATAATTTTACAAGGAAGCAAATTGTTAATTCTGTTTCAATATAATATTTAATAACATAATAATTGTGAAATTTGTAAAATCCAATTATAGATTTGTATAATGTAGTAGTTGTTATTTTCACCAAAATAAACAAATTAGCTGCATTATTAATATAACATGTTAACAATATTGATTATTTTAGTACATTCTTGTCAATGGGTTCGAAAATATATATATATATGTTTTTTGTTTATTAAAATAAGGTTATGGAGTAATTAAAATTAAGATTGTGTAATGAAATTGTTATGAAGTATTAATTATACAATAATAAATATTGTAGTAGTTATTATTATATAATTAAATTTATATAAAGTAAAAATATTTAAATCCTTTTTCAATGTTGATATTTGATAAGATTTGTTTGTAATTACGTATGACTTCATGTCATAAAGTAACCCCACAAATAGACAAAATTTGAAAAAAATATTGGACATACAAGTACAAACAAATATTTAGTTGTAAATAACAACCTAATTAACCGTTTTACAATTTATTTTACGGTATTTTTATTATCGAAAACATTGGCACTGCAAAATATTTACCGTTTGTGCTTCAATTTGTTAACAATGGTGACCGGTGAGATATAGCATAGCTACTCTATATTATTACTCTATGCTTCATACCTTGTTTACCAATAGGGAATGACGATGCGAAAAGTAGATATTGTTTTCGCTGATAAAATTTCGGTATGATATTAATGAGGTATTAACGAATTGATAACAAACTATGGGTACCTATTACGCATGTCATATAAATCCGTGAAGAAATAGAAATAATGAACACTAAAACGGGAACTATTCGATTTTCGAACCACAAATTGGGAGACCTTAATTTTTATTTTATTTTACAGTAGCGAAACAAGTTTCCACTTTCCAATTTCCATCGTAAAATGCAATAATTGTTCGTCGAGGAAAACCTAAAGTTTTTGTGGGATAACAAGTCAAACTCGTGATGAACAAAATCAATGAAATTAGCTTAAATATATACATGATCATATAATAGTAGTAATAACGGTATTAGATTGTATTGTTTTCCTTCTAGATTATCAGCATTACACATACGTCAATTAACATAGTATGCTATTAACTATATTTATAGTTGCTCGAAATGACGGTCATCGGTCAGTCCATGAGCGGTTTACCGACTACAGTTTACACTTTACACTCATTAGGGAACAAGTGTCGCCGTTATCGTTGGAAAAACCGAACGATTAGAAATAGTGTCGTTTGGAGTGACCATAGGTGCCTTGTGCGCGGGCGCGCAGTGTATGTACACGGCGACGCAGCAACAGAAGGTAGGTATAGCGCGCGGGGACGGCTCGGCGGCCATTTTGTGTAACTGTGTTCCCCAACACAACTGCTTTATGCTCTCCCGTCCTTTTCTGATAACCCGCACACACACACATACACACACACTAACACACTAAAACACATACACGTATATACACACACACACATACACATTACACTTATACATTATTACAATAATTCGTGTGCGCGTTGCTGGTGGAACCGAATCTCACCAGCTCTACGATAAAATATTATAATAATTATTATATACCGTTCGGGTGTTAAATTACACATTATAAAACACAAAAAACACAATCGTCGTATAATGGCGTTGAAGCGAATCAATAAGGTAAGTACCGATAGCTATGCCCTGTGTGTTTTTCTGTCCGTCCGTTGGCGTGTGCGAATTTTTGTCGCACGCATACTTATAAGCTATTGTCGCCGTGATCGTCTCCCTCATGTTCCCCGTAAAAATATCGAATTTCCTGAAGTAACATCGTCTTGCGGGATTGCCTAAAGCCTTTTGTATGTTCCGTTCGGGACAGGGTTGCACTTTAGGCACTACCCCCTTTCGCGGTCGAGCCTAAAACCAGTAGCCAAGCTATTTGGTCGTGACCTACAATTTAAAAAAACAAAATTTTTTTTGGCGGCTATACCAACTTTGAACTGACAGTGAATAAACCAATTGTCATAATTTATTTATTTTAATTTAACATTAAATTGTCGCATGCATAAAGTGAGTTCTAATGCTTTAATTTTATGTGCAATGTATCATCCATTTTTTTTTCATCTATCTTGCCAGAGACCTTGATATCAGTCATAAACATCTTCAAGTTTACATCATTAACAATAATCATAAATTATTGATGTATTATTTGTTTTTGTTAATTTCATACAACTATTATTGTACATTGTCCCATTCAGCATTTTTCTAAATAATTTGTCCGTTCTTATTTACCCTGTTATCGTTTTTTCAAGGCTTTTGAGGAAAATGGTAGTTGTATGGTTTTTAATATTAAGCATATATTCATTCGCTTGCTTGGATTAGTTGTATTATGTACTTTCCAATAAAATTATATTTATTATGTTCAATAATCATTGGCAAGTTAAAATTAAGCATTTCATAATTATTTCAATTGACTTCTTCATTTGATTTTACCTACTTAAAATTTTACTAATTGATGTATTTGAATCTTGTTTATTGCTATTATTATTCTTTTCTATTTTTAAAGCCATTACGGAGTACTAGTTAAAAACGTTTTGTTATGTTAGGTTTGTTTGAAAAAAATAAATTATTACAATTGGTAGTTTTAGCGACTGATAAAGCAATATAACCTAATACTAATTAGCTATGTTTTATAATAATTAATAGTTTAAAATGTATAATTTAGTAAATTAAATTCAAAGGTGGTTATATCCAAGTTTTTTTATTGATCTTGTCTGAGAAACTTGACATTCCCTAAATTTAGTGTAATTAGGAAACGATAATACAAGTCCTATCTTATTAAGATGTATGCATCCTTATAGGTTTATTGAAATATTATTTATTCTTGACTTCATTCAAATGTTGTTATTTGAAAACCTTTAACTTAAAGGATAGAAACTTGGCATAAATTTATTAGACACTCTTTTTTTTTTTTTTTTTTTTGTCATCTCGTAGTGTTTTTTTACACTAATTACAAATCTGACTCTTCTAGTTCAAAAGTTATAGCTACTTGAACATTGAAGTATTCTGTGTATGTAACAGTAGGCCACGGGCATGTGACGGCAGTAGGCAAATGCGGTGGAGGACAGTTGTATAAGAGCCTATTATTTTTTGTTATTTTGAAGGGTAGGTTAGGTTAGGTTCGGTCTATACGCTTCTAGAGCAGTATCAGGTTAGTGTAGTCCTTTATGCAATCTATTTATTCTTCTGGAGGTTTGTGGGAGTGAGCTCCCATCCTAACGAAGGGGTTCGACTCGGCTTTTAAACCTGGCAGGTGTAGGGAGTTGTTTTATATAGTTTTCTTTTGCTGTTTATACCAAACGAAGTTTGTAGATAATATTATGATCATCGTAATATATTGATAACAAAATGCTGTTTTTTTCAATTGTGATTTGCGTCGCTGTTAACAGCTGCATGGTGCAGTGGCCGCCTACTGTTATGTATACGAAAAAGTTAAAGTAACTATAACTGTTGACCTAACTAGAGGAGTCCACCAATTTCTGACTTCAGATTCGCAATCAGCGTAAAAAACACTACGATATGTCAAAATAAAACTTCCAAAAAAAGGGTGTCCTATAAAGTTAATTTGTTCTGAAACTTTCGTATTATTACCTAAAGGGTATATCTGTGTAAAATAGTAATAAATATAACTTGTGGTCTGATAAAATGAATTAGGAAATCATAGATTTAAAATGTTAGGTTTGTGCAAAGATCACAAAATTTCTACTTTTATATTAATGTTGTTCAGTCAGCTTTTATTTTGATGCTTTTTTTTTAACTAAACGAAAAATATACCTATTTGAATATTAGGCTATACTTTTGCAAAGAGTTAAATTTTTTTTGTTTTTTAGGAACTTCAAGACTTAGGCAGAGACCCACCAGCACAATGCTCAGCAGGACCAGTTGGTGATGACTGTAAGTTAAATTAAATTTGTAATTGTTAAAAATGGCTTTAACGTAAGTTCAAAAAAAAAAAAAAAAATTTTGTTGCTGAATGATTGGCCTAAGTTAGTATATTATTTTACATAAATTGTAGTTACGACAATTTGACTCTTAAGAAGAAGAAAATAAATTTAACATGTTTCAAAGGATATAACTGAAACTTAATATTTACATTAATGTTTTAAAAGGTTGCAGTAATTTAAAAATAAAGAGTTGTATAAGATACTAGTTTTATTGGGAAATAATTAAAATTAATGAAATAATCATAATGTAAAGCTTAGAAACTAAATTCATCATTCTTAAGAATTAGATATACAAACATCTTATGACCATCCTACACAAGTCACAACACGTTTATTCGATCAACATTGGGCACTTGTGTTAATTAATTAAAATGTAAAGGTGTTATTTACGCCAGTTATGTGCCCTGTACAGTTCAATTTATGGTAAAGGTGGCACAAGTTAAAGAAACTGTAATGTTGGCCGAATAAACTAGGCTTTATGATTATAACAAATTTACATATTTTTGTATTGTTCAAATCTTCTCAACAGATAGGGTATTTATGAATTCTGAATGATAAAAGTTTTTAAACAAATTTAATAAAAAAAATTATTTTTGTATAAAAATAAAGTCCTTAACTACTAGGCATTCCTAAACAATTTTTTCTGAATCGTTAGGAAAATAAAGGTTTGTTATAACTTATTATTTTATTTCAAGTTCTCAAAAATAAATTGATTTTGTTTTCACATACTATAAAAGTATGTTATACATCCTAAATATATTTGTATTCGGGGTTTTTCATAATATTTTGACTACTTCACGTATAAATAAATTATAACAATTATTGTTTGTAAATTATGACGTGGGACTTACAGTATGTTCAACCTACCAATATTTGTATTTCATTCATTAATTTGTATTTTTTTTTTTTTTTTAGTATTTCACTGGCAAGCAACTATTATGGGACCAGTAAGTTAATTACTAATTCCATTTATTTTTCTGATTGTTTTAAACTGTATTTTACTTTTTTAGCCGGATAGCCCATATCAAGGTGGAGTGTTTTTCTTAACTATTCACTTTCCAACGGATTATCCATTTAAACCTCCAAAGGTAAATATTTTAATATATATTCTAAAATACCTAAAGGTGGTGTAAAAAGATATTGTGAGGTTGTAATGAGAACTGAACAAAAAAAAATTATATGTAAAGCCTAAATAATTTACTCAGTTTATTTTCACAAACTGACTGCATAAAAAATACCATAAATTAGTTAGTGTAATTTAGTGGAACATGTAACACATAGTAATAGTTTTTTTAATTTTTATGCGATTTATCTTATGTTTTAACATCTTTAATATTGGTAGATAGTATCTATGTGTCTTATCAATATCACAGTTTATTTTGGTAAATAATACGTATAATGTTATAGATCAATTATCTTTTATACATCAGGCGCATTGCCTATTTAGCTTAACTATGGCCCAAACGATTGGAATTGTAAATTTAGCATTTTGTGATTGATAGGCCCACAGATAAGTGTAATGCCTAAATGGTATAAACAGATTCTGACCACTTCCAAGCTGTCGAGACCGCCAAGGCACACTGGTCATTATGAATTAATGATAACAACATTTTATATGTTTTTAGTAAATTTGCATTAGTGGACTAATATTACATTGCCTTACTAAAATGAATGTTTTGATCCAATGGTAGCTCTGAGGTCTAACCGTTTTAGTCTAGCCATATTTATTTAATCAAGTAAATAATGGGAGTTAATAGATTCAAAGTGTTGCTATTTGAATCCGTTTTCATTTTACTAACTAATTGTAATATAGCATATAGGTGTGTTTAGACACAAGCTTGAATGCTTCTGAGCAACTGTTTGCGGTGCTGTAAACAGCCAGTATATTCCTAGGCGTTCATCATCAAACTCAATCTATAATCGTTTGGGGTCTTGGATTCTATCGAAATCAAATTACTAGCACAAAACTTCAGGCATTTTAAAATATTGTTCCTGTAAAATGATTGAAAATGCACATAATTTTGACACCTCTGCACTATACTATTGTTATAAAACTATAATTTTGAATAAACAGCAAAATTCTCTGTTACTTATTATTTATTTTAATAAAATAGGTTGCATTCACAACTAGAATTTATCATCCGAACATTAACAGTAATGGCAGCATTTGCCTTGATATCCTACGGTCTCAATGGTCACCTGCTTTGACTATATCTAAAGGTAAAAAAAAAAAAAGATTTATTAATAAAAGTTTTAATTTTACCTTAATGAATACTATTTTTTATTTTCAGTTTTGTTGTCTATTTGCTCGTTGCTATGCGATCCAAACCCTGATGATCCACTTGTGCCCGAAATAGCTAGGATATATAAAACGGACCGAGAAAAGTACAATGAATTGGCTAGAGAATGGACCCGTAAATATGCAATGTGATGGTCGTTTTCTACATACATTGCCTGTCCGCCCGTCATCAGTTAAACATTCTTTTTTTTTCTCCCTGTACAACCTCAAAAGATCAACACTTTCAATTTCCAACTATTCTGGTAAAATAATAAGATCACACTATGGAAAAATACTTATATAGTATGATTTTGAGATTTTATTTTATTCATAAATGCCTATATAATTTTTTTTTTTTTACTATCACTTTGTCATAAAGTTCAACATTGAATGTGTAAGTGTCTCATAATATAGAGAACAAATTTAAAATAACAAGATGGTGTTTCTTTAGTAGTTAAATTTAAAAAATACTTTTTCGGGATAAAAGTGTAATACTTTATTGTGCTGGTGGCGATTTATAACTGCCTTTACCTACCCAAAAATAATTATAATATATATATATATAGTTTTTAATTATTATTTTTTTTATTTTATTTTTAAACTAATTATTTAAATAATTTGATAGTTGATTATCTACTTACGTCTTACTTATGCGCTCGACATTTTGTATGCAATTAAAATATTATGAATATTTTATATTGCCCTCGTTTTCTTTTTCACGACTAATACTATTTATCGTTAGATATTTTTTATTACTTTTTAAAAGAATACTAATATGGGTTATTTGATATATGTGTTTTACAAAATCTTATACTCTACTGTAGTGTGACTGGTTGCCTAAAATTGACAGGGCTACTCAACATAGCCGATTTGACATAAATATAACTTTGTAGGATTTCAAATTTCTGTTCATTCGGCGAGTTTGGGTCGCCCTGAAATTCAAATTTTAGGCCACAGGTCGTGTTACAGTTGAGTAATAGTTTTTGTGAAACGCCCTATATATTCTGTCTCATATAAGAACAGCAGTGATTTGTGCACCTTAACCTAGGCCTCTAGCACTACTGAAACTGTCAAACGCTCTCTGCGCGTCGTTAGTTAATGTATACTGACGACGATGTTGTCTGATGATTGCCGACAGCCGTCCGCCGTGTTGTGGGTGGAAGGAGAACTAGGCGAAGTGCGACGTGGAGATGCAGATACTGATTGAATTTTGTCATGCAATCCTGCCTTTCTTATATGGGACAGAGTATACTATATAGTATGTGTTTTTGGTTCTAGTTAAATCTCTTATTCAATTAATTTTCTAGGTATTATTCCTTAGTGTTTAACTTACATTTCTCTTTATAAACTTGTAACCAACAATGTGACAAATGCAGTTAATTAGCTAGTTGTAAAACGCAATCTAACGTATCTTAAATTCAAAACAATTAATCTGTCATAAATTTAACAAAAACAGTATTGCTATTCAAGATTAGTATGATTAGTTGGCTCAGACATTAAATCCATTCCATTTTAAATATTGTACTACCATAGACTAATAATTATAACTTATACTATTCATTCAATAGCTAATGCCTGTATATTGGTTAAAGCTAGGTTTTTTTTTATTTTACAGAAAACTTGCAATATATAGTTCATATTTACAGGTCTCGTAATAATAAATATTTCAGTTTCTCACTTTCACTGTAAAGTTAATATTTACGGGTCTCATACTAATAAATATTGGAGTTTCTCGCTTTATGTGTACATCAAAATATATGTATCTTAATTTTCAGTTGGTTTGAGTAGTTCAAACTAAGTATGTTAGTGACAACACCAATACATGTTTTCAAACATTTTGTATGTGAAAATTACTAAACTTTTAGTCTTGTAGCCTAGTAAGGTTTTAGTATTTACCTTAAAATATAGGTTGTATTGGGCCTTTGAATATAAAAAAAAAATTTCTCAATTAAGAGAATTCTTGTGATTGATCGAGACTTCTATAATAAAATAGTACTACCAATCGCTACACACATTAGTAATTGTATTACACATGAGTGTATTGATTAATTTTAGAATTTAACTTATAGGTCTTACCTTTAAAAAAAAAGTAGGATGCTGCTAAAGTAACATTTTTTACTAAAACTAATTGTGTCTAGTGTGTGAGGGATTAAAATACTTTAAAAAAACAAGTCGATGAGATTATCTTTTGAAATGAGCCCCCGATTAGTTATAGTGAACTTTTAAATATCTTAAGGTGTTCTGGTATCTTAGTTGTTGAGAACTGACAAATAACCTAATGTGTTTTATTATTATTTTTCTATGTAATAAAACTATTAGCAATGTTGAGTATTTATTATGGTATCGATTAGTGATTAGTCATTTCTAGATAGTAATGAGGTATACAGTATAATATTGACTGTGTGTATTACTTTATGAACAAAGTTGTTTATTTATTTTTGATTCTTATATAAATTGGAACAAGAACAAAAAAAACCCAACGTGAGCATGTTTGGTTTTGTTTTTTATTCAATAAATGTGAATGTTAGTTAATTTTGGTCTCGTTCTAAATGGTGATTGTATTAAAAAAAAATTGTTCCTATATTTATGCAAAAGTAGGTTTTATTTAGTAAACTAATGAGTAGCTGTATTCTAATATATAAGTATTTTTTTTTTAGCAGTACAAATGGTTTACGTCACTGGTTTTTGGCCAGAGGCTTCTAAAATAGGTTACGAAATATATGTTAAATTAAGAAGTTAAGTATATTAAAATACTTTATTGATTGTCGATTGACCACCCTCACCAACAGATGTTGTGTAATGTAATCTCTCTGGAAATGTAATTTTCACTTAATAGGCTTCTTGGGAAAATTGGATTCGTATTTTTCACAAACACAATGAATTAAAAAATATAGATATTCATACTTGGAATAATAATAATAATTGTTTTCATTCGTGATGACCGACGAGCAACCGACATTACATTTTATGAATTAAGTGGTTAACTGATTTTAGTCATTATAATAATAACGAGCCAAAAATGCATAATGGTTTGTTTTTACTCGGCCTCGAGTGTGTATGTTTACTAAATATATTATAATATACAAGATAAATCAAAAACAACTTTTTTATGCATTACCACAGGGGAGGACAGGAGGAAAAGAAAAATCAAAATGTATTTTATAAAAAATATTTACAACAGGAGATATTCTTACCGTACCACCCATTACCCTGTAAAAAATACGAATGTATATCTATATGTGTTTTATAAAATGCAATACTAAATATTATGCTGGTAAATGTCAAACCAAGCGGAAAAGAAATCATGTGGGATGGCGATGAGGAAAAACGATTCTAATTTTGGAACGCTACTCTCACGCCTTCAGTGAAACCTATATTTTGTCTCGTACAGGAACTTCATTTTATTTGAGTAAAAAAAATTAAGTGTGTCCACGTTCTTTAGAGTACATACTCTTTACCTGCATTTCTAATTACAACTATATTCAATATACTACAAGTAAAAATAAAATATCTAAAAATTAGAATAGGTTTATTGATTAGGACATTTATTACATAATTATTTTATAAGAGTTTTTTAAAATTTTAATAGGTGAAATTTGAAACTCGTGTTCGTTGTTCAACACGATATCGGCGAGTTAAAAAATGTGACTAATAAGTTACTAGACTAGTAAGTGATAACTGGTAAGAACAAATTATTGTCAAGTACATAATGATAGTTGAAAAGACTTATCTAATCTCTCTACCAGCTGAAATCCTAGATATTATTTATTAATTTCTATATAATAAAATTGTTTTATATTATATAATATGGCAAGCTGTTATAGATTCCCAGCCACCCTTGCAGTATAATTCTTCAAATGGTAAAACTTGGTTATCATTTATAACCAAGCAAAAAAAAAAAAAAGGAACACGATGGCATTAACCGTAATAACCACGGCTATACATAAATGGTTGCACAACGGCCTATACCCATCGAGATAAAGAATACATATTATCTCGTATTCTTTATCTCGATGCTTATACCTTGTCAGCATTGATCAGCATTCGGCGGCTAGAACTTGTGCAGGAGTTCTTATCTACAAATATGAAAAAGTGAAATACTGCTAGCGTTTCTCGTGGGCAATCGTGGAACTTGTTATTTTTCACTGAAAGAACCATTGAGTATATTATACAATGTGTATACTCAATGATATAAAGGATCATCAGTGAGAAATAACAAGTTCCACGAGGAGCGCTATCAGTATCTCATTTTTTCATATTTATAGATAAAAACTCTTGACCGGTTTTTCATAGCTCATTCTGCAACCATTTCTATTTAGCAGTGGTAATAACCATAGTGGTAACTTGAAAACTTGTTATCTTTTGGGAACCTATGGCCGAATGCCTCACAAATGGTCACTCTGCGTATCATCAGTGTCACCAATGCTACCTCTTATCACCATCATCAGTCGCTGTAATATACTCGCACGTAGTACCACGCTCATTCTCTTTCCTAAAAACAAGTACGTGTAGGTACAAGGTATTCGATTTTAGATTTAAAATAAAATTACAAATTAGCAAAATATACTTTTTTTATTAGCCAGTTCTTTTTCCAAAACCATACGTTCACCATGGCTTCAGTTGATTTTAAAACTCCACAAGGTGTTCAATATCTTGAGAACTTCTTAAGTGCTAAAAGTTACATTGTCGGGTAAGCGCTTAACCTTAAAATTAGTGATTTTTTAAAATAATATTTAACCAACGTAAATGTATTTCAGCTACGAACCTTCTAAAGCCGACTTAGATACTTTTGCCGCTGTCCCAGCACCACAAGTTAAGACTCCCAATATACTAAGATGGTATAACCACATTAAATCTTTCTCCGACAAGGAAAAAGCTCAATTTCCTAACAAAAAGGCCGAATTTTCTACAGTTGGTGGAGGAAGTACTGCTAAACCAGCTGACGACGATGATGATGTCGATCTATTCGCTTCAGATGATGAGGAGGTAATTTAGTAATTTTTTATTATGAAAATGTTTATTTAAAAGTAAATAATACCTACTTTTGTTTTTTAAATTTTAAATGGAAGTACAAATGAGACCATATTAACCATATTTGCTTATTGTGATATTGTGTTTTATATGTTACATTGTAAACTTCAAAAGATAGAAGTTTGTTCTAAACATAATATGAATTAGTAAAAGATAACTAAAGTAGTATATATCTATGGTATTACTTATTTGATAAGTTAATTAAAAAAAATATTTACAACTATGTATACCTTATTCCGCCGAGAGAACATGCCGTGACCCTATGAAAATTGGCAGTTTTGTGCATCCCCCGCGAGGCACCCAGTGTGACTAGCGTTCCCCCGGAGACCACCCTGTCTGCCAGCCTGTCATCGACAGCTGCTTAGTCTTCAGTCTACATGCGCAAAACTGGCATGTTCTCTCAGTGGACAGGGTATAGTAATTTAATGTTTTTTGTAAATTATAAATTAATCAAGGGAAAAAACAATTTTTGACCAATAATGTTTAAGACAAAATTTATAATTTAAAATTGGAGCATATTTTCCTAAATTTTTCCTGCATAATAACATTATACATTTTTTATTAGTTTTATTGAAGAAGAAGTGGCCGATTGGATAAGGCGGCAGTGTGTTACCGCTCACTGTCGCTGGTTCGACACTCGGCCACGCTCTGTTTCCTGGGCAAGCAAATGTCTGGTGGAAAGGAGCCACCATCCCCCTCTTTGACGACCCATCCCAGATTGCGAAACCGTCAAGTAACCATTTCTTAATGACAGCGTTGGGCCTTCATGACCTGTTAAGATTGCATGATCATGATAAACTTTTTATTAGAGTATAAAAATCCAAGCTCCAGTTATGTATACAGGGTGTCCTACTATGATTCAACAAATAAAATAACTTTTGTTCTAGTGAATATTTTTAAGGTTTTTTTTTTTTAATTAATTTATACTCATTTGCGCTAAAAGCACCACATTTTTTTATTGCAACTTTTTTTTTTTTTAATTATTATTTTTTTTTAAATTCAAAATAGCCATTTTATCAAGAATAATTTGCTGAACATTTTGACTGGTCTATATCCAGACTTAGATAATTACGTTTTAAGTTACTAAAAGTTAAAGGGTATAGGATGGCAGGTAGAGTGCAGTAGAGTAATGCGCGCAGATAAAAGCTCTACATGCTTAAATTAATTTTTAAAAAATAATCTTAAAAATATTCACTAGAACAAAAGTTATTTCTTTGTCAAATCATTGTGGAACATTGTATAAATTGTATAAAATGATTTATAATTTAATTTATAGTTCTAAACAATTTTTATTTATCTGTTTATAACATGCTACCAATTGTGTGATTTATCGGTTTTAAACATTTAAGCATATTAATTTATTGTTTATTTATTTAAATTTAATAAGGCCCATCCTTATTAATTGTATTTATCATTAAAGACAATATTATAATTTTATAATAGGATGAAGAAGCAGAGCGTATTAAACAAGAAAGGTTAAAAGCGTACACTGAAAAAAAAGCCACTAAAAAAGTTGTAATTGCAAAGAGCAGTATTGTATTGGATGTGAAACCCTGGGATGATGAGACTGATATGAAAAAATTAGAAGAGTCTGTAAGAACAATTCAAATGGATGGTCTCGTGTGGGGAGCTTGTAAGCATTTTTTTTATAAGGATACACAATTGAAAATTGTTCTTGTTAATATAAATATCTACGTTTTTTTAGCTAAACTTGTAGAAATTGCTTTCGGTATCAAGAAACTTCAAATTATGTGTATTGTTGAAGATGACAAAGTATCCGTGGATGCTTTAGTTGAAACCATTCAAGAATTCGAAGATTTCGTTCAATCTGTCGATATCGCAGCATTTAACAAAATTTAAGTTTGCTGTGTTCTTTATTTACCAATTAATTTTGATTTCTGCTTAATGAAAATATATACTCATTTTTACCAAACCAGAAGTATAATTTATTTACCTTGAAAAGTGTTATAGTCATAAGTACATTATTTAGAGTGTGCTAATTAAACAGGCATAGGTACGTCACTAGAACAGTGTGAAGTGCACTAACGTCGGCAAGGTCATTTTAGACTTGTTCTGAATAAAACTTCAAAACTTAATGCACATTGTGAAATACCAGACGAAGAAGGCTGTATGGTCAGACATTTTGCTAGTACAAATTGCTATCAAACAGGTCAATTTATTGATAAAAATAACGATGCTCTCCATACCAACTTGGAAGATCTCGTTCAAGAGAGTAACAACCCATTTCTGCAAAGCTGGTTTGTCTCTAGTACTTTGGGAACGGCTAAGGGTGAACTCATCTTAATAAGTGTAAAATCTATATTAAAAAAACAATTGACCGAACTAATAGAGGAGGAGTGCCCGGGCCCCACTGTAATGATCTAGATTAATTTTTATTTGTGGCTAAAAAAAAACTTTTTTTTTTGCACCAGCCTAGTCTTCACTTATTAATGTATGTGTGCTAATATTTATACGACAAAAAAAAAAAATTAAGATTACTAAAATCATAAAAGGCGATTGACTGTTATGTTAATCACAATATATATAAATATATATATTGTAATAATACCACCATATATATTATATGTATTAGGGTGGTCCTTAAAAAGTCGATTTTCGAACTTTAACCTCGACGCCTTCTAAAAAGTTCATAAATACAATAAAAATAAGAAAAAAAAATTGAAAAATATTAATTTTAACTCGTGCCCCACAAGGGATGAAGTTTAAATGGGATGTAAAATAGGATTTCGAAACTTGTACACATAACTTTTTTCCTACTTTTTAGTTTGAGCTGAAATTTGTATGGTTTTATAGCTTGGAGTCTGTTGAACACGTACAGTGTACACCATACCCAAAAGTTTCTATCTGTCAAAATTGATGCCAGAAAATGAAAATTTAACAAAAGCTGTGCATTGATTTTTGCACAAGTGTCGAAATCCTATGTTAAATCCCATTTAAACTTCAATCCTTGTGGGGCATGCATTAAAATTAAAATGTTTTATTTATTTTTTTTAATCTTATTTATATTGTATTTAGAAACTTTTTAGGGGGCGTCGAGGTTAAAATTCGAAAATCGACTTTTTAAGGACCACCCTAATATATATGGGTAATAATGGCAACAAATCAACCCTAATCGTATCTACTCTAATAATAAAAATATACATGTATTCAACTAACATATTTAATTCTAGTTAAAATTTCTGTATTGTACAAAAGTGTAAAAGAAAACAAATTGTTTTCTGGCCATATCTGGTTTTATTATTTGTGTTTTTGAACGTTTGAATTTGCTTGCATTGTAGTACCAAATTTTTGAAAATATTATTTATAGCGAATACAAATATATGCCTGACATAGCTCATGGTAATTTTATTACGTTTATTATTTGATAACTTTGTTGTTAAAAATTCTCTTTAAATCATAGTATTATAGTATTACACTATTACCCAAGGTGTCCCTCAACTTGGTTAACCCTGAATGGTTATACTGCACTCGCAATTGCTGCAAGTTTTTAATGGCGAAGGTCAATCTCAAATTGTATTCAAATTCAGAGATATGGACTTGTATAATCTCATTATTTTGCTATTAACACTATAAAGTATGATTTTTTTTTTTTATTGTACTATGATTGTTTTAATCCTATAGTCATGTTGTAGTTTTGATCCAAACAGCTACAAATGCTTTATTGGTAGTTAGAATTCTGAAAATTTTAATATTTTATATTTTTTCATGTGAAACACAATCATATTATTTATATATTTTAAATCAGAATTTGTCCCTATAATATTATTTATTAATGTAATGTGCATAGTTACATTTTTTTTGTAAAATAAAGAAAAACGTAAGTAGGTATACAACTTTGAGGTCTCAAATCGAGTTATGATTTTCAGTAATTTTTGATACCACATTGGCCAAATTTAAATTTAAAAACTTTTTTGTTAAAAATAAGCAACTTTAAACTGGTTTTTGGCATTTTCGAAGATAAACCCATACCCAATTTTTCACATTTTCAAGTCGCGGTGGAAAAATTGTTTTGAGTTTTGACTGTCGATAGACAAGATTTTATAATTATTATTATATTATTAGTATTCTCGCATCCGGATATTGTAATTTGCACTTAATATTTTCACTGTAGGGCTGATTCAAATACCTCATGGTATAATATTATATTTGTTGTACCCAACGGTCTTGTGAAAAAAAATGAAATTATAATTTTTATATATTTTTTTTTAAGTCAAATTTGTATTAAAAATTTTCGATGAGAATTTATGGATAGTTGGTTTAAACCAAACAAAGTTTAAACAAGCACAGTATGAAAATATTATACGTAAGTAAGGTAGTAGTAGTAATTGAGTAAGTAAGAGAAGTCCAGTATTCGCAGATAAAAAAAAATATATGAATAAAAAGATTAGTGCCTATTATAATAATATAATGACAATTATGTGCTTAAAATTAGTTTTTAGTATTAGGGTGGATGCGATTAAGGTCTATAAAAATATATGTCCATAGTTTTTTAGTAGTTTTATAATATCTGGCTATCGATTTACTGGCAACATTTATCAATATTTAACATTTCGGTCAATGTAATGAACCTCATGCATGACGAAATTACCTACTCCTTATTATTTCGACGATTATATGTTATTATACGTTTAAAGTAGGTGCGCTACTTTAGTATAGCAATTTAGTGTCGTTTTCGAACTGGGGGGCCAAGGCTAAAGCATGTTCCATGCTAAAAAAAAGTTTGACTACCGATTTTTGAGTAATTGTATATGTTATAGCCTCATTAAAGATATATTTTCGGTCTAATTTACAGATCCCAAGCTCTGAAACTTCATCTAAACAAGTGATTAAATCACTTTCAAATTAAATACCCCTTGAACCTACTATACTATTGCGTTACATTGGCGTTGAAACATACATCCTTTTTGGCTAAAAAAATAATTTTTGGAAAAATGGCACTTAAAGCCTTTTTTGATTCCACTCTTCAGTTGTACTTGGTTTATACTGTACTAGTTTAGAATACAACACTGCTTAAACTTTGCTTGGTTTGAACTGTATAAGGTTTGTACTGTACTGATTATAACGGAACTTGATTTATACTCTATAGGTTTAACTATAATAGTTATATTAAAATATAAAAGTACTGATTATTTAACTTATAATAGGTACCTAAACCTATTATCTCTATAATCCAACAATTTGTTCTTGATACATGGATTATGTGTTGAATCTACTTATTCGGCTATTATTTCATACAAATGTAATATCTCTTATACTTTTTATTACGAAAAAGACTACGAATCATACTTGCTATTTTGTCAGGAATCGTTATATTTTATAACCAGTAGGCCCACACAATATTTTATATTGGTTATCAAAATTAATGTAAAAGTAGTTAATTACATAATAAAAAAAAAAAATTATCAATTAAAAAACAATTTTTTAATGTAATTTTTTAATTACGTACGTAATTTATAATGACATACTTTTAATATATACCTTAAAATAAACGGTTTGGTAAATAAGTTATAACATTATTAAAAGTGGATTTAGTGCATGAGGGTGTTAAACTCCATATTAATATTAATTTAGGGTCAAGTTGTAAATGTAGCCTTTTTTAAGTAATGAATATCCAAACGTTTAAATTTCGAAAACACATTAGCAGAAAAATAGTTTTAAACTTTAATAAACATTAACAATAAACATTTTGAAAAAAATATGCATAATATGTAGGTAACATAATGTTCGATAAGCTTGACATTTGTCCCACGCAACAACTCTGTTTAATTATTATAGAAAGTTTATAGTTATTAATTTATTTTGCATTGCTTATTAATAATATGTTTAATTCGCTATACGTTTAAAATACAAAATTTATGGAATAAATTTAAAAATATATTATTATTTTTTAACATGCCAATATCCTTTTAGGCCCTAGTCTAGTAAGTTTAACTTAAAAAGTAACCTGACTAATAAATTTGTTCTGAATACGCATTTTTATGAGTTAGGCGCCACCGATTTTACCTAGTGTAAATTCATCATTTTATTTCATAATTGGTAATATAATGAAAATCAAGCATTCATTTTTATCATTAATTGAATTGTGATATACCTACTTAAGATGGGGTGAGGTAAGTGAAATAATTTATAACAGTCATTTGATGTGGAACCTAAAAGTAGTTTTGTACGCGAAAAAATAAAAGTAATAAATATATAAATAAAGGTGTTAACAGTCACGGGCTAATGTAATATGACATTACTTCGTCCTGAAAGTTTGTATTCAGGACGAAACGGGCGCCGTCGTTTTGGCTGTAGAAGAAGAAGACGTCTGTTCCGCAGGCTTTTCCTTTTTTTCTCCGTTGGCTTTGAGAGTTTTTTTCTTTTGTTTCTCTTCCGAAGAGTTCTGTTTGTCTTTTTCATTGGTTTGTTTGCTGTTTTCGTTGTTTTGGTCTTGGGTCTTCTTGCCAGAGGTGTTCCACGCTTGCGTTAACGTCGATAAATATTCCTGTGGGATTTATTGACATAAACATTAAAATTCCTAGACCATAAAAACGTTTCACCGTTTACACAGAATCTTACCAATATAAGTTTTTTTATTTCCTCTCCTCGGTTCGTGTATTTAACCAATTGTTTCTTGGCAATGCCCTCTACCGTGTCCCTTATTTCTTGCAGATGGGTGAACTGCAACAATTATTTAACCGTCAAAAATAAAAATTAATTAACTTTGTCCGTCCCCAGAGACAATCGCTAATGTAGTTTCGTGACCCCCTCACACACCTCCGTACAGTTTATTTATGTATGCCTAGAATTTTATCAAAATAAAATTTTTTTTTTACAATCAAATGAAAAGAAACAATAGTTCTATTTAACTGTAAAACAAAATATAAATGAAATTATTACTTTTTGATAAATTATACATTTTATTATTATAATGGCCAAAAATAATTAGTAATTTTTTATTTTTAAAAAATGGAACAAATGACTCATTATATCCCCACATTATCCCCTCTTGGGCTCGCCACTGGACGAATGTATTCAAGGTGATTATTTTAAAATGATCCACTCAATATCCTATGGGGTTTAATCAGTTATTGAATTTGTTTGTTTTTCGTAGTTTTTTTCATTCAATGTCATCTAATTTTTCACAAACTTTTATTTTTTTTAACCACCTCTCAAATTATTTATTTTTATATCAACTTTTGAAACTGGGGGAACGGAGAGCGTCAATTTTTTTCAAATAAAACGCGAAGTCACTTTCTGAAGTGTCTACCGAACCAATTTCAACAATTTTTTTTTTGTTACAGTTTTGTTGTATAGCTTAATATTTCTACGAGGGCTAAACGGCCGATTTATTATTTTTTTTCAAAAACATTTTATAAGCATTTATATTTTTACTTTTTTATAGTTAAACTAATAACTCAAACTGATTTTTTATTTGTTAAATCAAAAATCGGCCTTTTAGCCAGAAAATTACTTCTACGAAAGTAAATTTTAATAAAACTTTCGTCATAACCCGGAGAAATAATTAAAAATGTTTTATATTTAGAAATACTCAATATATTTTTACCATAAAATTAGTCGGCATATTAATAATGGCTACTAGATAAAGTGTGGTCAAATATTGCCTATCCTTTGCCCCTTAATAAATAGCGCTTTTCGGTCTACTTAAAAGGTAGCGTATATATTTTATTAACATTTCAAATTAAGAGTAATTAACTGAAAATGATTTACTGAAAATGTTGACTGGTCGATAACCCGTTTTGGATAATTATTTTTAAAGTTATTAAAGTTTAAAAGTTAGGATGGGAGAGGAAGTGCGGTTGAGTGATTCGCGCAGATAAAAATAGTACCTACTTCTCATGATCCTACCTCCTGTCCTAAACTTTAAACTTCAATAACTTGAATAATTTTCTAAAACTGGTTATCCACCAGTCAACGTTTTTAGTCAATTATTCATAATTTAAAAAGTCAATAAAATATATACATTACCATTAAAATTTCAAAAGTTGATATAAATTATAAATATGTCTAAATTGGGGGTTAAAAACATAAAAGTTTGTAAAAAATTTAGATTACACAGTACAAAAACACTACGGATAAAATATTTAAACAACGGAATAAACCCTACATGATATTGAGTGGATCACTTTAAAATTATCATCCTGTAAAAAATATATTTTCTTAAGTGATACCTCGAAAATTTTGTCCACTAAGACGGCCGTCTCTTGGGTGACTGTGTGAAATGCTCGTTTGGCGTAAGTAGGGCCCATGGCAATCTTATTGGATACAAAATTGGTGGCGTGTACGAATCTGCGTGCGCTTTCCCGGGTCAACAGTTCCAACAGTTGCTCAATGTTTTCTGGTGGTTTTTGGTTTTCCGGTTCGTCTTCGCTCAAATGTTCCCAAATGACTTTAATTTTTTGAGCGAATTCTTTTGGATCTTTTGCTAACTGTAACACGACCATAAATTCCCCAGTTATTTCCAATTTTAATTAGCGGTTTAAAATGATTCGTTACACATATCATTCATGAGTCAATAATTATAAATAACATTATAATAATTATAATTATAAATTATAGTATATAAATAAATAACAGGTAATTTTGGTATTTGATTTTTACAGACATAATTTCGGTGCAAATTTATAACTTAAGTAAAGTACTCACTTTAAAGTAAAATGTAAACCTACTACAGGTACTCCAGTGTTAAGTATTTACCTAATACATGCATTTTTTACTTATTCGGTAATTATTATATGTACGTCCATCACTAATTCAAATTAATTTAAAAGCGAACGTTCTACGTTAAATGTAACTTAGTGATCTATGCATCCAACATAACAACTATCGGTTCTGCAATCTGCATGCCCGTTTTGGATGACCGAACAATATACTGGTAAGTACTATATTTATAGCGTGTTATGCAGCAGCTGTCGTAGACGTTACATAATAAAATTATATACGACATCGTTTTTTTCCTAATTTTAATTTGTCCGTTTGTATCATTTTCTATAGCAACGTGTGTTCCCACTTCACGCATTGCATAGAAATATGTAATATATTGTTGATAATGCCGGAAATAAAGTAATTAAAAATCATATACGTATTTAAACTTTCGTCACGAATTAATTTGAGTAAATTGTAAGTAAATAGTTATTTATAAAATAATGGTGACAGTAGATCATATGTTTTGCCGGTGAGCCGAGTTGGTAAACTTGTTTTTACCAATGGGCATCAATAAATAATAATACCTTTACAAATAATTGTACATGCATTAAGTTAAACTTACAAGGTCTGCAAAGTATACGAGGCATTGGACGGTATCGTATCCTTGTTTCTTGAGTAACTTGGCCTCGGCTATGGTCCGGCGGGTTAAGCGTCTCTGTAGTTTTCTGGAGAATCGGTTGACATGACGGATGGTTTTCACTGCTTGGCTTGACGGTTCTGTACCTGTACAAAAAAATGACCAGGACAATAAAAATCGTATAATTCACGCATATTTAGAATAATATTGGCTTACTTGGATTTTCGGTGGCATCTTCGTTTGAATCCTGATCCGGCAGGTATTTATCCACGTACTTGTCAGCCACGCTCAAAGCATCGTCTAACATGGACAATTGTTTTACAGAATCGGCCCTTTTCAAAACAGGTGCTACCTTGTCTTTAACGTAAGTCTTAGTAGAGTAATATATCTATAACCATTTAAATATAAATTATATAATTTAATGTTCAAACAATTTTATTAAGTAATTAAACATATAATAACTATAATAGAAGTTAAAATAGCAGCTCCTATCCAGTGTCCTTATAAAAATGGTTATTTATTACATATAACTATGTTGTTAGCTTCAAAATATCGTTTACTGTTTTAAGGTTACTTTAAGGTCGTTAGTTTTTGCACATAAGATGGAATTACTATTCCTTTATCAAATTATATTTCTTGTTTTGCTCTAAACATTTTGTATACTATAACTTTTAGCCCGTATGTAATAATAATAATAGTAACATTATAAAGTATCAATTATTTTATTTAGACTTTTTCTTGTAACAATAGATATTTAGAGATGTAATAACTATTGAAATTTATACTAAATACACTAAGTGATTAAAATGAGGGTGCGTATTTATTTGTATTTTAATTAAGCGTCCCCATAATTTAGGTGCAGTAGTACAACCATAGACCTATAAAGATTCTTTATAGGTCTATGAGTACAACAGTCTGAAAAATTGAGAGTATAAATAATATATATTATTTGAAAATTCAGGAGGAGACTCCGGACTAGTAACGAATTCATTAACCTACATATATTCTAATTTTTATCAAATATATTATATATCAAATATATCATAAACAATACTATCCTATTAATTATAATGATAGTATTATTTATGCGTTCACTCATTACTTATAATAATGTACTTTGTGCATTATTATTTATACTTGATGTACTAATGATCCGGATTTAGTATTTTCTTATCTGCACCTTAAATAGAAGAATGTAACATACATAGTATGTATAATATATATATTTCTCTTTTAATATATGCATATATAAATGCTTGATTAAAATAGACATGGTGTTTTGTTTTTATGGTATTGTACAATGGTAAAGGTCAATTTAACTCGTTTACTTTTTTTTACGCTTCACCCATTAAGAACGTATAAATTTAATAATTAGAAATAATGTATATTATATTAGAACAAAAGTTGTTTTGAAAGTAACTTGATAGAACGAGTCTATCCCTATCAAGTCACTATATTTATACCTACCACTATGGCACGAAGTAGAATGAATCATAGCGGACTATAGTTTAGATTATAATTTATCATACATACAGGTATAATTTATACATTGAACTAAATTAAATATATTGTAAATTAAATTCTTAACAACTATATAGCAGCTATCTAATATGTAGTAATACATATGTAGCAACTATTTTAAAAAATCGTTCTGTGTTTATTTAAAATAATTATTCATTCAAAAATGATATTTTAGACGATTTAGGCTATTATTAATTGCAATATTACCCAACTTATACTTCTTTTTTACAACTCAATAACTAAAATTAAACATTAAAAACAAAAATATAAAATCGATATTATAATTTAATTTTTTATTTTATCCTAGGAAGGTTAAACTATGACTAACTTATAGTGTACTTTAGGGTATAAAAATGTATCATAAGTCATAACTCATAATATACAAATGTATACTTTATTGATTGGTATTATAAATTAATTTAATCAAGTGTATGATTAATGTAATTAAAGAGGATGTCATGAACTATAATACTGAAATAATTTGATTGCATAAACGTTATTATGTTATATTGTTCTTTTAACATTTTAAAAACCTGCGATTTTCTTCAAAATCTCGACGTAACAAATAACCTTTTATTACAATTAAAATGAGAATGTATTAAAATTATGTTAAAACTAAAAACTGTATGTATTTTGTGGTTATTAGGTAGGTAATATTCATTAAACTATCCTATTTTTTCTTTTTTAATTCTTTTGAAATATTATGTATTTAATATAATATATATTGTGTGTCTTCATTATCTATCAAAACGATACCTCTATTTAGTGATCTAATCATTTATAATTGTTTTTTTTAACGTTTAATCACATTTTCTAAAAAATAATAATTTTGGCTTCGATGTGCAGCTGAGGATTTTTTTGATTTTATATGTCTGGACCACGATATTTCCTCAACTACAGAACCTATTTTTTCATGTAGCAAACCTATAGAGCAGAAATCGCACCTGAAATAAATTTTCCTGGGCTAAAAAAGTACCCTTTCCCTTTAAAATAGAGAAATAAACCTAAACATGTTTTTATTTTGCATCTTAATATTACGACAGTTATTACTTTTTTTAAAATAGTTTAATAATACTTCCAAACTTGTGTGAGGTATTCTTTAAATAAAGTTTTATCAATATATATTGACAAACCAAAAATATATAAAAAAATCTTTTTCCCCAAAAGGATTGAAACTTTTTAAAAACTGGAAGAAAAAATAAGGGACCGGAAAAATGTCCAAAAAAAATTCACGTTTTACTATCCAACTAAATAAAATGTTTTTCTAAAATACAATTTTACATATTTAAAAAAAAAGTTTTAAAACTAATTTTTTTACAGTTATTGTTTTCTGAATTTTGTCAGAAGAAATAAATTTGATATGCAAATTATTTTTAGCTGTAGAGTGAAATTTGAATTTTATCAGGAACTTGTCGGGAAGCCTGAAACGATTTAAAAAATCGTTAACTTTCAAAAAATTCCATCCTGGATAATTCTAAAATTAGTTTCTACAGTATCTGCCCCAAATCCTAAAGGTTTAAATAACAATTGTATAATACCTCTTCTGGAGTGTACGTGATGAATGGAACATTTTGCTCGACTACGTCTAAGGATTTGCACATGATTTCGTCGATTTTATTGATGGGGTCTTCCAATTTGGCCACTAAAGGTACGGACAAGTCCACGACGGTCCATACCGTATTCTCAGCATTTCCGAATCCATATTCAAACACTCTGTTCAAATTCTGTGATGGAAATTAGTGCGCTGTGATTAGTGTGTACATGTGTAACACGTTAAAAAACGTAAAAATTACAATTTCTCTTCTGTTTACCTTGACTCTTACGTATATGTACGTCGCTTTGTCGACCCCGGAGGAAACCACTGGCAATTTCAAAATTCTTTTGATGGCCACGAACTGTGGAAAATCCTGTTTACTTGTCTCCGTCATGGTCGACGAAGTGTCCGTCTATGTGTATATGGAGAAAAACGACCAGCTTATTCAAATGTAAAATATGTTTTAATACTACCAACAACGCGAAAAACTATATGGAAAAAAAATATTGGCCAAAGAAATTACATTTACATTTACCGTGAGCGTTTGTTGTAGTAATACTAAAACTATGTCGGGGACGGATATATATTACCGTTAAGAGATCGCGACCCTGAGGGGTTATCGGCGCGTATGTGTAGATTTGAATTTTTACCTGTTACTCCCGCTTTATGTAAATCCAACTCGAGGAAGTTTAAAATAATGTTTCACTTGATTATTATAACATTGCATGTACATTGGACTTTTTACTGGTCACGGGAAATACATATATACTAAGTATCGTGATTCATATATTACTAAAACAAATGAACGAGTTAGTCAAGACTTTATACTTAACCGTAAAAAATAACTATGATTAGCAAATCCATACGAAACAAATTTTCATCCAACGAATACAGCGATGAGTATCGATCAATGTGTTAACATTTTGATCACTAAACGGCGGCGTATAAATAAGAAGTTAAATTAAAAAAAATAATTAACACTTAGTTTTATGAATGTGTGTCAATAGTGTCTATCTTGTATTTTTATAAATAAATAATCCGATGACTAGACGGTATTTACATGTTTTTGCAGTGTCTTTTAAATTCATTTAAATAGATTCATCATAAATTTTAATATTATGAATCATAATGCATTATGTACATTTTATTGATTACCTTAACAGTAAAATGTTTGGTAAGTGTGCATTTTCCTGAGAGAGAGAGAGAGAGAACTGTAGTAGGCAGTTTTATTGTTGTGTTGTAGTACTAAATTAAATAGTATTAGATAATATATTAATATGTATTTGCAAAGATAGACATTAACAAGCTAAAAAGACTTAACTTACAACTTGACTATGTATACACATTATATAATGTTATAGTTTAAAAAAAACTTTATTGGTTTATTCAATTACTGTTTAGCTAATTAAAAAAATGTAACATTGCCTTTGATAATTTTTATATCGCAATTATAATATTTCTACCGCATCTATATCATATACCTATTTCTTTCTATATTTAAAATAATAATAAATTACTTATCATTAAAAAATTATAACAAATAATATTTATTAATTATTACACTAATTGAGAGATGCAGAGAACCTAAATGGCTTAACCCACAAATTTAAAAATGTATTGTAATACACAATTTTATATATCGTGTACTCACAAACATAAGAGGTAACTCTTAAAAATGTTGTTTACTTTAGTTCTTAAGTTAGCAAAATATTTTATAAGATACAATCATTTTTTGTATTATTTTTAATGGTCAGCCTAATGGTGTATGATGTTTGCGGATAATGTAGTTTTAGGGGGGGGGGGTAAATTATTTGATTGGGTTATTATGAAGATGAATGTAGAGAAAAAGAGAGGAAGACCAAAGAAAATATGGATAGACGGAATGGAGAGTGATATGAAGATAGCTTGGGTGATTAAACGAGATGTAGGAGATCGAACTCTATGGAGGTGTAGGACTAGGGTGGCCGACCCCATGTAGTTCAGAGTGTAAGGCGAAGATGAATAAGAAGAAGATCAACCTAATAAGTATCATTATTGTTATTTTTTTTTTATATTTCTAAATTTATTCTTGCCAAGCTAAGGGTTAAATAAATACACGTAATTTCAAGTGTACCTAATACCATTGAGTATAGAATATAGATAGTACAATTTATACTCATTATTTACTAAGTAAATTATTTATTTCCAAGTTAAAGTTGCTTCACACTTTTGAGTTGTTAATGTGACTCTATTATGATTCGGCATATGTTTTAAGTCTTCTAAAACTAATACAAGTTATGATAATTTTAAACTAAATTGTTTTTCCGTGGTTCGTGCATTCATCTGAATTATATATCTTTGACCTCAAGTCTTAAAATATAGCTACGAACTTACATTAACGTCTATAGAAATACTACGTAGATTACTTAATATTTTTATTTAAAATTTAATGAAGTATATTGAATTGTTTTGAAATTAGATAAATAAATATGTTAATAAGCAAAATAATAAATTAGTAAACTATACATACATTATATAGGATTTTTTAAATTATACATCAACAGTTAACACATATTTAATTTAAAATTTAATGAAGTATTCCCATTAGATGTAAAATATCTTTACGTATATGTAGTAGGTTCATAGTGCAATATATACATATTATCAACATACGTTGTAATAGTGTTTGACCATTACAAAAATAGAAATTGTGGGTTCTTTTACTTATTTAAGTTAAAAGTTTTCAATACTTACTTTAATATATACTAAGACTAAATGAGAACCATACAACACAATTTTTTAAAAAGTCCTAAAAAAATGTTGTATTTTATGGATCGGACATATAAAATTTGAATATTTAAAAAAAGTTTTTCTAACCATATAAAGTCGTATAAATATTGATTTTTGATAGGTTTAGGTATTTAAGTCGATTAATAACTGTTAGTTACTATTAAATTGTATAACATTTTCATATTTCACTTTAAATTACCTCGTTTATTTTTGGAATCATGACATACTTTAAACCATATCAGCGAATTTTAAAAAACAAAATTAGATCTCAATTAAATGATACACAGGTACAATAAAGTAAAAAAACAATAAAAAGAGTCACCCTTTGGGCCTAATCATAATTGAGGCACCATTATTTATAATATGTTCCAATTAGTAACTGATAAAATAACTAAATAACAGTTGGTCGAGTTAGAGGTCGTTTAAAGGCTTGGTGGATCTATTCATAAACATTTTTTTGTTTAGATATTGACGAAATATATGGGTATTTTTTGGCATGCAAAACAACTAACAAGGCTGAGAAAGTTAATGATGAACTGGTTAAATTAACAAGTTAAATGAAATTTTTATTATTAAGTTGCAAGTTCGTTATTATAGCCTCTTTTTATAAAAAAAATCGCATTTTCATTGATCCAATGCGTTAAAATTAGCCTACTTAACCCTATTTTAGGGTAAAAATTAGTTTCCCCTATGTTTTGTGTCTTAAATGTTAAAAATATGATTTATATATATTTTTAATACAAAAATAATTTGAAAAAATAATTATTTTTTTTGTAAGTTAATCTTAAATAAAAAAAAGTTGATCTTATGATTAAGTTACTAAATATATACATGTTGTCAAGTTGAAAAGTTAAGTGAATTAAACATATTAATACGTTAAGGCTAAGACTTAAATTTGGTTGTCAATTATAATTTTTCGAGTTTACAAAAATCATATTTGATCTTTTATGAAATTATTTTTTCGTAATATTAGTAAACGTTTATTTGAGGTTACAACTTGCATATTTATTAAAAAAAAAATTCAGGAAAACTTTTAAAAAGTAGGTAACATTTTTATACCTATAAATAAAATGCATTATTAACTTACAATCAGCGTAATGCTTATCGGTTATATACATTAAACTATTAAGTAAATATGTTTCTTTAGATTACATATTTTTATACCAGTTTTATGTTTATTCTATTAATTGTATTATACGGTATATGTATTTAAGTAATTTGTTTGTTATCTACGAGCTTACTACAGTTTTACACAATTCTCCATTAGTCATTTTGGATGTTTTTTCCTCGGCGAAGGTTAGTCGGGTTCACACATGAATTTGTTTCTGTAAAAGTTAGTAAATATTTAATTTAACCTTTAGGTTCAGATAAGTTAACTATTATCGAAAAGAGGTCTCGTCTATCTTATTTGTTACAAACCACCAAATTTAGATTCGATATTTAATAATTAAAATAACTAACTGGGACCGTCAAAAGAATAAATAATATAAATATGTACCTATATATAAAAACTAAAAATTACTATTTTACATAAACATTTTATTTAAAAACAATAATAACTCCAATAATATTCAACAAAAATAAATTATAAAATTACTTATAATCGAATAGAGCAGCACTAATTGTATTATGCAACGATATAGATTATAGGTACAACAATACACAAACAAAAAATTAACTTCGATTTACGAGTCACATTTATAACATATTATAATATCTGTTAAATACAACCCTAATTATAACACCGATGTATTTTAAAAGTATGACTCGTATGGGAATAATAATATACGTATATCAGCTTGTAGACCACCCTTAATAGTATAGTAACTAAATACTGAGTATATGCTATTATTTTATTTTTCATTTTAATCGAATCCGAGTTCTGCATCGACGGATGCCTCTTCTTCGGATTTCATCACCATGTATCTCGGCAACCAGGTGCCAAGTTGTGCATCATACACGGGTACAGTTTCTTCGCTGAATGCTCCTTCCGGTCCAAAAGGATCTACTTCCGGTAGATCGTGCCTCGATACCCTTTTGGCGGTCGGGTCTTCCTCGTAGTCTTCACTACTCGAGCTCTGCGCCTCAGACTGGTCGTCTTGTTCCTCTACGGACTCCACCGGCTCCTCGACAACCGGATTCTTATGAAGTCTGTAGTTGTTGCGTCTTCTATGTGGCCGGTAATCAGAATAAGCTCCTGTAGGCTCGTAAGCGGACCTGAACAACGGGGCGTATGCATGCGACAGGGACGACGACGCGGGTTGATGTTGAGTACTGTTCTGGTTGGTCGACTTGGCTCCTTCATTCAGCGGGTTATTGTTGAACTTTTTAGTCTCGTGGTACGACTGTTTGTGTTCTTTCGGACCTCCGTCCGTAATGTACATGCACTCTTCGGTTTCTGACCCCTTTTCGTCCTTGCACTTGTAACAGGTCATTTTGTCTTTTAGCGACTTTTTGCATTTGGACCGGTCTTTGTTGCGAAATTCGCCCAACATCCGGCTCACCTCGCTTTCCTCGCCTGAATCGAAATTAATGCTCAGATCCTTGCCGCCGAGCAGCTTGGACTTGGTCTTCTTGAAACCTATCTGCCCGTTGTCTAGGAACCCAAAGTCGCCGTCTTTGGACGAAAACTTGGTCGCCAACGAACTCTTCCTGTCTGAACCCAGCTCTGGAAACAACTTCTTGAAGTAATCGTCGTATGTTCGGTCGCTGTCCAACTGTCTCTTGTACCTGGGACTACCGTACACGTTTTGCGTTGAATATTCGTAGGCGTTGTTGTCAGGATCCGACTCGTATTCGCAAGTCTCGTACTTTCTATTAGTCAGGTTGTCCCTGCACACGTTACATATATTACCCTTCTTTTTTACCTTAGAGCACGTGGCTGACTTGATCGGCATGGCAGGTATTCGGTACTCTTCACTTTCGTTTTCGGCCGCTTCGTGATTCTCCGGATCTTCGTTGTCACTTTCAGCCACCGCTTCTGGATTGTAGACGTACTCCGGCTCCTCTTCCGATTCCTCTGCTTGATTAGCGTTTTCGTACTCGTAGTCTTCTACTTCTTCACTCTGTGGTTTTCTGTCTACGACCCTTCTCTTAAACCGAGCAGCTTTCCCCCTAGCTGGCGTCTCCTTGATTACCTGCGTGTCTCTATAGTATTCTCCGGACTGTGGTTGAGATGAGTACGAACATTTTTCAAATGATCCACCCGACGCTATATCTTTGCACCTCATGCATGTCATTTTCCTGCCAATCACGTCATGATCCTCAATATCACTTGGCGTCATCGATTTTTTTATTTTATGGCAAATTTGTCGTTTTCTAGTCGGCTGCCGTCTAGACTGTAAAGGCTTGGGTTCGTTTTCTTCTTCCTCTTCGTCTAAAGGTTCGGCGGGCCGTCTGGCTTTAGCTGATCTAGGCGGGTTCCTTTCTATTTTAGAATACGTTTTCAACGGTAGTATGTCCTCATTGCGTATTCTCAATGGACGAATGTTGTTCACTTGCTGTCTCAACGGTTGAGTATCTTCTTTGTACACTCTTAACGGTCTTCTTTCCTCCACATCATATGGTGAATAGGGTATGTTGTCGAAACTTTGTGGTTGTCTTTGCTTGAATGTCAAACGCTGCGATTGAGGATTTTGGTAATAACTATTACCCTCGGTCACCGGTATTTGATGAGCTCCGTATCCAGAAATTTTTTTTGGTGCGAGCTTTTTTCGGGGTTGTTCAAATCGCGGCCTTAACGATCCGTAGTTTGGGTGAATAGGTCTCCAACCGTTTGCGTTTTGAGGTTCTAAACTATCGTAGTCTAATTCAATGGACTGTTGTTGCACAAACGATTGTTCATCTTCGTCATCCCGTCGACTACCACCCCCGCCACTGCCTCCACCGCCACCACCACCATTGCCTCCTCCACCACCACCATCTCCGCCATCCCCACCACCGCCATCACCTCCATCACCACCTCCGTCATCGCCATCTCCTCCATCGTCTTGGTGTTCGGGCAGTTCATCATTGAAATTGGGGTTGTAATTTGAGGTTTGAGCGGGAAAATAGTTGAAAGGTCTCAGTGGTTCGAAGGTTAGCAACTTTTTGGGTTGTATAGATTGTTCCTGAGGCAAATCGATTTGTTCAAAGTCAGCAGGATCAAAATTAAAGTCCACATTAGTCATATGCGTATCAATATCTTCTTGTAGTCGAGCAAATTCAGGATTAGGTAACTTTGCTTGTTTGGCAGAAAAAAAAGATCCAAACTGACCATTTGCTGATGCTTTTGAGTCTATCGACGATTTAATGGTTTCGAAAGATTTTTGTAGCTCTAAATCATGCGTGTTCTCACTGGACGTTTTAATTGATTTTATTGGAACAATTAACTCGAACACCACTAAGGTTGTAACAATAACCGCTAGGCAAATCTGTAAAAAATGTTTAGTGAAAAACAATTGATACTAACTGGTTAATTATATTTGTCATTTGTTATCTGGAATCCCATGACAGATGAACCGTTGTATTTAATTTTTTACAACTGCTATTATTAGGTAATCAACGGACCATTAAAAGGGGTCAATGAAATACACGCTTCATCAGCTCTATCGTAATAAAAAGTGTAAGATTTTTTAGACAATTGTGTAATATGCGTTTAAATCCACCTTCTAAAACAATTCATCGGAACATTAAAATTTTACATATTATAAATTAAAACTATAGGCTATGATTATTTACGCCATCTAAGGCGCTGGAGGTCATGTAAATAAATAATATAATTTCCCGTGAAATACCAATATTTACATGACTATAACGCATTGCGCGCGTTAAAACGGTGGCTTGTTAAAATTGGCCATGAGCGAAAAGTTGTTTGGCGTCTCGGAAAAATCTAATATCTATAGGTCATTTGTCCTGGACATTTGTTTATAAACAATAAATGTTTAACATTTTTATGACAAACAATCTATTGTTATTTTACTTTAAAAAATGAACTAACAGAAAGTATAGCTAATTAAAAACAATTGTTTTCGTCGTGGATTAAGAAAAAAATCAATAATCGAATGTTTTTTTTATGCATTGGAACATGATTGCTCGAAAAGTATGCATATAGTCTACATCACAAGTTGTCATAGGTTAACAAATTATATTTTAAAAATGACACCAACTAGATTAGGTAAATACAGACTTTCTTTCTAATCGTGTCCAGAAACAGTATATTATGTAACGTATTAATTAGAATTATTAAACTCCAGAATATTGTAATCTAACAAATAGTATTACCTGATGCCTGACGTGCATGGCGTTCATGACGCTGCAAATAATATTAACAGCTATCCTCGCGGTCGACTTGACACATGCAGACTTGGAGCAGATACACGTTGGGTCCACAAAATCGCTCAATCGGTTTGGTGTCGTAGGGTATGTAATGATTGTGACTATAGTGAGCGTGGTCCTCTGCAGTTTTGTCTCGAAGGCAACGGTGTCTTGATCGTGTGGACGCGCCTCCCACTAGGCGCTTATTTAATGCGCGTTTCGCATCCAACGAACCACATCTAATTGTCTACCATGAAAATTAAACCGTTTGATTTTACTGCCGAGTAACGTGTGCATAAACGCCAAACACGCAACTGAGGAAAACCAAATACAGCCAAAGTCGACCACGCGTTAGCTGTGGACACAGGATTTACTGCAAGCAGGAAGAAGTGTTTTGTAAGTGGGTATGTATAATTCATCTTGTATACCTGTCGTCTTGGTTCGGTAAAAACGTATTTTGGATCGATCAATAACAATTTGTTGGTACTCGATCATTTCTCTTCGATTTAACTAACATTTACGAGTCGCCAAGCACAGCATTGTTAGGTTATGGGGATATTGGTCTTAGACACCGCTAACCGGATAAACGACTTATTTCCGACAAACAGCTACTAATTGCAATTGTATCGATTAAACAACTAATTAACATTAAAATACTTAACAAAATAAGTGAGCAGAAAAATCTAAGGGAAAACTAGGTTTTGTAAAAAAAAAAAAAAACAAGACTTGAGCGAGTCGGACAATGGTGTGACAAACAGGTACAGTGTTCGGGTTTCGGTTGAATTAAGACTTAAGGTAAGAGTGCCTTAAATATTTAGAAATTATTGTAACTGAGTGTTAAAATAACTATCAAATAAAAGAAAATAACAAATAATATAAATATAAATTATTTTATATACATAAATTAATGTGTATGATTGTGTTCTTATTTTCCTCAATAAAAAAGTGACTGAAGATGTATAAAAAAAAAAGTGGTAGCGCGTGTTCTCGCGCTACCACTTATTAAATTAATTTATTAAATTTTTTAGTTAAAAATATTTTACGGTATGGTGGGTTAAAAATAATAGAACATTTAAAAAAAAACTCATTGTACAACTAATATCTTTTCAGCTATGTACTTTAGATTGGTATTTACTATTTATCATGTTTGGTCTTTAAGGCCCGAGCCCCGCGGTGGAAAGATTAGCCGATTAGTGAGAGTATAACTTAATCGTTATCTAGGTTTACCGCGTAAAGGCTCTTTCCTTACACCCAATAATTATGGTAGGTAGAGTCTAGATAGCAATCAAAAAGTCGAAGAGAAGTTCCCCCGGGACATAACAACAAATGGATGGTCTGGAGGACACTAAATCGCTTACGTACAGGAGATGGACGCTCGAAGGAGAAAAAAATTGGGAATAAGCGATGGGAAGGAAGACACGAACTGTGTATGCGGAGAGGCCCGACAAAGTCGCATCTGCTATATTGCAACGAATTCCCAATCAAATGTAACGTAACAGACTTACAAGCCGCAAACAACAAGGCTATAAAGATGGCAGAATTTTGTAGCAACGAAATTTAAAAACACAAATCATACGTCACCTTTAGTACCACTTATTATTACCATTACCTATTTAATATACTATTCCATATTTTATTTTTTTTGTATATAAACCTGTTGACTATTTGACTAATTAATATTTTGTTGTGTTATCAATAGTTTATATGTAACGGTGTTTATAAATTGAATTACCTGTTAAATAACAATACTGAACGAGAATATATATATATTATCGACAAATTGTAACTAAAATGAGTTTCAATAATAATAATAAGAAGAAGAATTGAAATAACAATATTTATTATCTATTTTCATGTTAATTTTTCTAGGAATTACTTTTGTTACAACCAGTCGAGGACTGTCTATTAAATGAACACCCCAAGATTTTTAACAACTACAGAAGTACAGACCACCGACGTTGGGAAATGCGGTTTTCGCGATGATGCGTTTGGATCGTTCTATTGTAATATATTAAAATGCGCATAATGTTATTTTTAACGCTACGATACCGCAAATTAGCCTACTTTAAATAACATAATAATTGTAAAAATCTAACAAATAATGTTGCATAACGACCTAACGATTATAACCGCTTCTTGAATGAAAGGACATCGGTCTCCAACAGTACTAACCAAACCGTAATCATGACTGGTCCAATCGTACGCCACATCCATCAAAGGAACCAATAGCACAATGACCCGCTGGCATTACTGATAAACAATTGCTTGAAGACACCTGTATGAAAATTTCTCAGAACCCTGTGGTAATGCAGACGTGCGATGCCCGGTTCTTATGGGTAAGAAGTTTTTTTGTAGTTTTGCATTATATTTGCGGTTGCGAGAAATAATATTGGAGAAGGGTGTATAAAAATGTAAGATAGGTCTTTGACAATTCCAACACAGTATAGGGTTATCATTATAGAATATACAACATAAGGCCAAGTGGAATAAATGTCAATAAATGAGATAAGTTAAAACATTTTTTGTCATAAAATAATATTGATAATTTTTTATTTTAATTAAAAAATAGTTTCCAAAGACAAAATTTTTGATTTTTTTCACTAAGGCTAATGAAGACTAAACACTTCCAAGTGTTTATGCAATTATTATTATTTACACGAGAGGTATGCCATCTTTTCTAATATAAAATTTAAACTTTTTACGAGTCTTTCTCAGAATCATGCTTGTCAAAATTTCAGGAACGAAACTATATGATCGATCTTATTGCTTTTAGTATTTTCTAAAAGAGGATCTAAAAAAGGATATTATAATATCAATATTTAAGTCATATCATGCTATAATTCTTTATATTAAACTGTGACAGGTCATCAAGTATAGGTAACCTATTGTATTTATGTTAGTTAGATTTCTCTTTATAAAAATGTACAAATACATTTTAACTATGAACAACAAAATTAATAGCTATATTTTTTAATTATTTTGACTAATAAGGTATGTAAATTTAATTTTAATGAAAAAAAACATCAATTCAGATAAAGAATGGAATATGTAACTGTGGTCCGTGTTCTATATAATGGACTATGTACTTAATCAACCTAATGCTACACACTTTATTCTATATTTAAACATAGTTTTTAAATATACAATGTCTTCAAAGTTTAAAGTAACACGGAATATTTCGATCGGTTTACCTAAAATTTAAATCTGTTTTTTTATTGAATCAAGGACATAAAAACACACATAATTACAAAGATAATATTTTTACCCACTTTATTCTGATGCGTGAGCACAAAAATAACATGTTCTTAACTCAAACCAGGTGTTAGACACTGGATATGGAAAGGCCTATTATTTTCAATCAACTTTTATCCAAGAAGTTTTTTTTTTTTAATTCGACATTATTAATTAAGTTTAAAATTTAGAACGGAAGAAAAGGTGGAATGTAATATTATTTCTATCTGAGCGCCTTACTCAATCGTGCACTTCTCCCATTTTAAACTCTAATAACTTTAAAAATAACGATTCAAAACTGGTTATCAACCAGTCAAAATTTTCAGAAAATTATCCTTAATTGAAAAAAAATAAATAAAATGTACAAACATTACTATTTAAGTTTCAAAAGTTACCTTCCTAAGGCCTAAATCTTCAGATTGAAAAAAAATTTAAAAACGTTTTTTTTTTTAAAGTTTTAGTATATTATAAAAAAATCAAGGTGTTGGAAGAAATTCTGAACACCCTATATTATACAACTTAAATACATTTTTCAGTTTTTACTGTAAATTAATATTTAGAAAATAAAAATTATTTTTGTAGTGTCCTTATTACGAAATTTACTCTAACAAAGCGCAGAGTAATTTCTTTTCATTCTAAGTCAAATATTCTTATTAATGCATGTTTGAAACTATAATATAATTTATAATGAATTAAAGTATTAGTCATGTTAACTAGCAAAAATATTTTAATAAAAGTTTTTTAAATACAATTAAAAAAATATACACATTTGAATTTTTTTTAAGTATTTATAATAAATTAAAATCCTACTTGTATTTTTTAATAAAAATAATTTTGTTATAATAATTTTTTAACGAAAGAGTAACTAAAACTTGTAATGTCAGAAATACAAAAATTAAATTTTATTGGACATTTCTGCGTGTTAACTTAACTATGTGGAAAGTTATAGTATAGCATGCCGTATTACTCGAGTAAGATAATTAAGATTTGATAGTGGTTTTCAGGCCGATTTTGACTACATGTGTAGTAGTTTAAGCTTTAACAATTATTCAAAATCTTGACACTATTAAATTAAAAAGATAGTTTCAAAATTCTCATTGAAAAAATGTGTGGTAAAATATTATACCTATTATATATTAATATCAATATGTATTACTTAATGTATAATAGAGAATGTTTTACGTACCTAGCTAATGCTAATAGCCGCTGTCACGAAATGCACGAACTCTGAACGAAAATTGTCAAGTAATGAATATACATTGCATCCGATTTCAATAGATTCTTGGATGTCGCCATCATCACAATGTAAGTGCTTTAAATAAATATACTCAAAAATGTCGTGGGCTAAAAATGTAAGCAGTTTCGTTTTAAGATCTTAGGAATCGGTACGTTGTCTCGCTTAGCCTCAACATCATCAGAGTTTGATATTATTCCAATAATTTTTTATTTTATTGATTATTTAAAAAAAATATTCCATTGAAAATAAATGAAATCTTCCTTTAGCATTGTCGACATTAGGGATTTTTATAACGTTTTTATGAACTCACAATCTTGTTTTTCAATATTTAATTTCTTTGTACTGAAATAAGCGTTTTAATTTTAATTTTTTTATCATTTAGTGATTAAATTAAAAATCAATGGAGGTCAATGTGCCATGTAGAAAGTCTTTCTCTTTAAAACAATTGACAAAGTCCGATTAATCTACGAGGTGCTATCACTTATCTCAAAAAGTAATTTTCCCCGCTAAAATGTTATAGGTATAACTCATATTAAAAAAAAAGTTATTGTCTTCAAACACAAAAAAAACAAAAATTGTAAAAATAATAGCTTTTCAGATTTGCATCGAAACTAAAAATACAGGTTAAAAATGATAAACTAAAGCTAATACATATTAGTATAAAAATAAGTTAATAAGATCAAAATTAATTTTAAAACATGGTCTTTATCAAATATTGCCTGCATTTTGCCCCTTAATAGCCACTTCCGTTTTACATACTACCTATTAACCTATGTATTATTTTTAAGGGCTTTGGTATATTTTTTGCACACTTATAACTTTTGTGTCCATATCACACCGTACATAATTAACGTTTTTTATTATATTTTAAACAAAACATAGCTATTAAGGTTGCGTTTACTTGGTCCATGATATTGGAGCAAAATCTAGGCGACTATTTTGGTTCAACAAAAATTGATTTGAAAAAAATTTACCTAGACCTAAGTTGGTCTATTAATTTGAGTTAAGTTACTCAAATTAATTGTACGAAACCCCTACTTTTTATCTTGGAAAATAAATATCTTATGTATAAATGTGGTATCATATAGCAACATTATTTATTCGTCTTAAAAAAGTTAATACAAGGCTTAAGAATGGTGGGGGAGGAAGATCGAACCCAGCTATAGCCTATAAGCAGTAAACATGCCGATTCAAATACACTATAAAATTCAAATTCATTTATAAATTGTGTATTATTAGTTTAATGGTTTATGTCTTCAGATGAACATTCTGACTATGATAAGAAAAACGCAGAAAAATCCAGCCACAAGAAAGGTGGTAATGAAAAAGAAAACAAAGAAAGATATAACAAGGGAGTATTGTTGAAAGAAGAAAAACAAACAAAATACGGTGAAAATAAAGGTAAGAAAGATAGTCATCATGACGGAGGGGAAGAAAGCGATTACAAATATACACACGGTAAAAAGAAGAAAGGAGCAAAACACAAAAAAGGCGAAAAACACAAAAAATTCAAAATCAAAAAAGTAATTGATAGAAGGTATGCGCAATACCTAGTAAACATTTTTCAAAGCCTTACTGTTTGCAGGGATTTCGAAATAAACAACATAAAGACGAAAAACATAAAGTTAATCAATTTTGGGATAATTATGAAACATACGGTACGTTCAAGAAATTCGGTAAGAAAAAAACCAAAAAGTTAGACGGCGATAGAGAAATTAAAAAAAAGAAAACCAGAAAAGTAAGCTATATTATTTTATTTTTTCCACGATGACAGTACATATGAAGACCTTGGGGCAACAACAAGACATGTTCTTTTTTTCAAAACGTTTTAAATTAAAAAAAAATTTTTTTTAGAATATTTTGAAAAAAAATGTTTGGGTTTAAAAACATTTTGAAAAAAAAAAAAATTAAAAAAAAAGGACATGTCTTGTTGTTGCCCCAAGTTCTTCATATACATATCGACGCCCCGTACGAAAAGTAGCAATGTTCGTGAGTTCTTACGAAGACTAGCATTGTTCACAGATTCTTACGAAAAGTAGAACCGTTCAAGTTCTTACGAAGACTAGCACCGTTCGTGCTATTGTTCACATTGTTACCAACGGTGCTAGTTTTCGTAAGAAATTCGCGAACGGTGCTACTTTTTGTAAGGTCAACGACTTTGGTGTTAGTTTTCGCTAGAACTTGAACGGTGTTACTTTTCGTACGACGCGTCGATATGATGGGTACGGGGAAAAAACAAACAGGTCACTTTTTAAAAATTGTCATTTTGTAGTTATCAAATTTGTCTTGATACGAAACGAATCTGTTCTTAAATTTAAACATGATTAAAAACATAAATTAAACATTTTTTAAAAGTTTTGAAGTATTTTTTTAAACATTTTAAAACGTTTTTTTTCTTATATTAAGAAAAAAGTCATTTTTTTGGTTTTTTACGTGTACCTTTCAATTATGTCTAAAATAAAATATTGTTCTATCAGGAGAGTAAATCGCAGAAAGAAAATAAGAAGAAAGGTAAAACAAAGAAAAAATCAGGAAGCAAAGGAGAGACAGGTCACCACAAAAAAAAAAAAAGCGGATCCCATTACAATCATAAGTCTGAGTATCATAAAGAGAAAAAATCGAAAAAACACAAAAATACAAAAGATGTTATCAAAACTCGTTAAATGTCTCAATAATAATAAGTAACTACAATAAATAATTAAATAATTTATGTATTACGTAATTTGTAATGTGAGCACTATAAATAATAATGATACAAAAATAGATAATATAAAGATAATAATTGTTATATAAGTACGATAATATAATATTGCGTTTAATCTAAACTAATGTGTTAAAGTAATAGTACAATAAAATTAATAACCCAGATAACTCTTAATACAATATTATGCCAAATTATTTATTTTTAACATTTTTAAAAATATATAAAATCATATCAATAAACGTAAAACCAAAAATTTTAGAAATTAAAGTTGAGATCCATTTCACTTTTTTTTTATTTGGTTATATTATAATGAATTTCAATTTAAATCTGAGTAAGTGCATTTGAGTAAAAAATCTGTATGGCTTCATAATATAAAAAAGAAATCCAGGTTAATTATTTGTTTGAATTAAAAGTAATTCCATAATAATAACATCATTGATTATTGCCAGTTACTTAAACAACAATAAATATGTTTTTTTTGTGCATTACTAACGCAATGACACACCAAAATATTGTAGCCCAACAATGCATCACTAGGTATTCGGTGTGCGAGGTATCGTTCACAGGTTCCCAACACCACGGGAGCGTGTCGTACAAAATTTCGTGACCGACAAATAATAATATGGAATTTTGACCTGCAAAAATAATAATAAAAAAATTATTTTTATTTTTAAGGTTTTTTTTCATAAAATATAAATAACAGTAGTGTAGTAATGGCGGCAAAAACTCTTAGAGAGTAGACATGCAAGAGGAAGAAGAAGAATATAGTTAACAAACCTATTTCACAAAATGGAGAACCACTCCAAAGTCTCCAATGTTCTATGATTAAAAATAATAACATGAATAAGAAAAAAGCTGAACTGCCAGCAATAAATGCATAAGACAAAGAAAACATGTTCTTGTTTAGTGGTATTAATCCATCTTCTTTGGAAAAATTACACAAAATACCACTCGCTGCACCCTAAAAATTAGAAAAATATTATTTGTATAGGTACCAATTAATCAATTTAATTATTATTTGAAATATATAATTTCAAATATTATTTTATATACATAAATTATATTTGCCTATTTTGCCTTTTCAGTTATTAAAAATAAAAATGTATTTGATATCATTATTTTAATAATTGTTTATTTTGTATATTATTTCAATTTTTATTTAAATACACAATTAGTTAAAACTGAAAATGTATTTATATATTTTTATTATTAATTAATTAAATTTGTTAAAATAAATATATACTGTTTAAAATTAAATGTTGTTATATTTTGGTATAATTTATTTTATATATAACTATTAACCAATTCTGAGACAGGACTAGGTATCTACAAAATAATATAAGTGTTTAGTTCTTGGTTTAAATAAAAGGTCGAATTTTGTGTGTAATTAATTGTGTTAATAATAATTTTAAACTCGCATTGCCATAAAAAATTCAGCTTACTTAGAAATCTGTCACCATAACTATTTATTTTAATTTGTAATAGACCAAAAAAGTTAATTTAGTTTTACACATTTCATAATTTACTATCTTACATTTAAATTATTCACTGTATTTCAATACTTTTAGTTGTAGTATTTACTATTTTATATTAAATAAAAAACCCTTATAACTAGCAAGAATCTAGTTAGGATTATCAGAAGAAATCAATATTATTTTTGTTTCAGATTGCTTTGATTTATACTTGTTTTTTTGATAAAAAAAAATGTTTTAGTTTGTTAAGTGGGTAAAATGACTATTATTTAGAAAAATATAATATTTCATTTTAGAAAAAAAAAGTAGTTTTTAGTACCTCCCTAACAGGTAAAGGAGGGGCGGCATTGGATCTACATGGGTGGGTTGCCTGAGCAATTTCTGATTAATTTAAAAAAAAAAAATGTATTTTGCTCAGAACCTTATTCAGACTTTTGAAAAGTAGTTATTAACTAACTAGCATTACTTTTATTTTATTAATTTTAAAAGTTTCATAATCAATTCCTTAAGATAATTTATACTTACTAATACAAGTGTCCAAGCAATCCAACGTTTAATTCGTTCATTCGTGTATTGGTAACATAAAATAATACGGCCTGCGTGTACACCCATATAGACTAGTAAAACATTTGTTAAAGTACTTAAAATGCCTGAAAAAAATTAATAATGTCCATAATAATTTAAACTTTATAGTCGGCCACAATATACTATAATTAAAAACTACCTTTATTTACCTTCGGGGTCAAATGGCCTGGACTGGTATACCGGTGTAGCTGTACCGTAGTACATATGGTTTTCACCAAGCACCAATCTGTCGATGTAGCCAGCTGCACCGCCAGTACAATTTAAGTTAGAGGAATGGTTGTACAAACCACCGGGGCCCAAGTATCCTTTGGGACACCCAGGCACAGGCAACAAGTAGGTAACAGCTAAGTGTATACTTACTAGGAAAATAACTACAAGCCACTGTGGACCACTTTCAATAATGTCTCTAACTATGTCAAATTTTGTGTTCTATTATAAATTAAATTACAATATTATTTTGCTTGTAAATAAAACATTATAATAAAAGTAATAAAATTACTGTAAAATATGGTTGAGGTCTCATGAAAATCGTCTCTAAAGTTGCGGCTATGAAGTATATAATAGCTAGTCTCTGCAACACGCCCATCGGTCTGAACGTATTTAAATTGTTGTGGTGTACCGAATTTAGTACTAAGCCCATTATCAATAGGACAATAGACCTTCGAACAATGCGGCCAAATACATATTTTCGTTTAGTGCTGGAACGTAGTTGAGATCGTAATGATATGGCGATACTAACACCCATCACCCAACAAAACCTAAGCACAGTTAATTATTATTTTTAAGTAAAATAAGATCTTGGGGCAACAACAAGACATGTCCTTTTTTTCAAATTTTTTTTTTTTTAAAACAATTTTGAAACGTTTTGAAAAAAAGGACATGTTATGTTGTTGCCGCCCCAAGGTCTTCAATTATTCCAAATTTAACATTTTTAACATTAAAAAAAATATAAAATGCTTACCATGGCAATATGAAGTCTGCTATTGTTACACCGTTCCATGGAGCATGTTGAAAAAACCAGTATCGCCCACCGCCTAAGTTGACGAATATCATCAGTGTCATTGATATCCTGACATTATAATTTAAGTAGGATTTATTATATTAAAAAGTAGGATATATGTCAAAAATATGTATCATCAATTAATTTCACTAGTTTGTTCTTAACTATTATAGCTATTTTTAAAAACCGTTTAACTAGGAACTATAATAATTATGAACAGCTCAAAATTATTTTAAACACAACTACTAATTAAATAATTGCTATTTTATTTTTAAAAATAAGACCATTACCCTCTAAATGCATCTAATGACGTAATGCGATAACTTGTGTTCTTCACTGGCGTTGGAATTTGAGGATGAATGATTACAGGTTCATTTGAACCAGTACCAAAATCCTAGGAGGAAAAAATTAATGTTTATTATATTTTATTATAATTAATTTTAAAATGAAGTGTAAATTATACTAATTTTTATAAAAAAAAATTATCATAGTTTAATATTTTTGATAAAGGAACACATAGAACATATAAAATTTAACTATATATTTGCAGTATTTTAAGTCTATCAACTTAATACTAATGTATTTTTACCTTAATTAGGTAGTAATTGGAATAATTAACAGATGTAATATTATTTTTACAAAATTTATTTACATGTATTTTGAAAACAAAATCACCATTGGAGTAACTAGAGGAGGACTAAAGTTCAGACCTTTTAAAAACTTTGAAATCTCCCTCAAAATTTCAGTAAAAATTATAAATCTTAGTTGAGGGCTGTGTACAATTAGTTGCTCACATTTTTTTAAAGCCTGAACGAGGTTAGAAGGATTTGAATTTCTCTATCCCCTCTAGTTACGTCAATAAAAATCATATCCCAAAACATTACTACCATACAAGATTTTATGAACAATATCTTCTGTATCTCTTTATCTCAATAAATTGTAGTTCTAAAATGTTTAATACAGTTTAATTTGTTATGTTAAATAGAAAACTATGCAAATATATTTAGAAACCAAACTTTTTTAATGAGAACAAGCTTCCCGCTCACCAAGTTACTTGACAAAACAATAAGCCATTAATTTCATAAATACACAAATTCCATAACATTTTGTTAATTTTTTTTTTAAATTATTTATGCGATTGGTATTAGTAAAGTACTTCAATGATTTGTATATTAAAATTAGCACGTAAACTATGATAAAAAACATTATTCAAACCACATTATTTAATTCGACATCAGAACCATGACTTATTGTTACATCACACTTAGGAGCAGTCTGAAAAAATGAACTGTTCATACAAGCTATTCTAAAAGTAATTAGTTTTTTAGAGGTAGTTACATTTTCTATGTCCAAATCTGTTTTTGATGAGAACCGGAACACAGATGGCACTATGTTAGTTCTTTGTATGTATATAATAAAAAACCAGACAGCAAAAGATGGTATAATAAGTAATAAGGCATAAAAAAAAGCTGAAAAAAAAATATATTGATTACTCAAAAAGTTACATTAGTTTATTTTTACTAAATATATAATATGTACTTAAATAAAAATCTCACCCATATAAAAGTTATGAGGAGGTAATATTTGTTCAATTTGTGAACATTTCAAATTGTTTGTTATGTTCCATTGATAAGTACCATGTTCTTCAAAATTATAAAGGGTTCTAAAAATAAATATAAATATTTATAACATATTATATTAAACATATTTTTGATAGTACATTAATAATAACCTGCAGTTGTAAAATGATTCATTTTGGTCATTTGTCAAATGTAACCACAGACGATATACTGTTTTTAAACGAATACTTGTAATCTTGTTATTAGTTATATTGGCTGTTTTTAATAAATCACACTGTAATAATAATAATAATTGAAAACAAGTGTTATACTTAAAATATCTTGTATTCTATTTTATGCAAATATAGTGCGTAATAGTTGAATGTTATACACTAAATACATTTACTTGTACTATTACTGGGTTTTCTAAACATTGATGAGATTTTCCAATCACTACTATATTAATTTAATCAATTTTCATAATACATTAGTAATTATTCACATGTATACATTTTTCAAGTATCAGGCTATAGTTTTTTTGTAGAACTCAGTAAAAATCATGAACGAATAACTATCAACATTGAACTATCTATATATTATTTGTAATTATTTCTTTGAGCTTAATAAAAAAACAACTAAATAATAATTGTATTTTACTTTTATTAAATATATTTTTTAGAAGCAGTTATCAAAAAAAACAGAAAATTTATATTGAACCAAAAATATGGGTTTTATGGGTTTATATACAACTATGAAATTCAACTGGTGTGGGGCTTATAAATTAAAACTACGTTCTTGTCAACTCTGCTTAAAACACTTTTATCAATTATAGTTTTAACTGATTAATAGCTCATTTCTTGATTATTTTTTAATATTTATATTAATTTACAATTGAGAATTTTTTTTCAGAGTACACAATGACAATTTACTTTATATCAAATATAGATAACAATTATGTAAATAATTTACATTATTTATATAATACGAATTGGAAATTTTACTAAGTTTATGTCGTTAACCCTTTTAATATGGCGTTTAACAGAGGTGGACTTACAACCTTGGCTTGGTGGATACTTTTAAAAAAAGACCTATCAAATTTTAAAAACATTTATCGTTTTATTTATTGTAGAACCAGCCCATGAGATACGAATACGATTTAATATACCTCATAACAGAAAATAAGATGAGCAATGTGGGCATTTCCTAACTGTACTCTAGTCCGCTTCTAGTGTTTAGTAAAGATTACAAAAAGAAAAACACTTTTACTTAAAATTGTCTATTAAAATTAAAAATATATTATAATAACCATTCAATACTTTAATGCGGAAATTAATTATTTTTATTAGTTATTAATATTATTATTGGACTACAATTTTCATTTTTAAACACAAAAGAAATCCTTTCATAAAGAATTTAAAGGATGAACACATCCTACAAAAGTTTGTAAATAATTTTTTTGTTTAATAAATATTTATGAATTTACTTTACTAATAAACATGATATCTTTTGCCATATAGAATATTAGTTTTTAGTGATAGGAAAAATGGAATGAAAAATTCTAACCAGTTAATTATTTCAAATAATCTTATATTTTAATTATTTTTTTCGATTATTTAAATAATTGAATGGTTTCAATTATGAGTATTAACATTTTCCTATATGACATTCTCTTTTTGTATTAGCCCATTGTACGTTTATATCTGCTTAACTAGATATTTCAAAATAAATATTAAACAAAATATTATGTTATAATTAGAAATACAATTAAATACTATTTTGTACACAGCACATATATTGTTTTGTTTAAATTAGTTCAACGACTACTTACGTTGTAGCATTCTTCTGACTGCGTCCAAAGGTATACATCGGAAGAATTTTGTGCCCAAACTTGCAAACATGCTTCATCATACTTAAGATTATTACAGTCATCTGAGGCCATTATTACTGGTAAAACTGAAGACAAAATATCAGTATTTTTTTTTTTAAGCAAAAAAACTAAGATAACAAACGTTTTATAGTAATTTGTACAGAAATGGTGTCACTTACTTGTATATAAAACTAATAGTTAACTATTAGGAATTTACACATTTCGAATTAGTTGTACAAAACAAATAAATCATTACGGAGTATTTAACAGACAAAAAAATATTAGTGATTACCGATTAGTCAAATTAAAAATATAATTATTATGCCTAAAACAGTTGTCATGAATAACCCACTAACATACAGAATAGTAATTACATACCGAATTTTGAAGAAACCCAGGCACTATTATTGTAATGTAAAAATCACGGTTTTCTTTTGTTATCAGCAAATTGGAGTATTCAAAAGTAAACATATGACTACTTTCACCACATGCATTCTGCTCGCCGGCATAATGCACGACTGCTATCTACCGACTAACAATTACATCGACCAGAATTATAAAAATGAATGCTATTTAAAATTCGAATACCTAGTTGAAAGTATGGCCACTAAGACAGATTAAAATGTTTCATTTAATCTGTGTAGCCGGTAGGTACAATTGTTTCAACCGAGCATATGGGTGGGTTATATTGGCGGATGGTGTGGTGTGGTTTTTAATAACTATTGTCATTAAAATTATGAAATAATTTATTTTGTAAAAATATTTTTGGGTAGAATTTCTTGAATAAGATCTATGATATTATATTAATTGTCAATGAGTATATATAGATAGATGTCTATTATTTGACGTTAAAATAACATATTTTTTTATTTGTACTCATTTCCAAACCACCCATGAGGTAGAGTATTTGGCTCGTTTTTTTTAACGTGGTATCTCCATGTATGATGATGTTTCTAATTATTGTGGTAGAGAAAACTCAATGGTTTGTATAGTGGAGGTGTCTTTACTTTAGTAGATAAATTAACTTAGGTATAATATCATCAGACGTTCATACAACGGGCATACGACTTGTCTGTGGGGTAAGCTTTTCGGACCGCATATGTACCAGATGTACTCGCTGGTCTTATATAGCACATCTCGCACATTTATCGTACGCGCTTCTATGAACAGTCGAGACATAAGTACCTAAGTCCACTGCTACCCATAACAAATATATGGAAGTAGTTTATGTGAAAGAACAAGTGAAAAAGTAAAATTATATGTGAATTAATGTGCGAATTATATTTGATTTCAGCATAGTCCGGTCTATAACGTCGAAAGCCATCCGAACTTGAGCGTCAGCCGTTCAAGATATCCGGCTCCTGTGCAAGAGTCAGCTTTTCAGACGATAATTCCTACTACACATTTCCGATATCACGTTCCACAAGCTGTAACCGGCTTCCGCGCGACAGAAAGTTTTTCGGTCATAAAGTCTTACTTCACATAACATCTCGCACGTTCATCACACGGTCCTCTACGAACTGTCGACAATCTCAAGCCGGGACCTCAACGAGTTATACCCTTATATACTGGCATAAAATATATTTGTATAGATAAGCTTGTCTTTTCAAAATAATGAAATATTTGTAAATTTACGCGTAAATACGCCTGTGGCGCATGGGCAACAACAAAGACGGATGAGAATAGACTAGCTACGTTTGAACGAAAGGTCCTTAGAAGGATATTTGGGCCAAAAAGAAACGCCCTAGGGGACTTTGAATTAAGAACAAACCGAGAAGTAGAAGAACTGTACGGCGAAACAAATATAATTGGATTGCTTAAGAGTAGTAGACTGGGATGGGCTGGACATGTGTGGAGGTCCGAAGGCCCTATAGGATTGGCAACGAGTTGGATGCCAGACACAAGAAGGCCGAGAGGACGGCCCAGACAGCGGTGGAAAGACAGGATTACAAAAGATGCATCGAGGTTGGGAGTAAACGACGCAAAAGAACTAGCTTAAGATAGAGATAGCTGGAGGCAAGTGGTTGTTGCGGCAATGGACCTAAATGGCCCGTAAAAGAGAAGAAGATTTGTAAATTTTACAAGGATATGTTTAAACGTTTAATGCGCAACTGAGTGTTAACGGGGAAAAAATGTTGTAAATAAACGAGTAATGTGAATACATAATAATATTAGATAAATGGTTAGTTCTGTGATTACTTCAATGGAGGATAAGTACCTAGTAAACAAAAATGTTCATTTCGAATTGCAGGACCTACCTACATCATCATACACAGACCTAATCCACGAGTACTTGACTTGGAGGCATAATGCACAACAAAAAGACATATGAGAAAAGTATCCAAACCTCATTTTTAGATTTCTTTTAAACAATATAAATAAACGAATTATTATGGACAGTTAACAACATTATGAAAAATAAATGTTCATTAAGACGACCAAATTTGTATGAATTTTCCGAGTCAAGCACTTAAGTGAAAAAAGTCAGTCATCTAGTAAACATTTTATTGTACATATAAATAAGCAATTAATATTTTTACATAAAAGTTAAAACACAATAAGTATACTATAATTTATACAGGACAACATATATAAATAAATATATAGTAAAATTAAAATTTGGACTGGTGTAATTCGAGTCCCTTTACTAAATGTTACTAAATTATAATAATATGTATAAGCTACCTTTACATCTTGTTTCTACTGAAGACTATGGCTTGTCAATTTGTCATTTGATGATTCCATACCTCCAGGCTTCCTTTCCAACCTTCTGGTTATTATAGTAATTATTGTAACAGCCACTGAGATTGATCATTGCTCTTATTATTGTATTTATCAGTCTTCATCGACCGCCGATCCGTTAAAGTACTCTTAGGCCTAAACTGAAATCATGTTTATCCAAAAACTATCATTACCTATTTGTTGTGGTGCTATTGCGCAAGCAGCTTGGTATTCCAATTTCCATATTCAAACTTCCTAACTGAACCTCTTGCACGTTAATGTCATAGACGTCTTCGCTATTCTTGTCATAGCTATGACCTAACCTGTTGTGTTTATTATACCATATTTGATCCCAGCATAGTCCGGTCTATAACATCGAAAGCCAGCCGAACTTGAGCGTCAGTCGTTCAAGATATCCGGATCCTGTGCAAGAGTCAGTTTTTCAGACAATAATTCCTACTACACATTTCCGATATCACGTTCCACAAGCTGTAACCGGCTTCCGCGCGACAGAAAGTTTTTCGGTCATAAAGTCTTACTTCACATAACACCTCGCACGTTCATCAAACGGTCCTCTACGAACTGTCGACAATCTCAAGCCGGGACCTCAACGAGTTATACCCTTATATACTGGAATAAAATATGTTTGTATAGAAAAAAAGTAATATATAAACAGGAGTATAATATGTCTTCGGGAAAACGATTAAAAAAATGTGGTGTTAAAAATTTGTAAACAAATAGTTGATATTTAAATTAAATAAAAGTAGGCATAGTCTTCTACGATGTTTCGCCACTAATAATAGAGATTATAATAATAAATAACACTAATAATAATATTAGATGTTTATAATAATTTTATAAAAAAGTAATAACGATAGTCGATAACAAAAATAGTTTTAATGTACGCTACTTACCACGTTCAGATGATTAGCTAGTTACTTATGTGTCTCTTCTATCCCCATCCAACATTCATCGTCTAGTTTCTGGTTTCAATTAAGTCGGTAATTAAAAGAAAAGTTTGATAAACTTCCAATTGGAGGATCAATCGCGTCTTTTCATGTTAAAAATTAACAACTCTTCAAAACTAAATAAAAACGTTGATTTTCACCGATTGTGCTACTAAAAAAACAATCAATAATTTACTAAGCAACCGTCAACAATTTTTTTTTAAACAATCAAATATTCAAATTATTTATTTATAATATTTTTGAGTTAACAGGAGTTGATAGGTCGTTAAGGTCTTGTATTATATCATAGATCATATTAAAACGGGTTTTATGTAAAACATTGTTTTCACCGAGAAATACCATAATGAGTGCAAAAAATATAATGCATCGATATTAATACTTAAAAATCAAACGACTATAAAAAAAATGTTATTTTATAAAATCTGAAATGTTATATATTATTACACGAATTAACTATTAATGTATATTACTAATTTATTTAACTAGTATACAAATGATTAATGGAATTAAATTTAGAGAAAACATTTTTTTTTCCAAACTTAATTTATATGAATTTAAAATATCCAAATTCTGGACCTATGTATAAGAATGAATATATATATATATATATATATATATATTACTTTAAATATACATACATTATATTGAATTATACACTAGTCTCTATGAAAAACCTACATTTTTTGTATAATTAGTAACTAATGCAAAACACTCAATTGCTATTCGCCATTGTTGGCCTCACTATATTATGGTTTTGAAACAATGTGTTTTTACCTACCTTAAAAAGACACATGTTGTTTCAATTTTCACAACCCTGCAACAACTGTACATTTTCGGGATCCTCTTGTACCATCATTGGTAACTGGTTCTTGGATCAGTAGATGACACCGATACTTATCTTCGTAAAGTCTACTAAGGATAATAATATCATACGAATAAATAAAACAAAATACAATGTGTTCAACTCATATTATTTGTAGCACAATAAAATTAAAAAAACAAAAATTAAATAGTGTTTAATATATGATGGAAAATTATTCACAATGTGTTATAAACAATTTGTTTACACGTTGCCTGGATACACATAACAAATGTTTCTAAGCGAATATTAATAAAATACAGTACCTAATATGATTTATCTTATTTATTAACATTTGATTTTCCTTCGAGCCAACGGGGAAAAAATGTTATACAGGGTGACATAACATACATAAAACATACGACAAACAAAGAAAAGAAATATTATACCTATTTTTTATTATTAGTTCAGGCAAAAATTGAGGCGTTCTCCGGACAAAGGATGCAAAATGACGGCTTTGAGAAATAGCCAAATTAAATGTTTCAATACTTTTGTCGTAAAACATTTTTACTTTAATCATCGTAACAAATGTATTAAAATAGTTATGACCTTAAAAACAAAGAAGAAGAGGCTCATAGTAAAGCCACCTGTACAATAAGAAATTAAGTTAGTTATCGTTGAGTAAGTCTTTTGACCAATTGCGTTTAAAACGTCTGCTTAGATTGCCCGGTAGTGTTTTTGAGTGAAGTTGGGTGATGACTGATGAGACGGTTTGAATGACATTGCATTTTGTAATGGAGTCTCAAGTAGAAGATAGAAGCGGTCTCTTTAATAGTAGTGACTTTGAGATCTTCATGATGTGATTGGTTGGTGACATACCATGGAGCTTTGGTTATTAAACGGAGACATATACATTGGAATGTCTGTATTGTTCTAACGTTAGAAGCTTTTACGGCACCCCATAGAGCAATGCCGTAAGACCAAATTGGTTTGAGGAGACTTTTATTTAGTAGTAAACAGTTGGAGATGCGCATGTTGAATTAAATGAGTGGGCTTATTAGATGTAGGCGTGTGTTTAGTTGCTTCCATTTACTTTTGAGGTGAGGACCCCAAGTGAGTCTCCTGTCTAATAATAAGCCAAGGTATCTTGAATGGGAAATTATTGTGTTGTTAAAAATGATTAACGGATAGTCTTTTTAACGAAGGTTTGATGTAATGTGGGTAGATTTCATTTTTCCAGACATTACACCACTGAAAAAGTATGTTAAGATGGGTTTGTAGTAGTTGACTGCAGAACATTGGCGAAATGTTGAGCCAGCAACTCGACCTTTTCTTGAGTAGAGACGGCAAGGCTGTTGTTTTGATGTTAAAGGGGAGGCATAATTATTCTGTGCCTTAATAGAGATTTAGTTTTTCACCATAAAAAACCATTATTCGATGACAGGGATGAGAAGTGAGATTCATAAAGCTCATTTTTGTGTTTCTTGAGAAGTTTTTTTAGTTTATTTGAAAGAGAGTTGTACTTATGTCTATCATCTGGATAGTGAGAACGCTGCCAATGATTGCGGGCCCGTCGTTTGCGATGAATTGTCTTATTTTGGGAGTAACTTGACTAACACTTTTATTATTTATAGTTGTAGTTAAGGAGTTTTTTTTTTAATTAAGAATGTTCTCTGTGAGGGTATTGATTGCTAGGTCGATTCTTCATATAAAAAATAGTTAGTTAGCTGAAGGAAAGTGATAGTAACTGGTCAATAAAAGTGACATTGTACCATTGACAGTTTCATTAAACACACATAAATTAGCCATTACAACAGACTCAAAAGTATTCCAATCTTTTTAAGTAGTTCTTTAGATTCAGAGATCTAGTTTATTGCATTTATACTTAATCCCGCGATAATTAAAATTAGTTAAGAACATACTTAGGAATCACTGAATTGTTTGGTTTTAATTTCATCAAAATTGGTCACTATCTATAACCACTATTCCACTTGTAAAGTATATTTTAGTAAAATTAACTTTTCACTTGAATAATATAATAGTCTATTATTCGTAATGTATATAGGAATAAAACTAGGTTCATTTGAATCGATTATTCATGTAATAGAATCTTTGTTAACAACTGTTATTTAAAACAATTTCAATACAATTTATTGGGAAATCATAATGTTATTTGTAAATCTGTTATAAAATTGGTTTTTATTAACTTTTTTTTAAAAAAAGTAATTTAAATCATATTGTTGTATTTCAACATTTTCCGTTTAAATTAAATATTAATATTAATTTATAATATTATTTAGGATATAAACTGGAAATTTATCATAACATGAAAAAAATGATCGTACGAAAATGATTTAGTTTTGAATAAAACTATCACAAAAAACATTTATGATTACAGTTTTATTTGTTTTTCATTGACATCCTTTTCTTTTTGTTTATGCTACCCCTATTCTTGCCTTTTGATTTACTGCTGCCACCAAATGTGCTTTCCGTAGTGTTGTTTTTCATTCCTCTTTTTTTCCCACCAAATCCATACTTGACATCTTTACCTTTTCGTTTGTGTTGTGATCTATAATTAGATAAACCATTATAAATGTATACAATTATAATACAATATTTAAATTAATAAGGATAAATTAGTTCTAAGTATTATTTTTTTTAATGTAATATAATATCATGTGGCAGTGTAATAAGTAATAGCGCACTGTTGCTAGTTCAAATCTCAGCCACTATGGGTGGCCGACTGACCAAGGGGAGAAATAACCACCTGTCTCTATAGGTAAGCGTTAAGTCAACAGCCAGCTGTAAACTCCCGCCCCTGTCTGAGCTTCGATTAGATTTTGTACAATATTTAATTATTGATATTATCATTATTTTGTTTATACTAAACTTATAGCCATTATTTTTCTAATTTAATTTTATAACACCCCTACCTCTAAAATCAATTTTATTTTATATAATATCATCAATAAAATAATAGTTAATCAGTTAATTAAAATACTAATATTTTATTATACCTCGAGAGATTTTTTTTATTTTCTTTGACACTTTCTTGCTTTTTATTTTTCTTGCCGCCATCAGCTTCCAAAAAGTCCAAATCAGTTCTTAAGCCTTTTCTGAACTTTTTGATATTTTCATTAAGGTCACGTTTTTGTTTGTGTTTCTCTTGCACAGCTGCCACTCGTTTTTCTTTAGCTAATTTCTTTTCCTGTCGTATACGCCTAACCTTTTCTGTTTGCTCTAGAGCTACCTTTCTTTGAAGAAGTTCGTGGCGCACCTTTTGCATATGTTTATCAGACTTGAACATTTCTGCAAAATAATCTTGTGGACGATGTGTTGGTATACTGTGTTTATGTAGCAACTCAATACCACACATTACCGCAGTTTGGGCTTGACGGTGAAACATAGTTTCCCGTTTAAAATCGTTTAATGCTACCTCATCAATTTTCCCTGCTTTTAAAAATTGCTGTTGTTCTGTAATCTGAAATTATAAAAACATTTAAACATTCAAAGTAAACATTTTAGTGAAATAATACAAACCTCCATTGAGAGCTCAGGAGCTAATGGAGCAGTTTCAGCAACTATGTCAAGTCGTTCAGACCAAGGTAGACTACTTTGAAATGAACTAAGTGTTTCTTTTAAACCATCCTGTAAAAGTTTTTGTTATACTTATTTGCAAGTTTAAATTGGTCTGTTTATTTAGTAAGTAATAACCAAAAATATTTAATAATACTTACAACATTGTTAATGAACTTTTTGTCCTGATTTACTGGTATATTCAAACCAGGTTTTAATTTACCAGCTGCATATAATTCTAACAACTATAAAAAAGAAAATACGTTTAGGCAATAATAATAGTAAAAATATAAATAAATACTAAACAAACTGTGTTTAATATATATGTATTTTTTTTAAATAATAGTTGATTAGTATTTATAATGAAAAATTTACCTCTTCGTCTGAATCTGCATCTGATGACATGGCAAAATCGTTATTAGTCATTTTTTACTTTAAAATGTATTTTTTATTAAAGAATGCTTGTACTATAACATCACCATTAATTCATAGTTTTCTATAAATTGTATAATGGATGAGTATTGAGCAGCGGTATCTTTTCAGTTCAACACGTGGGATATAATATTGTGTTTAGCTCTTAATCTTATCATCAATATAACGCTCTTATCTCATTATATTTGTACCAACTATATAACCGTGGTCCTCATCATAGATATTCTTTACAGGTCTATGGTTGGTAACATTTATATATTTTTAAAAAAGACCAGTAGCGGTAAATAAAACCTTTGAAAAGTTAAAATAAATTGGCATAAATTAAATATACTTGTACATATTTTAATCTATAAAATGGGTTTAAGATTAAAAAAGCCTAAAATTATTCATTAAAAAACCACTCCAACATTTAGTCCTTCAGTCAGAAGATTACTTTTACTCAATTTTGTAAGTTTAGCATTGTTTATATTATTATATACAACACAATACTGAATATATAATGGTATGAGGTAAGATAATCGTTGAATCATATTATACTAAAAAATTATATAGTTAATTTAGGGTATAAATAGTAAATATCAATGTGGATTGATCACTTTGGTAAATATAATACTTATTATCAGATAACATCAAGTTGATAAAATGAAAACTTATCTTATTAAAACCACTTGGCACTTTTCATGTATATAATAGTATGTAGGTATAGTGATTAAGTGACGTGGTAAAGTGGGGATTAAGCATATCGAGAAGCTGACACGATCTACAATTTGCCGGTAGCCTATGCTGCTCATGTAAACTGTTATCAGTGTACGCTCGTCGCTCCGATTTGTTTATTTTTTGGTGTCGTGGTGACGCCGATGTAGCAAGATTTACAAAACTCAAAATTATTTAACCGTTTCTAAACTCTTGTAATCGAGTTTTTTATAATATCTGTAAAGTCCTCCTAAAATGGACAAACGCGCAAAATTTGCAATCTGTGCAGCTGGTATATTCGTTTTTTTTTTCTTCTACGGAATACTTCAAGAAAAGATCACTAGAGGAACGTATGGTACACAAGGAGAAAAGTTCACACACACTCTTTCACTGGTGTTTGTACAATGTGTAGTCAACTACGCTTTTGCAAAAGTCGTACTACGAGCGTTCCCTGAAGAGGCTGACACCACCAGTCCAACATACTACGCTATTAGTGCACTTACCTACCTATTGGCGATGGTGTTTAGTAACATGGCCCTACGATGGGTCAACTATCCTACACAGGTAACTTCCCAGTCTGAGATTTGGTTATTCTTTTAAATTATATTCTGTTTATGATATTAGGTTGTCGCCAAATCGGGAAAGCCTATTCCGGTCATGATTTTGGGTGTAGTTTTAGGAAGAAAATCGTATCCATTGAAAAAATATCTATTTGTGTTATTGGTCGTCATAGGAGTAGCTTTATTCATGTTTAAAGATGGAAAATCAAAAGCATCACAATCAGAATCTAGTGAGAGGAAAACTAATATATTTATAAAATATGTAACTAATGCACTTACTGGCACCCTTTTTTTACCAGCATGTAGTATTTTTTTATGCTAATTACGTATCTTTCAAAAACTAAAATTGGTAGACTCCTCTAGTTCCAAAGTTATAGCTACTTGAAATTTACATATTTCGGCGAGTATAACAATAGACGACTGTGGTGGAAGGCGGCCGCAGCCAAACCATACATTTGTCGGCAATGCGAGTACGCGCTGCTACAGTATTATTAGTTAATTATTTATTTTTATTATTAGTATTGAATATTATATTATTATTAATGATTTAATATCAATATTGTATTCAACAACAATAGAATTTTCTTAAGTATATTAAAGCTTTAAGTTAGTTATCATTGGGTGCCTGGTATAAGTGCATTTATGTCTAAAATATAAATGAATATAAAATATAATATAAATTTATTTATATATAAGTACTTATCAAAATATTAAATAAAATTGTTTTTTTCAGTTCTTGGATTAGGAGAAGTACTTTTAATTTTGTCGCTGACAATGGATGGTATCACGGGTGCTGTTCAAGAACGGATGCGAAGCGAGTCTAAAACCAAATCTGGTCATATGATGGTCAACATGAACTTTTGGTCAATTTTGTTTTTAGGCGTTGCGCTCATCGTCTCTGGGCAATTATTTGAATTTGCGAGTTTTGTCCAACGATATCCGCAAATAATCATGCAAATATTTTTGTTTTCAGCATTTAGTGCATTAGGGCAGTTTTTTATATTTTGGACTGTAAGCGACTTTGGACCATTACCATGCTCTATTGTGACAACTACGAGAAAATTCTTTACTGTGCTAGCTTCTGTATTGTTGTTTGGTAATCCAATGTTAACTAGACAATGGGTGGCTACAATCATAGTATTTACTGGGTTGTTTTTAGATAGTTTTTATGGAAAACAGGCAGCTAAAGCTAAATGATTTATAATTTCCCAATGAAAATACTTTTAACTAATCAGTAAAAAATGTTATTGACCATACTAATTAAAAAAATTTGATAACATCAACTATTAAATAATTCAGTTAATTATATTTAAAGTAAAGTGATATGTTTGGTTGAACACATTGGCTCATTTAACTTTTATATATTTTGTATTCACAAAAAGTTAACTAATTAGAAATTCGTCCATTTGTGTGTAAAAAAAAACCAAATTGTCCTGATTTTTTTTTTATACTATATTTTTCAAAAAAATAATACTAAAGATTATATTTGTAAGTAAGTTAGACAGTCAATAAAGACTAGTTATGGCTTTTTTGGGATAATTTATTGATAAAATATTGAATTTGAAGATAAAAAAAGTTTATTTAATGGATTTTTAAAATAAATTATTGCTATATTTTAGATCCAGTTTAAAATGTGTAGATTTATAAATTACGTGAATCTAGTTACCACTTTTTTATTCCTATAGTCTTAACAAAATATGCATTTTATTTTTTTACAACATTCATTGTATAAAAAAAACAATAATGTTTTTTTTAAATATAATACTCATTATTGTAAATAAATGTACTTAGCCAAATTTACGTTGGATTATTCAAAAAACATTCCTATGAATATTTTACTGAATAAAATATTAGTTAAACGTGTTAAATGTATACTGTATCTATACATGTATTTGAATTAACTATAAACATAAAATTCCATAAACTCTTATCATATAAAACCCTTATCATTTTATTATTATTGGTTAAATATATATTTTTTATATCATGCTGTTCCGGTTTGTTTTTAGCCTCTAATAAAAAAGTTAGAATTATTAATTTAATGTATAAATAATCCTAAAAAACACTGTTGCTTTTTAAACAATCTGGTATCGGTCCAGACTTAAATGAATACATTTAATTAACATGTAATATTAATATTATATATATTTAATAATCCAAAAATTATCCATTACTGTACTATAAAATAACAATAAAACAATGTATTTAAATATATATATACATATTATTTATGAGTGTTGGAAATCAAATGTTCAGTTTTTTAATTGAGGGTTATTTATCAATTAAATAATAATAATACACATATTGTCAACATTGTGTTTATTCGGTTTTCTTTGATAATAGTTGACATCTGTGTAGATATTCTATGATCTACACTAAACAATTTATTTTACAAAATAATTATACTTTACAGTAATGGAATTATCTAGAGTTTGCTAAAATAAACACCCACTTGAATAGATTTATACGAAATATAACAATATACATATATATGTGAACTATTCCTTTGGTACCAAACTACAATGATGAGACATAGAGTATAACTTAACTTATACTTTTTTGGGCTGTATATCTTGAATCACTTTTTTCTTTGTCACTCATCCACTCCATCTTAAATTAAAAAATATATATTTATGATAAAAAAAATTTGTAGTAACTTAATATTGATAAATTAAATAATACTCTGTGAAAATATGAAGATCTAAAGAATGTGCCAATGATAAAGGATGAAGAAAAAGAAAATCATGTTTATGTAGTATAGAGTAATAAAAACTAATAAATTTAATACAAACCTAAGCATCATTTAAATAGTTATTAAAAATAAAAATTTTAATTAATACAATATATGATATATATTATATTAATAAATTTTAATTTATTTTTAACAAGTAAAAAAATTGTTTAAATGTTTTTTTTAATTGAAAACTTTTTTGAACTAAATACATGAAATTATAAATACTAAATCATTACAAATAATTCATTATTTAAAACGGGAAATAAAAAATAAGCCATTATTTTTTTTAGATGATGCGCTAAATTAAAATGTATTTTAAATAAAAAATGCCCAGGTTCAATATGAAATACTTTTAAAATTACCTTTTGTTTGTGCTGTTTGATAGCATCTTCACATCGACTAAGAATCATATCTTTAGTTAACAGACCATCTTCTGAAGTATAACCCGCTGCTTGCCATGCTACTCCTAATTTGGCAATTTCCCTGCCCGACATACCAGAGGTTATATCTGCCATTTGTTTACACAGAGCACTGTAGTCGAATTTTTCGACATTAAGTTTACTAGAAAATATATTAAAAAAAAAAAAAAATTAACATTGTACACATACATTAAGTAGGTAAAATAATATTTCTTTAATTACACTTTGCCTTTGGTGGTAGCTGGTGTAAGAACATATTTATCAAAATATAACATTATTAGACGCTCACGTTCTTCTTTTCCAGGCAGACCAAACTCAACCATTTCATCTAATCTGTCATTTACAGCCCAATCAAACTGCTCTGGTGTATTACTAGCCAAAACTAACATGAATCTACAACCAATTATAACTTACAGTTGTTGACTTTAATCAATACTAAATCCACCACCATATTTTACTTGTTTGATTGATCTCCAGTTCTATATAAAAACGCATTGAGAGTGGCACGCAAGTTTTCACTTATCATTTCAGAGCTACGTTTGCGTAAAAATGCATCGGCTTCATCGACAAATAATAATAAGCCTTTTCTAGAATTATTTGCCCAATTAAAAACTTTATGCATTTCTGTCACACCATCTTTTCCTAACGGGGCTACATCACCACCAGTAAGTATAGCATAATCCATACCAGAATGCATAGCCAATTTCTTTAAAATATACATATAAAACAATTTTATTTCTATAGTAAAAGCATTACTCAATAGAAAGAGATATTAAAAATTACTTTAGCGAATAATGTTTTTCCAGTACCCGGTGGTCCATACATGAGGATATTTCTGTACATTCCACGGTTTTTCTTTGTATTTAAAGTTGCAATAGCTACTTCACTATAACAAAACACAATAGTTAATTACTTTAGTATTTCATAAAACCCCCCATTTATCAGTTGTTTTAATCTTTTGTTAAATCAAAATAAAATTAGCATAAAAAAGTGCCTAAATTAAAAGATAGTTTTCCGAAATAATTATTTAGCGAGACAAATATAAATATTGAAGTTCTAAAACATGTAACTATTATTTTTAAAACATTTTTTTAATGAAGATACAGGCCAAACGGCTCATTCAAAGTCCTCTTCAACTAATGCAATTAGCTGTTGTTAGGTTTGTTGTAGGAGAAATATCATTTGTTGCTGCTTAAATCGCCAGGTAATCACCCAAACGGGATCAAGCAGAGATTGACTCAGTTGCCGAGTGTCACTTGAGGTAACTACTGCGCCATACCACACCCCATTTAATTGTAGTGCAATACACCATATTTGAGAATTAACTTATTTTATGTTCTTTAGTTCATAAGTTAAATAACTATTTTATTACAATAAGAAAAAAATAATACTTACCCTAATCTAGATTCTAATTTAGGGGGCAAGATAACATCTTTCAATGCACTACTTTTTTTTGTTTTCAGTTCTTTTAAAGTCAAAATTGGATGTCTTATTGTTTCTAATAATGAAAATCTAGATGTTTCACGTACCAATGATGGCTTACCTGAAAGTGAAGACATTCTATATCAGAAAAGTGAAATGTATCAAGCAATAATTTGTGACATACTCTTAAATATCATAACTAAGGTTGAAGTTTAAAATTGTTTGAGTTTTTTACTTCTCCTAATAGAAATATTAAAACTGAAATAAATAATGAAAACCTTAATCCTTTATTTTTAAAATAACAGAAATCGGAGATATTGGAATTTGAGTTTGAAAAAGTAATTTTTTTGAGGAAAATTAATTACAAAAAATCCATTATATTATAAATTTTAAGTTATTTTTCTAACTCATGAAATTTATTTTACATCTATTCTTATAAAAAATGTGGTACTGAATCCAATGGAGAAACTCTGCTCCCTGTCATCAACATCATGCGCGAACGCGACCGTTTTAGAGGGCAAACTTAAACTGAATAGACTATACGTACCTAGTTGGGACTCTACATATTTAGCCGTTACATTGGTAAATCCTTTAGCACTGTAAATCCCTAGTGCTAAAAGCGACAATCCTCCTGCTGCCATCAGTGTTTTGTCCCAATCTGTTAACAAAGCGTTTGCTCCACTGCCAAATATCGAACCAGCAGTTCTGAAAACAAAATGTATATTCTAGAAAAAACTTGAGCAACTTATGGTTATATATATAATAAAATAATATTTAAAAATGTATATTAATTATAATGTTAATTTTTATTATATTAAAAATTATTTCAAGCACTTAATTACTTACTTTATTGATTCTAAAACAGTCTGCCGATGTTCAGAAGCTTTTATTTTTATTTGCTCTAAAATTAAGTCATGATTCTCCCTTTCTGCTTTTGCTCTAGCTAATGCCTTTGCTTCAGTTTTTTTAGCATCTAACTTAGATTTCATCTCAATTTCATGTTCAATTGTAGCTAAGTAATTAATTTTAAAAATAATTACAAACAGTACATAATATAATAGTATTATTTAGTTAAGTAACAAAACCTTTTTTCATTGCTTCTTGTTTAGCTACAGATTCTTCTTGACGCCTTAGGTTCTCTTCATTAGACGCTCGTTGTTGCTGAAGTTGATCTTCATACCTAATAATATTTTCAAAATATAATGTATGAAAAAAAGTGTAACACAAACAATATATACCTTTTACGAGCTAATTGATCTTGATACTGTGAGCGTAACTGATGCTGTTTAGTTTCTTCTGCCAGCAATTTTTTTCGTTCTTCGAGTTCAGCTCGTTTTTGTTCATTGCGAACTTGTTCTAAATGCACTTCATATTCTTTGATTTTAGACTGATATTCAATTTGCTTAGTTGTTTCTTGTTGTTTAGCCAATTCAAGTGCTTCTTTGGCATGTTCTAAAATTAAATTTTTAATAAAATATCTTTTTTATGTACTTACAAGCTATTAAAATATAATATATACCTACTTGATTTCTCTAATTCTTTGGCAGCTTGTGCAGCACGTTCAAGGGCAGATGAATCAAATTTATATGCCTCACCACTAGATGATGTTTGTGGTGGAGCAGGTTTTTTTTCTGAAAGACCCGTTATCTCTTCTAAGTTGGGTGGTTCTGAATTGTTGCTACCACCCATTCCAAAAATCCACGACATAGTTATTAATATCTAAAATTTATTTTTTTATTAGCAACGGTCAAGTCATAACATCAAGTACTTATTTTCTTACAAGGTTAAAATGCCACTAAAATAAAAACAGTAATAGGAAGAACCATGCGGAGTTTTAAGACAGAATTGTTCATAGGAAAGTCATTACAACAAATAAAGTTGTAAAAGAAAACAAATAATAGTAATAATAACAAGAAATTATATACAATTTACAATACGTTGAGTGTAATAAGAAAAAATTATACTGAAATTTTCAACATATTATTTTGGAAAAGAAAATTACGAAAGTGAGACCGAATAACTTCATAACCTAAAATTTACTCATTGTGGCCATTTCTAGAATAACACATATCTTTTTTCTTAACTCTTTCATTACGGTAATCGAACCTAATAATTTTACGAATTTCAAAATGATAATATGATAATTGATAGGTACGTGAGTACGTCTTATGTTAATCTTTTACATTTTTTTTTTATTGACAAGATTTAAATTTAGATGTAACGTATATAAGGAAGCCTAATTTCACAACACATACTTCATACAGATTATTATACATATTATAATAATTTATATATAATATCCTGATATTAATATAGGTGTTATCCTATACATTTAAGAAATATTGATCGTTAATACTTTTTTTTAAATGTTTAAGATGATGGTAAATGAGATTGGCCCGTCAATTATTGTCTTCAGTTTTTCTAAGCGGTTAACTTAAATAACTTTATCCATTATCGATTCTCCATTTTATTGTACATGGTAGCCCTCCCAAGGGCGCCCACAAGTAAAAATTTAGCAGGAGTGCCGCCTATGATTTTGTAAAGAATTTGGGATATTGGATATATTTTTTTTAACTTGCAGAGAAGCTAGGGGAAGGGCGTCCCCCTGTCCTTCCCGTGGGTGTCCTTGTGACCTATCATAATATTATGACTCGCTCCATTTTATCCTCATTATCTAAATACCCATTCAATCTTTCTCTTCTTCTTGGATGTATACCTACTACTGTACATGTCATCTCTCTTACTTGTTTTACTATTTTAATGTATTCTCTTTTTGAACATGCCTTAAAAATCTGAATGTATTGTCTGTCACTTTCTTTGCTAGTTGTCTCTCTTTTATAAGCATATTCGTTCAAAATTCCGATTTCTATCGAATCTGTACATCCGCCTCGACAATATAATTTCAGATACCTTATATTTTCTTATAATCTTTTTTATTACAATATTTTTTTTTGCTATAATGTTATTACAGTATAAAAATTATTGAAATACATTTTGGGAGTAAGTGGTTGTTTAATATTCAGACTGCTTCATTTACAAGTATTTCTCTACTCTATTTACAACTTGTCTTTCAAGAATACCCATATATTTACTATGAATCCTAGAATCCGGGACCCAAGTGTTAAGGGGTCTTCATACCTTAGTTTAAGCACAGACTATAGTCATATAGTCTGCGGTTTAAGTTTACCAAGTAAGAATTAATGCAGCGTGACTGAATTTAATCTTTATCTTCAAATAACATCTTTTTAGTATATTTTATTAAATAACTACACATTTTATAATACAGATTTAACCATCATTGACTTTGTTTTTATATAAATATAATATATACTATAAGACTAATTTGAAAGTAGGTATTTTGGGTGATGACTGATGCGTCTGATATTAGATATATTCTATAGATTCTTGATGTTCGTAAAACTGTTTATTGTATCATTTTAACAATTCACATAACAAATTCCAGGGCACTGCATTTTTTTGTATCTTATGCCGTACAAGTTAGTAGTAACAACTGTGAAATGTCATCTATTCTTATTATATTAGTCACACAATTACTTAGCAACGTACCTCTATAAAACTATTTTTTAGGTTAGCAAACTCATAACTGTACATTTATTTGTCTTCTCATGACTTGAATTCACTTCCAACTCCTATTTTTATTCTTTCTTTGATAGATTTTGAAGTCACCAATATGTATAACATAATAGTATAAGTAATACGTGTTAACGTATGTTGTATAAATTAAAACACCTACAAATATATTTTTTTAAATAATCTGAATTAAAAAAAAAATTAATTGTTTTTAATCAATTATTTTCGAATGACGATTAAAAGGGTTTATGGAAGATCGCCAAACCTGTGGTTAATTTTATTAACTTGTAATGAGTTCATAATTTTAAAGTTTCAGAACCCAGAGATACTACCTACCTCAAGGGTAGCACGGGTAGGCACTGATTACTGAATAGGGAGTAAATAGTAATAATTACTAATTATTAGTAAATATGTAATAAGAATACAGGGTACATTGTAATTTATAAGAATAAAGAGTTTACGGCTTTACAGTCGGTACTTAGAAGACATAGTCACATTGCTCGTCATATATAGGGTGGTCCACTTATCGTGAACCAGTCAATATCTCAGGATTTAATAAGAAATAAACATTTTTTTTTCATATTATTTTTATACAATGTGATCTCAATTTTTCACAATTTTTATTGTTTTTACCCCCTCCCAACTTAAAAAGTTAATAAAATATATACGTTACCAATTACCATTCGAGTTTAAAAAGTTGCTATAAAAACAACTAAGTTGGGAGGGGGTCAAGACAAAAAAAATTGTGAAAAATTGAGATCCTTTGTATAAAAATATGAAAAAAAAATTGTATTTTCTTATTAAACCCTATGAGATATGGAGTGGTTCACGATAAGTGGACTACACTGTATACATCGTACTGAATACCTATAACATTATATTTTGTCGTTTAACGAAATTAATATATATATATATATACCGTTTTTTTTTTACAAACCAAGTTCGTAAATCGTAAGACATGGACAATTGACAAGTGGACTGTGGAGTGTAGACATGTTGAAATGAATTAGTGAGGAAATAAACAGGGTGGCAAATGTAAGAATGTAAAATATTTTGTATCGTAATTGTAACATAACCTGGAAATTGTGTATAATGGTTATATACATATATAAGATAACACCCGAAGTATCACTCCGCGTTCGAGAATCGAGTTACATGTAAACAAAATACTAATAAATAAATATTAAATACCTAGTAGAAAACTAGAAACCATTAAATAATGTAAAGTTATAGTTAAATTATTTAGTAATCATAATCTAATTAGGCACTAAGTATTACCAATAGTTAAGTACATGTAAATGTAATAGATAGTTCAAAATGCTTAACTTTTAAATTTTAAACTAGGATTTAATAATCGGTTTATTATATTTGGCTCTAAGGTACCTTGTTTTAAACTTAACAAGCGGTGTTCATTAGAAGACGGTTGCAATGTTCAGTAAAAGGTAAGTTCAGTAGATAAATAATCTGTTATTACTTTGAACTTATTTTTATACATTTCTAGCTGAATGCATACCGTTTTTGATTACTATAATGGATACTGAGTCTCTCCGGTCTTTGCATAGTGAGCACAGCATCAAGTCAAAATATAAAACTCATTCGCTGAAGTCTGGAAATAATCATAGGTCCAACAATTATAAGCAAGTTGTATTCGTCATAGTGTTCAATAAGTGATACTAATGTCAATGTAATATTTATCTATAGGAATTCTACAAAAATTGGTCGCAAATATTCCGATAGTCTTATCAATCCCTACGATACTACTATGGCACCATATCAAACTACAGTTATGTTAGAAGACACTAGAGATGGACAAGATGTTGTTGAAGTACAAATTCTACCTCAGGTAATTTAATATTAATTTTCTCCATACATTTTTATAATTATAAGTTTTCACTTGTTATTTCATTAAAATACTAATATTTATAAAATACTTCTAGGATGAAAACTGGGGAGAAAATACTACAGCAATAACGGGTAATACGTCTATACAATCGGGATCAATGGAAGAAATGGGAGCATTATGGCCAGATACTGAACAAAAGATTGGTTTTCCTATACTGTGCCATCGTTATATTGCTACTGCCCTGACTGGAATATTGTCAACTGTCGCTTTTCTTAGCCCTCTGGCTATGTTAGTTTTACCAAAATTAGGTAATTTAATTTTAGTCATAAAACATTTAATTGTAGATAATCATTATATATAACCGTAAGAATTTGAATATAATTTGTTGTCATAGGTGTTTTTAGCCCTGCTGTCACAAATTTAAGCCCCCAGCAAAGAGAAACACTACTGAACTGTGGAGCAGAATGTAAAGGAGTGCTAGTTTCGTTAGCATTTAAAATGTTTCTTTTGGCTCTTGCGGCATGGGCAATATTCTTACGACCAATGAGAGCTACAATGCCACGTATTTACGTCTTTAGAGCAGCTGTATTGGCTTTAGTATCAATTTGTTGTGTTGCTTTCTGGCTTTTTTATGTGGTACAAGTAACAGAAGGTATGTGTAGAACATATTAAACGAATCAAATTATTTTACCATTAAAGTCGCTTATCCTTCCATTGTACAGATTAATGATACAATAAGAAATCTGAAAAGGTCTTGAAATTTTCAACATCTCTTCTAAGAGATGAATTTCCCACTTTTTTTTAAATTTTATGTTGGTTGAAATGTAATTCTTTGTTAAAGATTATTCATTTTTAATCAAAGCTGACCAACTTAAAGTCTAAATTTGAAAAAAAAAATGGCTAAGTTATTGGTTAAAAGAGAACTGGTGATTTAAATATATCTACAGGTATATCCTCAACTGCTAAAGCCATTACCTTGAATTAAGATTTAAATTAATACAGTTAAACCTGTAAGACGGAACTGCATGGGATTGAAAGTTAATTTTGTTTTAAGCAATTTCCGTCTTGGTCAGTAAAATTTAAATGCAGAACAATTTGGTAGGACTATACATAAATTCTTTCCCTTTTGTATATTCCAGTTTATTCAGAGTCCATTTTAAACCGAATTCACTGTACAATTTATCAAAATGAATATAGTATTTTAGTAATTCAGAAGAGAATTACAAAAATTGTCATAAATATTACAATAAGCAATTATTTTAATTATAATTTATATATTATCTTATAAAATATTGTTAAAGTATATTCTTATGTAAAGTTTATTATTACATTAAAACCTCATTGAAAATGTACTATTTGACATCATAGCTAAAATGGCTACTTATCAAATATTAAGACAGGTTTATGAAAAAACAAATCAGCAATATTATAATTTAAAATTTGCTTACAGGTGTACGTGCAACAGCAACAGGAGAAGATTTACTTGAATATCGTGCATTGGTTTCTTACGCATCATCCTTATGTGATTGTCTTCTATGCATTCATTATGTGGCTATCGTTTTAATGGAAATAAGACACCTTCAACCATCTTATTACATAAAAGTATGTACAATTTAATGTAATGAATAAAATTTAAAAAGCTATTCATGTTTAGCAGTGGTGAAGCGTCATAAGAGATAATGTCTACCAACTTGGAGTATGGACGAATAATTTTTTTATTATTATAATTAAATTACAAATTATAATGAAAAAATTTATATATTTTTTCAAAATCTTTTTCTTTATTAAAGAATAGTGTAGTTATGGTCGCACACTTGCGGTGTTCGGCAGGCCAATCCAGTAAACATTTTGTTACAGTATAAGAATAGATATGAGACAATGTTGAATTTGTTTCATTTTGCCGGACGTGGAATGCAGGGGAAATCGGAAAACAGGCGGGGTTTATCGTTGTGCTATGAGACATGTCTCTCCGTTCATATTTTTGTTTTATTTTATTTTTAAGTGATTGTTATTATTAGTTATCATCGTCCTGTTATCAACCGCCATAAACTAAACTAGTTATCGTGTTTTGTTTTATACTAATCGACGATTTGTTTATTTCTGCTATGTTATTATCTGGTTAAGTCTGGTTTGTTATTTATTAATTTAAGATCTTACAAGTTCTTACCACAAATAAACTAAATAGGTATGAGTGTAAATAATATTGAGCATAATAATATTTTAATTTGTCAGATTTTAAAATATGGCATTTAAAACTACTTGTACGAATGAAAACGAATATAACATAAAAAAAAAAAGACCGACACTCAATTTAAATTTAAATGGCCTAAAGACCCCGTCTTGCCACTGATGTTTAGAACTTATAATAAATATATATATATATGTATATATATTTTTTTTTAAACAATCCTTATAACATAAAATGGATCTTTTTTTTTTTTAGTAAATTCGTTTAGTTACATTGTGAGATGTTAATTGTTTTAAATTATGTTTAATTAGTACCAGTATAAGTTTTGTGTGATTGGAAAGTGCCTACAAAAAAAAAAAATTATTTCCTTATTTCTACTAAAGAAAACATTTGTTTTCTCAATTTTTAATTTAAATAAAAATACAGTTAACAAAAATCAGTTATATGGGATCAGAATCTATTTATAAACTTTAAAAAATGATGTTTATTAGATAAAAAAATATATTTAATTGAAATGTTTGGTTTTTTTAAAAATAATAATTTTGTGGATAATTTTCAGATCTATCCATGTCTTCAGTTTTCCATTGATATTATATGACACTGACTATATGTTTTGAGTATATTCACGACAGTGGAACAGTGACTATTGCTCTGAAGATATACTCTGCAACAAGTCCGAAACGTCAGTGGAAAACTGAAGATTTACATCTGAAAATTATCCACATAATATTTCAATCCATGAAAGCTTTAACTTATTCATAAATAATAATTAATTTTTATAACAAATTGAAGAAAAATACTACTTCAATAAAGTGAAAGTAATAAATAAACATATATTTTTTAACCTATAAATAATTAAATAGCTGTCAATTATGAATGTAACTAACAATGTGCATACAGCCTGACGCTAATCATTTTTAATATATAATTTTAATATTTAGGTTGTAAGAAGTCCAGATGGTGAGTGTCGTACCTATTCAATTGGTCAATTAAGTATTCAACGGGCTGCAGTTTGGGTATTAGAACGATACTATACTGAATTCTCAATATATAATCCATACTTAGAGCGTTTGCCCGTTTCAAAATCTAAAAAGAATTCTTCAAGCTTCAAATTTTATGACATTGAAGGAATCGCTAATAATACACTTCAGATAAATCATGCTAGAGGAACTATGAATGGGCACCCTAGACGACGTGATTCGAGTCATAACGAACGATTTTATGAAGAGCATGATTATGAAAGAAGAGTAAAAAAGCGTAGAGCAAGACTAATGACGGCTGCTGAAGAAGCGTTTACTCATGTAAAACGTTCTCATCATGATCCCGGTAATTACAATATGTACTACATTGTGATGTACACTTAAATAATCCTTAACATTAATTTTGAAAATATTGTGTTTAAAAACTATTTTAAAATATAAAATACTACTCAACTAAAGCTATACTTTAATTTATATTGAATTTTCACAACAAAATAACAAAAAAATCTGTTTAAATAAATTAACAGACATTTTCTATTACAATGAATAATTTTTTTCTGGGTCTTACGAGTATAAAAATGTTAAATAATTATGTCAAATGAAATAAGAACTATTTTATTATTAAAATTTTTTAAATTATTATTTAAATAATTGGTTTGTACTATACCACCTCCCCATACAATACTTTGCTCACAAGTCATATATATTTGTGTATAATAAAATTCATAAGGAAAATCAATTAAAATAATATTGCTCAGTGCTCTCTTAGTTAGGTAAATTTAATATCTAATAATATATTAAATTGTATAAAAACTAAGATGATAAAATGATCATAGTTTTTCTTAAAAAAAACCTTACATTTTTTTATCGTATCAGCTAATCAATTGGTAGTTAATAAAATTAAAAATATCAAAAACCATCCGATTTATTTATAAAGGTGGTGGTTCAGCCATGGATCCGTATGAAGCTGCACAAGCTGTGTTCCCTACTATTGCTCGATCTCTTCAAAAGTATCTGAGAGTAACAAGACAGCAACCGAGACACACAGTGGAGTCAATTTTGTCCCATTTAGCTTTGTGTTTAACCCATGATGCCTCTCCAAAAGCATTTTTAGAACCTTATTTAAGTGCAGCTCCTGTTTTACAGGTATGTTTTCAGTATTTGTTTTTGTGTTTATTTGTACAACAATTAAATACTATGTACATATATTTTTGTTTTAGAATGAAAAGGAACAAAAATCAGTTCAGTCTTGGTCGTTAATATGTAATGAATTATTGACTAGAGCACTGAATGATGGCACAGTCTTTCAACTCAGGCAAAACGATTTATCTCTTTTATGTACAGTACATACATTACCTCATTTCAGTATCACCGAAGAAGTCATTAACCCAAAATCAAATAGGTTTGTGTTGAGGCTTAACTCTGAGACTTCTGTTTAATACGTATTTTTTTATCTAAAGACTATTTTTGGTATAATTTTTTTGTTTTATGAAATTGGAATCTTACAAAAATGTAAAATACATTATATTTTCTAGTCTTGAAATGAATATATAATATATTCCAAAGTAATATAATACTTATGAAACGTAATGTATTCTATTATATATTTCATAATAATTCTAATTTATTTACATATGCTTAATATTATAGTTGTATAAGTATATACATTTTGTTTTGTAAGTTAATGAATTATTGAAAAACACATTTTAGTGACAAAATGTAGTCGTTGTCTCATATAAGTCAAATGATAACTAACATTTTTATCTATATTGATATCAAATTGACTCTATTTCGGAATAAAACAGTTTTAATTCTATTTCTTCCTTCATTAAATTTATAATTAAAATATTATTCTGACAACCGGAACTTTATAATGTTATTTTTTAACAAATTCTTGAAAAATTGTATTATAAAAGACTGTTTTAAACTAAATTGATTTTAATTATACAACTTCGCATATTTTGTTACGCTCAAATTCGTCGGGGCCATACAAAAATACTTTTTTTTTTCTTGGTAATGAACTTGATTGCCATCATGAATTCTTGCAGCTATGGCTTTGTGTAATAAGGGATTACTATATTATTATTTGTTTAGAATTAACTGCGCCAAGTATATTATTTAACAAAGTTAGACGTATTTTTTATTTTGTAATGAAATTTAAAAGTTTATTTATCAAAAATGTACTCATTTTTAATTATATAATTTATTAGTATTATTATTTTATAATATATTTTTTATTTATTTAAAGGGTATTATCTCTGTGTAATTTTATTTTATAGCTTAATTATAAATTAGCTTATTATATTTGTTGAGGTACTTAAAAATATTTTCTTACCTTTTGGCTTGTTTGACACAATATTATTCTAAATTTAGACGATAAGAAAATGTATTTATATATTTATATATTAAGCTAGATTATTATTTTTTAATTTTTTATTTGTAGTATCTAGTAAGTAGTAGTTAGTAGCTAACCATTTGTAGTGCAATTTTTTTTATTTTTATACTTTTTTTATTTTATTACAAACCAAATAATAATCATAATGTATTAGTAAAAACCCGTAACACGTGTGTGTTATAAAAAAACATTTTATACAATTAATAAACTTGATTATTTAATAAAAATAGCTTTATTTATTTAAATTATTAGAAAATATCTATAAATTATAATTTCACTGTAATTTTCCAATCCATTATCAATTTCTATGTCATTGATATTGAATTCTTTCATAGAATTATAGTATGTTAATTAAAAAAGTTACAGTCTACATAAAGCCTAACGGCTTTAATTATAAGCTAATTATATATTTTTTTAAATTTAGCCTGCTAGCTCCTGAATAGTGATTATTTCTGATGTATAATCTGCTTGCAATTTTTGATGATAGTATGTCTTAATTATATGTTCTGGCCAAACGTTTTCATAACGATGAAGACTCGTTATTATTTTGTTGGCATCTTATATGTTGTTATACGTTTAAAGGAGGCATGCTACTTTCGTATCGCAATTAAGTGTCATTTTTGGGCTGGGGGGCTGGGATGCCATGCTAAAATGTTAAGTTATTGAAAAAATGGTGTACTTTGTTTTGAAGCAGATAAATTTAGACCCAGTTTACTTTTGCATGTAATAGAAGAATGACAAAACTTTTTTAATAATAAAATATGAAGACTACCAAAACAAAAAACATCTTTGATTTCTAATAAAAAAAAAATACCAGTTGTTATTTGTTTAGAACAGGGAACTTTTCAAAACTAATAATTTTTTAGTTATAAAAAGTAGTAACAATAATGGTGATTAGCCTGTAAGTTACTGCTGTTATCTGACGAAATTGACCTATTATTTTTCTGAATATAAATTCATTTTTGATTATAATTAGTGAATATGAAAACATTCATTGAGGACTATAATTTCTATTAGCAATCGATATAATGTTCAATTATGAAAAAGTAAACTTTTATTATAGTATTAATATGATAGGAGACATGGATTCGCTAATGTAATAAAACGTAATAATAACTTTTTTTGTTGTATTATTGTGAATATTTTTTGAAATGTGTAAAACATGTTTAATAGTCAGTTTGTTTGGTATTTAGATTTTAAGTTATAATTAATTATTTTTTACTTTGTTTTTGAACTTGAAACGGTGGAGTTGCATAGGTAGGTAGGTACAGACTACAGAGTTGTGCGACACATTCTTCAAATTAAAAAAAACGACATGTTATTTTTTGTTAGATTGTAAGTATAAAAACACCATAACCAGCATTTAACACAGTCCTAAAGATGGATTATGAAAGACTTTTGGAAGGTTGGAAAACCAATTCGTAAATATAAGTGTAACTGTAAATCGTGTAAATATTTCAGATTGTAAGTTGTCAAATTAAGATTACATAATATAATTATGAAAAAGTATCATCATGGACATAAAAGATAAAATGCCGAACGTAACGTCGGTATAGACAAAAAAAGGAAATGTAAAGATTCGCATTGACATTAAATATAAAAACAATTAATAATCTGAAACGTTTAATGCCCATTGGCCAATATTATTGGTACATTGATTATTTAGAGGAGGAGCTACTTTTTTTTGCACCAAACAGTCGTTTTAAAGTTCGTTTTTTTCTTATATCACACAAAAATGCATTAAGTAGTGTAATAGTTTTTTATATCCATTGATTTTTGAGAGACTTGGTTAACATTTGGAGAGGCTATGCAGCCCTCTCTGATTTCCACCAATGTCTATGCTTTTATTCTGGAGAAAAGTTCTAGTTTAAGAAAGATTAAAATTCTAAAAAAAGTATGCGCTAAAGGCGAAAAATTATGGTCCAATGTCAGTTTTTAAGGAGATTACATGCGGTCGGGTTTTTCAGTCAAAACGCATCATTTTTATTCCATTGCACAGACCGAACCAGTGATTCGATAAGCAATCTGAAAACAGATTTGAATTTTTTATGAAGTTTACTTATGATCGGTCAAGGTACTTTTTCAGTTTTTAATTTTAACCCTTTCCAAATTTGATTTTAAAATTTGAAATTTTATATAATGTTCAAGCGTGTTTTATACATAGTAGGAATAAGATATCAAAAAAGTACCGAGGCCAATCTTAAGTAAATTTCATGACGAATTCAAATCTGTTTTCAGATTACTTATCGGATAACTGGTTCAGCCTGTGCGATGGAACAAAAAATGTATGTTATATTAACTAAAATTGTTTTTACTCATAGACAAAATAATTTAAATTAAAAATAAAACCATGAAGCTTATACAAATTAACCGGTAAATTAATTGACATGATCGAAATTTTTTAATAACACTTTTATCTTAAATATTGCCTATACAAAACTCCTTAAAAACCAACCGCATGCAATCCCCTTAAATGTAATTTTATTAAAATAATCAATAATTATTACTACCTACTCACTTTCAAAAAAAATTGGATTCGTCGAAATGAGCAGAATATAAAATGTATTACCATTGATTATGAATAAAATACAATGTAAATATGTAATAAATATGAACAACAATTAAACTGGCAAAAATTAGTTTTTAAAATAAGTAATTTGTTAATATGTTTTGTTACCTCTTTCTCATACCCATGATGAAATGTCTTATCATTAAATGTCTAAAATACATAAAATCTATAATTTATAAATGTACTGGCAAATGGTATCTAAAAAAAATAGGGCGGACACCTCATCAATGGGTACCATAGGAATTGTTTTGTACAAATATTACAATTTACATTTATTCTGCCTACAATTATTCAATACATTTTTAAATTAGGCTATATGATATAATTTATAAGTACCTAGTAGATATGCCTAAAAATAATGCTTTTACTTCACCTTGTTTTTTGTTTAAAATAAAATAATACTTAGATACTGATGTTTCATGTTTTATTGAATAGACTATTTAATTAATCTGACCAAACGGTTTACAACGATTTGTTCTTTCTTTTATAAATTGTATTATTTTTTTGTCCGAGACAGTCATGTCAATTGCTTTTAAAGTGAAAAAAGGTATGCGAGAGCCGTCTTAATGTTTGTGAATGCGGATCAGTAATTCGGGCCCCGCTTCGAGAATTGAAACAGTGTTGGAAAAAAAAAATAAAAATAAAAAATTCGAGACGTCTGTGCTGCATCTGTGCCTATTTTTTCTTTCCTGTAATATCCTACGTATAGTTTTAATGGCAACAAAAACGGCGCCGACGTCGCGCAAACCCTCTGTCACCTGTGTAATGGTAAGTGACGCAAAATTATTGTATTTTATTATTATTCCTTCTTTTTTTTTACTGTGACATTCACACGCCGTGCCGGCGGCCGGCCAAGCATTATAATAGCATTGTTACGGTCGACGGCTTCATACCTATCATAATAATTATACCCATTACCGAGAGTTGTTGATATAACGATGCCAAAGCTTCTTTTATGAGCTGTATTTTTATTTGGAGTGTTTTTTTTGATTCTATCTTGTTTAATTATTAAATTTAGTACCCGTTCATAGGGCCTAATGGACATTAGCTGAATATTAGGTATGAATGATTATGTCGATTATAATAATTCAATAAGTTATTTTTAACGGTTATTTTTGATGCTATTACGACAGCTTAACATTAATAATATCTAACCAAAGAACTTGAATCTCTTTACAGAATTGAAATTAGACCATCCTATGTAATCGACATTTTGTCTGGCTTTTTGGTCTAAAATAAACAAAAATGCTTTTACTCATAGAAAAAATTATTTAAATTAAAAATCATACCTCGAAGCTTATACAAATATTAAGCGGTAAATTAATTGACACGGTCGAAATTTATTAAAACCTCTTTCTTCTTAAATATTGCCTATACGAACTCCTGAAAAACAGACCGCATGCAATCTCCTTAACAAACATTTTTGATGGATTCATTGAACAATAATTAAAATACGTAAAACTTAACTCAAAGGCAGTTTATACTTTTTGTTCTGATTGAATAACGAGTTAAAAATTAATGCTGTTGCAGCTAATTTGCATTTTTCAATTTCCCGTTAATAATGGACTTTTTGAAAGAGGGTGCTTTTTTTAACAAACAAAAATTATTTCAACGCTTAAATAACTGAATAAATAAAAGGAAAAATCATACAGCTGGTTTATATTTTTCATTTTTTATGATTTTTTTAACGGCGATTGCGGCGGCGTCTATAAACCTTTGATACGCGAGCGGTGAGAGCGTTGTGGAATTCTGTCATCCTAATTAGTACTACCCATAAAACAGCACGTCGTTGCTGTTTATTTTTTGTTACACTTCTTGAGCTGGAGACACAATGAGACGATAATAATATGGTGAGACTGAAAGGAGGGAGACCGCAATGTATCCGAAACGTCTGTTGGTTTACATTTACAATTAAGAATCGGATTTTGCATGAACTGCTCGCTAACAAATTGTAATGCCTGTATGATTTTTAGTTAAATACTCGGAAATACGAAATCACTTTGTTGTAAAAACATTCACCAATCACCCATCCACCCCCTCCCTTATCATAATAATAATATTACTGACGTAATTATATTTACATGACTTATGTTAGACCCAAACAAATTGTACCTCAGTAAGTTTTTAACATTTGTAAGTTATTTTTAAATTTAGGACGGGAGGTGGAATAATGAGGTTGAGAAAAACGTGGTGATAAAATTAACTTCACACTCCATCCTTCCTCCCGTCCTAAATTTTAATCTTTAAAAATATTTATAAAATTGGTTAACGACCAGTAAAAATGTTCAGCAATTTTTTCTATAATTAAAAAGTTAATAAAATATATACGTTACCTAAGTTAAAAAAGTTGATAAGGCTCTAAAAAATACTAAAAAAGATAAACATTTGAATATTATTTAATATTTTAATATAGCATAAACAAAAATGTTGCATTAAGAAAAACAATAAAATTTCAAAAATGTTAAGAGAACTGGTTTAGAGCGTTAAATCACCCGGTATGCCTTTATTTTTTTCTTTTATTATGGCATAGAAATAAGATTTCGCAAAAAAGAACATAGTCGGTAGCATGAATTATTAATTCCAAAGAGTTAAAAAAAAAAAAT